AGAAAAATAAAATGTTGAGAATGAAAGCAATTCATAATTTTTATACAAAAATTAGTGAGTCATGAATTAGTTTAATTTAATTTGTATTTGATCCAAATCATATTTATTGTTTAGGTGATATTCAGATTTCCTTGCAAAAGTTTTACTTTAAGCAAATTATATGGAAATAATACTTTTTAAAAAGGAAAAAAGTAAGTTAAATAAATGGTTGGTAAAAAAAAGTTACAAAAAATAAAAAATAAATTTCTTATTTAAACATTTTGGAGCTGTCTCAAAATTAACTACACTGTTATTCAGCTTTTTGTGTAGGTAATTCGCTTTTTGTAATTGTTCAAATAACATTTTGATTTTTTTGATATTTAATTTAATTGGAGAAATTAATAATATTTAAGAAAAACCCATAAAAAATTAAAGATACTAAATTTATTTATTTATAATATTTGATGATTGAATAAATATTAGCACCTGAGAATAGACATTTGTATGTTGAATGGTTTAAGGCTATTATTTTGGGCTAACTTTAATAAATCGCTCTCAGGGAGCTAATTTTTTTAAAAGTAATCATTAGAAGAAAAATAAAATGTAGAGAATGTAAACAATTCACAATTTTAAAAAAAAAATATAGTGAATCATGAATTAGCTTGTTTTAATTAGCATTTGATATAAATCTTATTTATTCTTTAGATGATATTAAATTTTCATTATCAATATCTATCAGAATTATCAGTCAAAATTTTATATACTTACAAATAAAATAAAATCTAGTATATATAATAATTAAAAAAATTTTTTTATATTAAATTTTAAAAATTTGTTAAAAATGTTTTTTAAAAAGTGTTTAAAAGTAGCTCCAAGGAAAATACTTGGAAGGCGAAAAAATAGTGTGGCAGAGAGGTTTTTTCTGCCTACTGATCTAAAAAAGCCCCGATTGTAAATTCTCTCATAAAGAAATTATGAATTATAGAGAAAGAAAATTTTCAGATAAGTTAAACCTTTGTTAGTTATTACCATAATAGATTACGATTAATGTATGTTGTTACCATAGTTTACCATAGACATATTGAGAATGATTTTGTATTAAATTGATAAATAAGTAAAAATAATTTTAAGATAATTTTTATGATATTTTGCATCATTCTTAGTTATTATCATAATATATTACTATTTATATGTATATCTATTGAATTTCTTAACTAATAAAAATATATCAAAGATAATGTTTTGATATTTTACATTTTTCTCATAAATTTTGTGAAATATTTATTATTAATTTGATTAACTTGCAAACAAATTTTTAAAGAAATTTTATAATATTTAATTATATGTTTGTATCTTATAAATAGATTTTAACTACTCTAATGAAAAATAAATTTTATAATGAATATTTGAAATTAACATAGTTTATTTAACAGTATAGATTGGTTATCTAATAATTTCAAAAGTAAAACTAACATTAAATAAAAATAATGAATTAATGAATAAAATTTATCTATCAATATTTAATTTATAAACAATCTTTTTTGTATTTATTTTAACTAACAACAATTTTTTAGATTTATTTATTTATTCAAAAAAGTTATTCAAGTACTATTTTTTTAGTTCAAAACAACACTTTTCATTAGCAAGTTTACATACTTTTTGCAAAATGATTTTGATGGGAAGTCGCACTCAAAAGAGACTCGCAGCTCTTTTGATGTAGCTTATTGAAAACGAAAATAAAGTTGAGCATTGTCGTCTTTGTCTCTTTAAGAATCCAAATATAGATTTATTTAAAGTTTTTTAGCAAATTGATGTCAAGCGTAAAGGATTTTTTAAGAATGAAGAATTGCTTGATTTTTTATGCAAAAATAACATTTATGCTACAACCAGAGAAGTTAAATTTTTAACTGACTAGCTTGACACTGATAAAGATTCAATTGTTACTTATGATAAGTAAATTATATCTTTGTTTTATTTGCAAATTAAAATTATATTTTAATATCCTTAATTAGCTTTTTACACTTTTTAGCTCCCTAGTAGGATGAAAATCTAAGGAAAGAAATTCTTGTAAGAGAAAAAATTCAAGCTACTTAGCAAATTGATGAATAATTTTTTCACATGAATGATAATACTCCAACTCCATAAAAAATGAAATAAAGTAATCTTGGAGCAAGTGCATTTTTGTCAACTGCTAAATCAAAATATCAATATAGTGGAACTTAATAGCTAAACTAATCATTCCATAAATAATAAGATATATTAGGAGTAGATCCAGAAACTGAATATTTACTTTCAAAGCTGTTTTATTAGATAGTTTAAAATTTCAAGGCCATTGAAGCTAAAAAAGAAATCTTAAATGGTAGTAATGATTTCTAATTAGAAGTAGCATTCAAAACAATTGATAGTTCAAATATTGATAAGCTAGACTACGAAAGGTAAATTAAACATATTGAGATTTTTAATACATTTAATATGATATGTTTTTTGTAAAATGGTTGAAATTTTATTTGTTAAATATTTAATTGAAATGAAGCAAATAAAAATTTAAATCTAATAAATAAATAAATTGTTACTGACTTTAATTTTTTTCTTATTTAATATGAATGTAGCATTGAAGAATTTCTTAAGAAGCATAATTATTAGATTTAAGAAAAAGACTTGCTTGTACTAATTAGAACTTATGGGAGTTTAGCAGATGGGTTTATCAACCAAGCTTAATTTATGGACATGGTTTTATCATATGAGTTTAATTTAAAGAAGAACGCAGTTAAGGCAAGCTTTGCAAAACAAACAAAAATGGATTAAAATATTAACTAAATTGTTCAAAAGGCTGATCCTTTAGTTGATCCAAGTAAAAGATAAGTTAACTTTGGACAAAAAGTTGATTCTTAAGACGAATAAAACTAGTCTAATTCTAATAAAAATACCACAGGTGCATAGTCTACAGCTAAGATTGGAATATAATCTAATGAAAATAAGTCTATGGTAATGACTTAAACAAAACTAACAAATGATGTTTATTTGAAACAAAACTAAACTGATAGTAATTCTATTACCATAAAGAAGCCACTCTGTAGAGGAACCCTAAAAACTCCTTATTCTAAAAGATTTTTGTCAACTGTTTAAGTTCGCCCAGGAATGTCTTCTATTATGAACATAAATACGATTGAAGCCGATGCTGAAGAATACGATGAAGTATATAGAGGAAAATATCGTAATTCAGCAATGAAAGGTGATGAAGAAGAATTCTTTGTAAAGAAACTATATGAAATTGTATTAAGTGATATAAAATTGGAAGAATACAAGCAAGAATTATCTACACAAAAGGACTTCAACTTGCTTGACTCCTTTTATTTTATTGATTTATAAGGAAAAGGCTATATAACTTAATAAGACTTGCATGTAAATCTTAAACAAATTGGCTTAAACCCTACTAAAGATTAGATATACTTGTTTTTTAAGCAGTATGATTTAGATTTCTCAAACAGATTAGAATTCTCTGAATTCGTTAAAACATTTATACCTATTGATTAAGAATATAGAAATATTCTGAACAACAGGGCTGCAACTGGAAACGGATTTAGTTCCTAAACTAAGCACTTGCTAAAAGAAACATTTTAATATATATTATAAAATGCATATGAAATGGAGTTTATCCGTTAAAATCTAAACCGCCGTAGGCTTTTTAATACATACGATGCTTTCTGTGCTATAGACTAAGACAGCAATGGTTTCATTACATTAGAAGACATAAGAACACTTTTCCTTGATTATGATATTCACTTTTCTCCTAAAGAATTGTACTACTTTTTCCGTAGGTTTGATAAAGGTCTTGACGGAGAAGTTTGCTATGGTGAGTTTTTCTCAGAATTAACACCTAAAAGTCCTTACACATTAACAGAAGAGCTCTATACACAAACAAGAAAATCAATGGTTTCGATTTCTAATATAGAAAATGCCAAACTTTCACAATGAAAATTCTTAAACTATATTGAAAAAGATAAAATATGAGCTTAAAAAGAAAATTATCTGTTTTATATTTTATGAGAGTAGAAAATGTAAAAATATAATTATTATTGATAATAATTTAAAACTAATTTTTAAATTGTATGTAAAAAAGTAAGTTAGTAAATAAATCTTTTTCTGTTTGTATTCTTTATAAAAAAGCAGCTAGTTGATTACTGTTTTCTTTATTTTAAAGTAAATAAATCTTTTTCTGTTTGTATTCTTTATAAAAAAGCAGCTAGTTGATTACTGTTTTCTTTATTTTAAAATTTTTAGTTAACCTTTAAAAAATAATTTTTTGATTATCAAATTATCTTTGTACATTTGATAAAATTATTGTATAGATATTTTTTTATTAACTAATCAAAAAATAAAATTTATTTATTAAGAATAAAAATTGGTTTTTAGGTAATTTTGAGAATTTATTTTAAACATTTGGAATTGAAAATTAATTAATTGCTCATTTTTTAAGGATTAAAGCTAAGATAAAAATTTATGTTTAAAAATAGCTCCATATTTTTCATGAAATTATTTTTTAAAATAAATAATTTAACTCCTTGTTTAATTTCATATCTTACAATTTTTTATTTATGTTTTTTAAAACTTAACTTGTCTATTATTCAAACTAAAAGCAAATTTTTGATAAAATTAATTTATGCTTTTTTTTGCACATTTTTTATTTTTTAAGTTAAAGAGGTAGATTTAAATGAAATTTATGTAAACTTAATTTATTATTTATTCTATTATTTTTTGGTTAATAAGCAGCTGATTTCATTTTATATTTAAATTTACTTAATATAATTAAATTCATATTTAATTTATAACTTTCTAAATAATTTAAAAAAGTAATTATTAGAATCTGTCTGTATGTTAATTTTATATGATATTAATAAATAAATAAATTGCTGGATTTTATTATTTTGAATTAGTAATTATTTTAATATTTCATTCATATTACTTTTAAACAATAATTTCTCAGAAATATTGCAGAAAAAGTTAAAATTTCAGCTAAAGCAAGTTATAGTTTTTAAGTTTAAGGATCTTGAGCGAATCTAAATAGGTTAATAAAGCTGTCCAGATGGATGCCCCTCCATTAAATGAGGAGGAATTGAATTAAATTTATAATTGGATTGACGGAATCCCTCTTTCTCGTCCAAAAAAAAATATAACTAGAGATTTCGCAGATGGGTGCATGTTGGCTGAAGTAATAAGCCATTATTGTCCCAAGTTGGTTGAAGTTCACAATTATTCTCAAGCACACTCTGTTACATAAAAGCTCTACAACTGGAATACCTTAAATTGTAACATTTTTAATTAAAATATAATAAAAAGCATTTAAATTTTAAAATGTGAAACTTTAATTGAATTTTAAATTTATTCAAATGATTAGAAAGAGTTTTAAAGAAAATGGGATTTTAGATTTCTAAAAATGATATAGACTGTATAATAAACGCAGTCCCTGATGCAGTTGAAAGGGTTTTAAAGGTATGTTAGATTAAACTTGATAAGTATCTTGACGATCAAAAGAAGAAAAAAGATTAGCAATAATATATAGAAAACGCATAAATGATGTAAAATGGTAATAAATTACAGCTTGGAAATGCCAATAATCCATATTAATACGCAGAATTGTAATTTTTATTTTTTCTATAAAACCATATCTTCAAAAATAATTTACCACAAATATTTTAGTTTAAACCCTAAAGAAGTATCATAAATGCTCTTTTAAAGAGATACAACTATTAATGAGTTGAGGGCAACTATTGAAGTAATTTTATTAATGAAATTAAATACAACTTAAAATTTACAATTATTTTTTTAGATACTTGAACTAAAGATCAAAAAAATGGATTAGCTAGTAAAATTAAAAGATAGTAAAATATAAAGTCTTATAAATAAATTATCTTAAGCAGGATTATCCTGAAACTAGATAAATGAATGATAACTAAATGCTTTACAAGAAAAGATGCAGCAACAAAACACAACACAACAAATAAAAATAATAATAAAATTTTCTAGATAAACTAAATAATTTAAAATTAATATGATTAATTAATGAATGAACAATGTTTGCATTTAAAATTAAGAAAAGTGAATCAATTTACTTTTCTTTTGTAGATTTATCTCAATTTGTTTTTATAATATATTTTATTCCCTTAAATAAAATCCCTTTTAATCTTCTACTTAATATTAATGTAATTATTTATTTATTATTTACATTTTAAAGTTATTGTTCACTTACTTAAATACCTAAAAACCAATTTAGTTTTCACCAAAAATAAAAAAATAATACAAAGAATTTCAATGCCATATCTCTATTATTTTTACCAATTTACTTTTAACTTACTAAGAGATCAATAATAAATTATCAAATTCTAAATTTTTTCTAAACTAAATCTATTTTTTATGTAAAAGAATTTATAAGTAATCAAGCATATTTTCTTTTGTAAATTGAGTTAATCATTCACAAAAATTTTGGAATTAATTTTTAATTTACTCAAAGGTTTCTTTTTTATATTGAAGGTATTATTCGTTTCATCAATTAGTACTTATATCACCATTTTAAATATACATTAATGTTATAAAAAAAACAAAATAACAGCAATCTAAACAAATTTAAAGAATAAAAATATTAAAAAATGAAGTTTGTTTTCATATCTGCAATCAGTTTGGCTGCAATTCTTTTAACCCTCACTACTTATATTTTTATTGGAAGTAGCTCTCTTAGTCAAGGAGGGCATGAAATTAGATTTATAGGCTTTTGTGCAAATATGGAATTAACAAGTAAAGGTCTTTTCATAGTTAATACTTGTGAGAAATCTTATTAATATACCATTATACCTCAACCTAAAATTTAAAGAAAGAATTTTTCAGTGACTGTATACCTGGATATTTAGTAACTGGTAGTAATAAATAATTATAATTAACTGATTTCAATTATTTTGATGAAGTTCTTGAAGTTGAAAAAACTTCTTGCACAATTGATAATTGAAATAAGTTAAGAAAAATAAATTGTTTTACCCATAAAACAAATTTTTTTAATAGGCGTAAATCTTTATATTTGAATACCACGATTTATATATTTAAATTGCTAGAAGTTATTTAAATTCAATTATCTAATAATCTTATTTAAATCAATATTTTAATTATTTATTTATTTTATCGAATAAATGTTTTTTTAATCTTAAAAAATATTTTACATAAAAATTTAAGAAATCAAAAAAACACAACAAAAAATAATTTATTTTTCTCTTAATATTTTCTATCTTCTAATCAATAAATATAATAGCTTATTAAAAGAACTTTATGAGTAAAATTATTATAAACTTATTGCAGTAAATAATTATAGTATTTGGTATGATTATTATGAGGTAAATGATTTTTGATATTATTTATTTTAATAAATATTTTTGAAATAAATTATTCAGATATTCGAAATAATATTTTATGATTTTTTATAAATTGATTACTTCATTTTAATTTATTTTTAAAAGTTTCTAGTCTATAAATTAAGGCTTATAAAATGAAAACTTCATAAAAAAAAATTTTATTGTCAAATTATTAATAGTGAGTAATATTATATATTAATTTATAGTATATTATGAGAATATTTAAATGATTAATTCATATGAGATTATTATAAAATATTTATATAAAGCTATTTAAAGGGATACATAGTATGGTTGCTTATAAATATTATTATATATGTATATATATATATATATATATTATTATAATTGGCTTAACAGGTGATTAAGTTCACTTATTAAGTAAGATACCTGAATAAGTTAATATATAACAATTTTATTTGTTGTTTAGGCAAATTAATAATTAACTAACTAACTAACTATCTATCTTTATTTTTATCTTATTTATTTAGACTTTTATAAAGAAAGTGTTTAAATAAAACATTAGTAAGCCAGCAAAGTGTTTGATAACCATTCACTGCTACATGTTAATTATAAATATATAGCTGATTCAAGATTCAATGATATAAGTAAATTATTATAACAATAACTAACTACTATTGTTCAGGTCAATCATTATTTTTTCTAATTAAAATAACCTAGCCTACATAGTAATTTAAGAATTTATATCAACGTATTTTACTTCAATTTTTTTATTATAATAGCTTTAATTCAGTCTACCAACCTATAATATATTAATTAATTTATTATTAAACTTTTAATATATAATTTTAAAAAATTATTTTACGAGATTCAAGGATTTGCAAGCACTATGTTACTGTATTGTTTAATTTGTTATTGTTGTTATTGCCTTTTTAATCTCCAGTTTATTATGGATCTTCAGAGCCTTAATTGTATAAACTTTGCATTAAGTTCATTTTGAAAATATCTAAGCTCTTTTAATGAGCTTCGTTTTATAGGTTATGCTTTACTCTTTCTAATTTAGGATCAAACAAATGAATGTTTTTCTTTAAATTGTCTATGCTCTAAAAGCTAAATTTCTTTCCAATCTATTAATACAGTAAGACATTTAATTTATATTAAAAGTATCAAAAATTGTAAATACCTCATTGAGATTTTCTATCAGTTTTTATTCTTCATTTTACTTATCTATTTTTAAGCGTTTTAATTTAAATTTGCAAAATATTATTTAAAAATAATTGCAAATTACTTTCTTCTTTAACTTAAGATGAAGCTGGAACTGCTTTAGCAATCTTATCTTTTTATTTGAAAGTATGATTTATTCAATTCTTTTGCATTTGCTTAAAATTAATTTTAAATTACCCTTCAGTTTCATAGATAGTTCATACAACTTATCAACTTCTTTAGCTAAATCCTATTTATATATTTGATTGAAAAATAGATTTTAAAATTTGCTCAAACAAAGAAAATATAACAATTTTAATATATTTTACTTCGTCATAAGTTACTTCACTACCTTAGGCAATAGAAAATCCTAAAAATTAAGGATTTATAACCTAGTTAATCTTTTGCGTAGTAGATAAACTCATTTCTTTAACTAGAAATTTTATTGCTAGATATAAACAGTTCTTATTTTGCTAATGAAATAAATATAAAAATTTTAAATTGTTCACAGGCTGGCTTTAATTAACTAAAAAATATCTTTTAAATTCAATAAACTTCTTTAAATTTTCATTAATTTTGATATAGAACACAGAATTAATTAAAATAACATAAAACACTAATTTATTCAATCTAATTCAATCATTTATTTTAAAATAATTAAAATATTTTATTTATTTATTTTTCTAAATTATTTATTAATTTATTTGTATTTAAATTTCGTTTAAATTGTAATTAAAAATATTATTAAACTGTTTTCAAAAATTTATATTTAATCTAAATTACAGATCTAGATTATCAACTAATTCTTTAAATTCACCAAAATCAAGTTCTCCACTCCTGTCTTTGTCAAAATCATTCATTATATCTTTAGCTAATGAATCTAAGTAATCTTAGTTTGCCATAAATGCTTCCTTAACTTCTTCCAATTCAGCATTTCTTTTCCTATAATTTTCTTCTTAGTTTTAATTATCTGTTTTAGATATTTATAAAAAAATATGCCAAACAAGCTTCAGACAAAAATTTTTTTATTTTTTTACCTTTTTTATCTTTAGATATCTAAATTGAATAAATAATTTTCATAGTGGCTTTAATGTCATCTTAAGAAATTAGATTATCCTAAAATATATTATTTCATTTCCTTGATTTATTTTAATTTACTCTTAAAAAATTACTGCGTTTATATCATAAATGTCAAATAAGAGCTTGTATTTTGAATCAATTGAAGTTAAAGGATGGAAGGGAGTTAGCACCTTAATGAAATAATCAAAATCTATATCAGTTTTATTTCTTTTTGTCATTTCAGCTTCCACTAGCTAAAAAATTCTTTCTCTAAAAAAATGCGTCTTAAGTTCAAGGAGTTGCTTGAATCCATTTAACGTCAATGTAGGCTTATTGTCAGATAATAATCTGAATTTTTCTCTTAACCTTTATATTTCTACATCAGCAAAAGGATCATATTTTTATGATCTGCTCTAATTTTTTTGCAAATCCTGTAAAGTTTAATCTATATTTTTTTCTTTTTTTTTATTAGAAGAACCATTACCCATTAGAAATCTTAACAATAAACTATGCTAATATATATATATTCAATAAGAAAAGAGCTTATAAATTTTACAAATATCTGATATAAAAGTGTGATAAGTAATTAAAAAACTAAAAAGCTAATATTTATATAATTAATTAAACAAATATATTCTTAGATTTAAGTTTCTTTTAATGAACGACTGTAATAATCTAAGAAAACTTACTTGCTCATCTATTTGAAATACTTTTTTTAATATTTTTTTGTGCTGTTTCATAAAAACAAAATAAGCAATAAATTATTCTAACTAAAATAATTATTTATTTAAAAAGAAATGTAATGTTTCAAAAAAAAAAAAATTAAAAAAGATATCTTAGTTGTATTTCATTCAATTTATTTTTATAAATCCATATAATTCATAAAACTTTTATAGAACAATGAAATATATTGCATTATTTTTTTTATCATAGCTAAAGGTAAATTCAAACAAATTAATATAAAATTTTAAGTCTCGACATAAATAATCTTCATATTAAAAAATAATTTTGTTTTTTATTTTAAAACTTTTATTTATGTTTCATTTTTTTAGTTTTTTTCTATTTTTAATCTTATCGATTAAGCTTCTTGCATTTTAAATAACTTCATCTTCTTCTTCATTTTACAAATCTTTTTTAAATTATTCTAACTCTTCCTTATTTAATGGATTATCTTCCTCATCCTCATCTATTTTTGTTTTATCAATATTTTATTCATCATTTTCGTTTTCTTTTTTATCATTTTATTTGAACTCTTCATCTCCTTTGTCTTAATTGCTTGGGCTTTAGGATTAACTTTCACTTTCTTAATTTTCATCATCATTTTCTAAATCATTTTATTTTTCACTTTAAATTTTATTTTATATTTCTATCAATTATTATTATTTTATTTTTTCTGACTCTTCCAATTCTTTCTAAACCTCCTATTTTAATTTTCTGAATTCTTCCATTCTATATAATAAAGATTTATTTTACAATAAATTCAACATTTTTAAAAATTATACCTTGCTAAAGCCTCTTATCTCTCTATTTCTTCGATTCTTTTTAGTTCCTCCTCTTCTTCTTTTCTCAACTTTTCTGCTACTTCTCTATTTTAACATATTTTTGTGTAAAAATGAAAGTATCATGTAATAAAATTACTCTTGATCTTCTAATGCAGCTCTTTTAAGCTATAATTGTTATGTTTCTTTCTTTTTTTAAGCAGCTTCCTTAATCTTTTCTAAGGCCTTTTAAATTTAAGATAATCACTATGAATGCAATATTTAGAGATTTAATTACTTATAAATGTCTTTCTTCTGTCAAATGACGCTAAAATAATGGAATTGTTTTGCTAATCTATTTGCAAATGATGCACTCAAAAACATTCTCTAATTTTTCATTTCTAACTTACCTAAATTATATTTATCAAATATTTTAACATTAATTCAGTAAAATAGCTCAAAGCTATAACTAAAGAATATTCATTTACACAGCGAATTAAGGCAGAGCCACTTTTTTATTATTTGTTAAAGTAGAACTCATAATATATATATTTTATATTAAAAAATCAACCAAAATAGACAATATTTATTTGTAAAATTTAATAAAAATTTCTAAAATTATGCTCAGAAATATCTTTTTATTTACAAGCAAATTTTTTATACATTCTACCATAAATTTTAATGCTTATGAACTTTAAATTTAAAAAAATAGTAGATTAAATTATTGAAAAAATAAATTTAATTATTTTGAAAGAATTGATTTCGCTTTACTATAAATAACTTTGTTTTATTAACTTTAATCATATCAGAAGTTGTATTTGTTAATATTTGCATTAAAAAAAATTAAATTACAATTTAAAATATTTCATCAATCTATCTAAAGCCAAGCAATATTACTTTTAATTTATTTTACATAGTTTTATTTTATTTTTTAAGAGTATTTATACTATTAATTGTTTTTAAAAAAAATTTTTTATATTGTTGAAAACTAGATTTCTGACTTTTAATAATCAAACTTTTTTTTCTCTACAAATATTATAAAAAGAAATAAGTATTTAATTTTAGAATTATCTGATATTATATTTTGCTACTTTCTAGAGATTTTTATAAGAAAGATGTATGGTAGATTAATTACATATTTTATATGTAATAAAATATTGAAAAATTACTTTATTTTAAAAATCTTAGTTTCTTTTTCTTGAAAATAATAATTTTAGAACTGGCACTGAATATAATTTAAGTAATTAAGAATTTTAATAAAAATCTACATTAATTACTATAAATAAATAATTAAGTATTTATCTTATTAAAAAATATCATGGTATTAAATAAAAATTAATGAATAAGAATATAAATTTAATTATGAGGTAAAAAATGAATTATTTATTTTCATAATTTATTTATTTTTTGCAATTTTTATATTAAAATTGGATGAATGGATGGTAGGTACTTAATTATTTATTTTCTCGTAAAAAGGAATTAAGTTGAGTTTTAATTTCGAAGATTAGTTGTAAAAAGATTTGTTTGGTTTGTTTTGATACTTTTTAAAGACTTAATCCTTCATTTGGATTAATACAAATAAATGTAAATAATTATTATTTACAGTAATAACAATCTTATAAAGCTTGCGTATTTATCAAGTTAGCAAGAAAACCAAATTTTATATGAAGTTGTTAAGCAAAAAAAAGCAAATAAATATTTGAATTTAACTATTAATTTTGTTTATTGAAAATAATTTACAATTGCATAATTATATTTATTGAATTAATTTATATAAATTATTGGTCAAAAAGAAACAAATCTCATACATAATTTATAAAGAAAGTTATTTGATTATTTATTAACCAGGAAGCCAAGAATCAAGTTTCAAATATCAAAAAATTACATAAAAATAGTATAAAGTACATAATTTGATATGCAGTAGAGAGATAATTATTTTATTTAGCATGCAGCGTAGCGAGCAAACAACTTTCCTTAACAAGTTCAACAGATGGAGAATGTAGAAGAGGATTATTAGTATGAATAGGAAGAAGGTGGTCAAAGTAGTTAAAAAATATAAAATGGTTATTATGACCAAAATTAGCAAATAGATGAATAATCTCATGAAGATGATGCAGAGTGGCACGATTAGGAAAATCAAAATGGCAGCAATTCAGATCTTCCTTATGAATAAAAAATATTAAACAAGAGACTGAATGATGCTGTATAAAGCATTAGATAAGATGAAAACCTCGTTTAAGCACTTAATGAAATTTCTTAGTGTAAAATTATTTTAACGCTTTCATTTTTTAGTTTAATTGATTTAAAGAATAAAAGTATCATTTTTTTATTTGTTATTTTATCTAATTTAAAAATAATTTAGTGGTTTTAAAGGCGAAAGAATTTTTAGATGATGACAAATATAATTATATGTTTGAGACGGTTATAAAGGTGTTAAATAAAGATTCAGTCGAAGCTTTAAACGAAAACAATTGGGAAAAGTGTTCATAGATATTAAATGTTTGCGATGATTTAACTTAGCCACACAAATATGGATTTTTTGTAGAAATGAGAGCACTTTCACTTAATAATTAGGGTTGCATGTATAAGAGAATGTAAGATTATGAAAAAGCATTAGCTTGCTTCTAGAAAGCATTATATTTGTAGATATAACAAGAATCAAGGCTCTATTTAGGTTATACTCATCTCAATTTATCAGCAATACTAAACTAGATTGGAGAGTAATTTTTATGCTAAACCTTGAACAGGAAAATTCATTTTTTATTTTAATAAAATTAAGCCACAAATAAGCACTAAGCCATGCTAAAAAGTCTGTAATTTAATTACATAAAGACTTTTAGGAATATCAAAAGGAGAATAAAGATATTTAGTTATTAAAGTAAATGGAAGGTTATATCGATGTTTGCAACAATTTAGCTCTTGCATTCTACAATGTAGCAGTTGAAGAAGAATTTTTCAATAACATTGATATGGCTACATTAAATTATGAAAATGCACTTACCTTTTCAGAAGAAAATTTGGGCTTAACTCATCATATGACAAACAAATTCAGAGAAACCTTGAACGAATTTTTATTGGTAAAGATTTTTAAAAATTTAAAAATATTAATCGATAAATTAATTGATTCAACTGATATGCTTGCTTTGTTTGTAGTTTAATTTATTAACATGAAATTTAATTTTAAATGTTAAAATCTTAAATCACTATCATGAATCTATTTTTAATTAAATCAAAAACTTTTAATTAACCTTTAAATTTTTTAATTTAGAAACTCTAATAAAAAGAAGAGGAAGAGTTAAATAGAATGGGCAATGACAAGCCTTAAATGAGACCTAAAGGGCAGGTGAAAAAAATAGTTATTTCTTCAAATAAAATGAATAGACCTAGCAGTGCTCCGAAAAAGGGATAGCAAGCACTTGATTAAATTGCTTAGATCGAAAAAAAAATTTCAACTATAAAAGATGCATATAATTTAAAGGGTTCTGATTTTGAATTCAAAGGAAATTAAGTCAGAATACGCTCTGCAAACAGAAGACCAAACTAGATTAACAATTAAAACATAAAAATAGTATAAAAAAAGGGGAACTCACCCAATGCTGATAGATTAAATTAACAGCAGATTTAGTAAAATCTCTAAAACCCAATATAATCTCTTTATTCTTAGCAATCAAACCCTTAATAATTTTACTAAAAATATTTAACTGATGCAAATGGAACTAGAGGAGCAATCACTGCTTCTATTCGTTTTCATCGTACCCCAGAACAATCTTCTAATAAAGTATTTAGGATTGCCTAAAGAGGAGTTCCTGTTACTGGTAATCATAACTCTAGTAGAGTCTACTTAGACTATTCTTAAAACTCTCAGAATATATCATAATCTCATTAAAACCACCCATTAGTAAATAATTAAAGACCTTCAAATTCAAAACTGCGTCCCACCTCTGCAAATCCTAGAGGATTTAAAAAAGATTTGTAAAATGATTATTAATAGCATAATATCAGCTACACATAGGGAGTTAATTTTGACAATAGCTATGTAAATACTAGCTTTTAGCATAATTAATCTCTAACAACTGGAGATTATTAGTAATAGAGTTAAAAGTTCCCTTATTAGTATCCTATGTTAAAGAGAAACAATAATCATGAAAATAACTACGATCAGACTGCTATGAATGGTCCAAGATAGAATTAAAATTTTGCACACAACTCTTACAATCAAGGTTAATCTTCTTCTTTTCATAATAATTCAAATGGCAGAATAAACGTAAATAGTGCTTAAAATAATTCTCAATATAGCTAATTAAATGGTACTGGCATCAGTATTAACTAAAGTACTGGGTATTCTACTAGGGGATTTAATTAATCACAACAATAAAAAAACACAAACAAAGCATACGTAAAGCAGTAATCTCCAAATAAAAATAAAAGAGAAGTAACTTTCACTGAAGAAGATGAGCCTGAATAAGCTTAATTCAACAACTAAAAATATTAGCAGGCTGCTTATAATAATTATTTTAACCAAAGCAGTTAATAAGACAATTATCAAGAGTCAAATTAAAACTATAGTAATCATATTTAAAATGATTTAAATAAAAATAATAATTATCAAATGCAAGTAGAAAATCAGTATGCTTAAAGAAATTAATAGCCATCATAGCAATATCAATAGCAGCAATAGTAATATTCAAATTAAATGAAGTAGGCTAATAAAAAGCATTATGATGATTTCTATCCCGAAGATGCTAACAATGGAGGGGCAGAAGAAGTGTACGAAGCTATTTAAGAAGAAGATGAAAACGATATAAATAACCATCGTTCGGTTTCAGTTGCAGCTGTTTAGCAAATGCAAAATAATGTTGTAGAAAACTATGATTTAGATTGGGAAGAAGATGTTGAGGAGAACTATGAAGAAGGAAATGCTTAAACAGATAAACAAGTCAAAATAAATTAATCTGATTTTTTGAATAATTTAAAGTAAAATATTAAATATTTTAAAAATATTTGTCTTAACTTTTTTATTTAGATAAATTAGCTAGAAAAATCTGGAAGATAAAATTTAGATAGATTAAGATATTGAGCAGAAAAGAAGGGAGCAGGAAGAACTGTAGAAAAAAATAGATTAGCTTAAAGAATTAGAGAAAAAAGAGCAATAGAGATTGGAAGAATAAGAGAAGATCAAGAAGTTGTAGTTGAATGAAATCTAAACAAAAGAGTAGTTACTTAATTAAAGAATTCAAGAATTAATAAGAGCTGAAAATGAAGAAAAACAGAAATATGCAAAGTTAAAAGAATAAGAGGAAAAAGCAAGATTGGATAGACTTAAGGAGTTAGAACAAATTGCCAAGTAGGCTGAAGAGCAGAAGCAAAAGCTTGAGCTTATCAAGTAAAAGGAAATAGAAACTAATAGTAATTTATAAAGATCTATGAGGATAGGAAGTGAAGAGTAATTAGGATCTTAAATCTCTGAGAGACCTTCTTCTTCAAAAAGAATACTAATTAAAAAATCTTCTGGGTTGCAACTTTAAAACAACAGCTAAATTAATTAGGACTCTGAACTTTCAGAGGAATCTCTTAATTAATAGCTGAAGTCCAACTAAAATTATATTATAATTAAGGAATTCAGTGAAAGAGACATAAATATATTTGAAGCTGAGAAACCTAGTTCATCATATTCCTCAAGAATGACTTCTACTTCATCTTCAACAAGAAGAGGTTTAATTGCAGTTGTTTATGAAATTAACTTGTATATGCTGATTATAATTTATGTTGATAATTAAGTAAGACTTCAATAATAGTCAAACCAATCTTTCTAAATTTAAGTTTTATCTACATCATCGCTTCGTCGTAAGCATGATCAGTGGTAACACACTATTGACTGGTCAGACTTCAGTTCATATCTAGAGCAAAAATAGCCTGAGGAGCTATAAGCTATGTTCTTGAATATCTTTGATTCTTAAATTGAATAACATCTCAGAGTTAATTTAAAAGAAAAATTTATAACGTTATCTAACATGAAGAAGATAGAACTATTTGAGAATAACAACAAAATTACTTTCAAGTTTCAGCTCAAAAAAAGTGCTAAATCGTCTTACATTGAGCTAGATAACACAGCTTAATCTTTGATTGAATTGAAAAATGAAATTTTACTTAAGTAAATTAAGTAAGAGGATATTATTTAGTAATATGAGTCGATTAATCTTTATTGCAGTAGTGGAAATGAAAAAGCAGGAGTATTCGGAGTATTCTATGATAGAGTAAAGCAACAAATTGTATTTGAATTTGTTACTTTATTATCTGAAGAATTATTTTGCAGATATTCCTATCATCATTATGTTGATGTATCTTGTTTGAAAGACCACTATAAAGGAGGAGATTACTTAAGTCACTCCGAATTCACTAAAGTAATAAAGATGATATATGAGGAGTACCAAAAAGTTAGTCTTTAGGTAAGAGCAATAGACGAAAAGGAAGAAAATCAATTATTTTACCCTTTGAAAATTCCTTTCTCTTAAAAATGGAGCTACCTTGAAATACTTTAGGACACACCAAAGCATACTATTGAGGCACATTTTCTACTTACGTAGAATTCTTCAATTTTTAAAACTTCTTTGGTTATAGAAGAAACATTAAATGAGAAGCAAAAAACAGAATTAACAGAAGAAGATATTTAAAATTTAATATAAAATGCTGAAGAACAACTCCTCTAAAAGATTAAGCAGGAGGATATATTGATAAAATATCACTAATAATAAATTATCTCCATAAAGGGTAAAAATAAAGCAAACAAAACAAAAAATGGCATACTAGGTGTATTCTATCTTAGAGAGAGTGCTATGATTATAGTTGAATATATTGCAGTAAGAAACTTTGATATTGAAGACACACACACATATTAGCATATATTAGACTTGAGATTAGTAAGTTAGCATTACAATAATGGTGAATATTTAAATAATGAAGAAATGACTAAAGTAATTAATGAAATATTAGATTAATACCTTTCAGTTGAATCTTAGATTACAATTGAGCCTCATTATTTGAAAATTCCATTCAATCAGGATTGGCAATTCGAAGAAATTACCTAAAACGAAGAGACAAAAGTTTTTACATTTTTCAATTTCTCTATTCGCGCTTAGGGTAAAACAATAGTTGAGAAAAAACAAACAATTCAGAATCTCCTCCCACAATCTAAAAAAAATAAAAAAGTTTAATAAATGCAATACTCAGAGTAAGAGGCAGAAGCAGCATAAAAAATCCAACAATATTACAAAATATAAGAGAATTATAAGTTGACAAAAAGAGAAATTCAAAATAAAAAAAGATTAATTCTCTCAAAAAGAATTAACAAAGAAAGTTAACCTTATTTCATATAATTCTATGAAGATTTGTCTTAAAAGAAGTATTTCTGTGTAGTACAAAGTTTGAATTCTAGAAAGTCATTTAATTACATCCATTTCATTTAAGAAATAAAAGAAAAATTAGAAGCAATATTGTAAAACCCTAATTTGATCTTTGAATACGTAAAATTTTATTTTAGTTTATTCTAAATATTAATTTTTATAACATTTTATAAAATAGTACATACTTGATACATAATAAAAGAAATTAGTTTTTAAAGATAAAAAAGATGACGCAGCTAAAAAAATTACTAAATTTTTCTACTTAGTTAAGAGATAAAAATCGCTACAAAACAAGGTAAAAAGAGCAGATATTCCTTTTAAGGTTTTAGCCCTCAGAAAAATTAATTTTGAAGATAAGTATTATCTTTTTACAATTGTTGAAAAGAAGAAGAAGAATAGTAAACATTAATTCACTGCAAAAGTAGAAACTCTTAACTAAAAAGGAGTTAATAGATGGAAAAGTGAAATACCTATTTCCTCTTACTTCGCTAAGACTATTACATCTCACAGCCATTTGATTTAATCTTAGCATAAGATATCAAAAAAATAAAAGAAAATAAATCCATTTAATTATGTAAAATAATTAAATAATTTCTTATATTTATTTAAGAATTTCTTTTGAAAAAAATAGTTCGATATTGATTTTGAAAGGAGACAAATTAGTGTAAAGCATTAGGTTGAAAAGCAAATATCTTCTTAGTATATATCAAGGAATATAAAGGGAAGATATTAGGTTTAAGCTAAGTTTATAGTAAAAAAGCCACTGAATACTAACTAAGACTTTTTGTTTAGCATATGTAAACATACCAATAAAAAGTCAAAAGGATTTTCTGGTTTAATTGAAACTATTAAAGCTTCTAAATAGCTCAAGATAAATTTAAAGTTAAGTTCAATTGAAGCAAAATATTTAATATAACAAATAAAGAAAAATACTCTTAATTTTGAATAAGAGGTATTCATTAATTTTATTAAAAATTTCATAAAATTTAAAATCTTTCTTTGAAAAATAGTTTAATTTAGATATTGAAAAGAATGTTTTTGAGTTGAAAAAAGAAAGGAAACAAATAATTGCTTAAAGCTACATTTAAGGTTTTATCAAGTCTAGACTTAGATTCAGAAAACTTTTTAAAGAATTGTTTATCTATTAAGTAAAAAAATGTATTTCAACAGAAATTCATGGTAAGAGAGTAAAATACATGTTCATAATTACGAAAAAGCTAAATCAAAAAATAACTACGGCTTAAGTTTTAGTCACTGTGGGAAAAAACATCAACAAGAAAATAACAATTCCAAATGTTTTTGGCAAATACTTCAATTTAGAAAATAGAATTATGAAAGATAAGTGGGATCCAACAAGATATGTAAATAAATAGCTATCTATTCAATTCTTTTATTTTACCTTTAAATTAACTGAATTTATTTTTAAAGTTCGAAATAGATCCTATTTATGGTTTCTTTGAGTGGAAAAAGGGCAAAAAAGAAGAGGTTGCAATCAAATTAATTATTTCTTGTTTGAGGAGAAGAAATTTCCAAAAATAAATCAAAAAATGCTAAAATCTTAAATTCATCCACAAGATAACACCAAATATTTTGCTCACCATAAGATCAATTGATAGCATTGCAACTCCCTATATAATTAGAGCTGATTTAATAAATAAGAGTTCTTCTTCTAAAGTAAAACCAGGTGTTTTGAGAATTACATTACCAGAATATGAATCTTTGATAAAACATGGCAATAATCTTTAAAACTAAGTAAAAAATTAAATTATTTTATTTAAATAATTAAATTAAAAATAATAAAAAAGATAAAAGTTGATGAAAAGACTCTCTAAATAAGCATTTAAGAAGAGAATATGAATATTGAATAGGATATTTCGACTAACAATAATATAACTGAAAGTAAAATAAAACCTCTTTTGCAAAATAATTCAAAAACCAACTTTGATGAATAAATAGATATGTCACCAATCAAAAAAAGATAAAACTCAGGGTTGATCACTTAAAACGAAATACAAGAAGATTTTGCTAGCATATCAAGAGCATTCTAAAGTAATTAGAGAAACAAAGATGATGGAGATTTAGATTTATCTCCTTCTATTGATAGATAATCAGACCATGGAAAGGATTTCGAAAAATAAAAGATTCACCTTGAAAGTGCTTTTGATAGAAGCACTCCTGCCTCTAATAAAAATATTTAGCAATAAAATCATCAAAAGTCAAAAGAAGATTTCAATTAAGTTTAAGAAAATAATAATGAGAGTTCAAAAAAGAATGACCATCATACAAAGGAATCTTAGTAGAAAATGTAGTTTAAAGATAATTAAAATGATTTTGATTTTGATGATCTTGAATATGATTAAAGCTATGAAAATACTTAAAAGGAATCACCTATGAAAACTTAAAGATCAGATTAAAAATAATAGTTAAGCAATTAAAAAGAAGAAAATTACAACTTAGAAGAGTTAAGAGGATCATTTAATTAAGAGGAAAATAAATATGAAGATAACGAATTTTATGAATCAGCTGCTGAAAACTATGAAAAAAGCTAAAATAAAAACTAGGCCACCCATTTTTCGGACAGTAAAGATTAAAAAACAGAATTAAACAACCATTAAAAGAGCAAAGATAATTTAAAGAAAACTGATTCCTATGATAAGATTCATAAAAGCTAAGACCATAACAACAACAAAGAAAGAGGGTTTGAATTAGACATTTCCCCTACTCCTAAAAAGCTGAATTAAAGTTAATAATCTTTAAAAAACGTTAAACAAGAAGAGGAAAATCTCCAAAGGTTCAGTCTTACAGAAGAAGATCTCTTTGATTAGTCATAAGCAAATTAATATAAGTCTATTCATCATGAACAAAAAGTGAATTAATAAGAAAAGCTCTAAAATTTAGTTTTAGATACAATCGAAATCTATAACATTTCAAAAAAGAATTAAAAAACATCTTACTCAACTTTAATTCTTGAATCTAAATTCAATATCGAAAGTTCTTAAATATAATTTTCTTGTCCAAATAACCACCATATTAAACAAGTAGAATATAAGATAGACTTAAACAAATTTAGTTTTGGCAGTTTAAAAGATGGATAATTAAATACGATAAATTAAGAGGAAGCAATCAATCAAATATAGGAATACATGTATCTTAATTTGATGGTTTATGTAGTTGAAAATAAAGAAATAATAGTTCTTTCAGAAGAATAGTTAAATTTAATTAAGAAAATTCAAAAGAAATTCATGTTAAAGCACTATCGTCTGAAGTACTAGATGAAAATTACTGATGAGTTCCTTGCTACATCTTATTCTTGCTAATTGCAATTAGGAGCTATTAAAAAAGATTTATTCGTTCTTGTGATAACCTAATAGCTTTCTCATAGAGAAGAAAATAATGAGTAAGTAAAAAAATTCGTAAAGTTATCTGATGTTTCAGTGAGAAAGATCTCAAGAAATAAACAAAAATATTTATTTGATAACGTGCATTTTGATTAAATAAATAGATTCTTCTATTTTGATTTATCTTAATTTTAAAAAATCTTAGAGTAAGATAAAATAAAAGAATAATAAAATAATTAGAAAATAGAATTAAATTAATAAGAATAAAGTCATCAAAACTAACATGCTATTCCTCATAGCCATACCAACCATGACAATCATAAGTCCAATAATCATTAAAATTCTCAACATGAACATGATAAAAGTGAACTTCACTAAGATAAAAATAAATCTGAGAACTAATAGCAGCATAATAGCAGAAATAGCCTTGATTAACCAATAAAACATAGAAATTCTAATTCTAGTCTTCATAATAAATAATAAGATCATTAAATTTAATCAAAAAAGAGTATTAATTCTAATTAAAACTCTCTTTAATATTTTGACGATGAAGCTGAATAAAATAAAAAAGATACTATCCATCATAATCATAATGGGTAATTTGAATAATCAATTCCCCCAACTCACAATCACAACCATCAAAATAGTATAGATTAAAATTTTGAAAATTAAGCAAATAATTATTCACATCACTCTGATTATTATGAAGATAAATAAGATATAGAATAATCTTAATAAGTTTTATTAGTAAAAGATTTAATAGTAAAACAGATTGGATACAATCAAAAATAATATAAAATCTCAGCTTACTGGCAATAAGATTAAAATATGGTGATATTTAAAGAAGATTAAAAGAATTCCTTGATAAAGCCATATAACTACAATGTAAATGAAGAACTCGATTTGTATTCCTTAGAATAATTTGCGAACAATTTCATTACTGACTGTGTTATTGATAAAAATAGAATAATTTATATGGGTAAGCTAAGTGATGCAGCACTAAAATTATAGTCTATAATTTAAAAAGAAATGATTGCTAAAGAAATTGATATAAACATTGCAAATGCAAAGAAATTAGGTAATGCCCAGTTTGGAAGAAAAGGAAGAAATTGGTTCGTTAAATTATTTACTTATAGTGAATTTAAAATACTTGATAGTCTAGAAGCTGAAAAAAACGAAAATGTTTAATTAAAGCAAGAAAAAGTATTAACTGATTATTTAGAAATTAAAAAAATGAGTAAATAAAATAGGTAAAAAATAATAAAGTATTTTGGGTTATTGATAAATTCTAACATCGAAGTAATTGCTGATTAATTTAAATTTATAGATAAAGAAGAATTCCTAAAAAGTATTTCACTACAAATCTTCTAATCACCAAAAAAGGAATAAGTTTTGGCTTGAAATTTTTTATAATTATTATAAATGTATATTAAATATTATTTTATTTTTATCTAGTAAATTTTTTCAATTTTCCATTTCATTCATTAAATTAATGAATTATTTTTTTATTCAGATAAAAACATTTTATATTATTTTTTATCTTAAATTTAAATAAAAATTTATTCATTTAAGCTATCATAAGTTTTCAATAGATATTCGAGATTAGTAATTTATAAAATTTAATTTTTTTAAACTCATATGAATTCCTTCAAAGTATTTCACTGCAAATCTTCTAATCACCAAAAAAGGAATAAGTTTTGGCTTGAAATTTTTTTTATTATTATTAATGTATATTAAATATTATTTTATTTTTATCTAGTAAATTTTTTCAATTTTCCATTTCATTAAATTATTTGAAATTAATGAATTATTTTTTTATTCAGATAAAAACATTTTATATTATTTTTTATCTTAAATTTAAATAAAAATTTATTCATTTAAGCTATCATAAGTTTTCAATAGATATTCGAGATTAGTAATTTATAAAATTTAATTTTTTTAAACTCATATGAATTCCTTCAAAGTATTTCACTGCAAATCTTCTAATCACCAAAAAAGGAATAAGTTTTGGCTTGAAATTTTTTTTGATGTTTATAAATGTATATTAAATATTATTTTATTTTTATCTAGTAAATTTTTTTCAATTTTCCATTTCATTAAATTACTTAAAATAAACTATTTTTTGATTCGAATAAAAACATTTTATATTATTTTTTATCTTAAATTTATTAAAAAAATTATCCATTTAAGCTTTTCATAAATCTTCAATAGATATTTCGAGATTAGTTAGTTAGTACTTTATAAAATTTTATTTTCTTAAACTTAAATATTTCATTTCTTTCTTCCTTTTCCATGTAAATGTTCTCAATCATATTTTATATAAAATTATCTTTTTTTTCTTGCAAAATATAAAAAAAATTACATTCATTTTTACTAGTAAATAGATTTCATTTTTATAATTTCTTTTTGATTGATTATCTGTTTTCTTAAATTCTGGTTTGTTTTTCTTTGAAATTATGATAAAATATACCTTTCATTTTCAATTTTTTTTATTTAAAAATTAATTTTCATTAACTATTTTCCAAAAATACTGATTTATTTTAGTTTGAAATTATTTTTTCTCCTCTTTTTAACGTTAAAGTAATTAGTGATTAGTTGAATTTTATAGATAAAGAATAACTCCTTAAAAGTATTTAAATTCAAGTATTATAATCATCAAATATGGAATAATTTTATGATTTAGAAACTCTCTTAAAACTACTTTTTTTCTCGAACAAAAAATATGTTCATTTGTAGTTAAATTTTTGAATTTTCATCATTAAAGTTTTTGATAAATTAAGATCAGTATTTTATAAATATAAATTTGAATTTCTTAAACTAAAAAAAATTAGAATTCCTTCATTTTTCTAAAATAAACTTCATCTATTTTTTTGTTCCTTGTATTATTCCGAATATATTTGTTTGTTTTTTTATCATAAATTATTATTCATTTTTATACTATTTTAGTTTGTTTTTATAGCTATTAAATAAAATAACGATTTCTTTATCATTAAATATTTTGACCCTTTATTAATAAAAATTTCTGATTGCTATCATTTGAAATTATTACTTATTTTTCCTAATAATAAATATGAATTATATGTTTATCTTTTATTTATCATTAAAATACTATAAGTCTAATATAAAGTAAACAGATCTAAATACTTAACTAATTCTATCTTTATTAAATACATGTTTTTTTTTTTTCAGTCTTAATTTAAAGTTAATTGCGGAAATAATATTTTAGTTGCTACTAATGAATCGGATAGCTCATTGAATTTTTATAACTTTTTAAGAAGCCTAATTTTTGTTTGGTGGCATTCCATATTGAAAGGTTGAATCATTAACATCATATTAGCTGTTCTTAATGCATCTTCTATTTTACCAAGTTCTTCTTCAGATTTCATTTTATATCTAAGTATTTCCATATTTGTAGTATTTTCCTTAAATATTTTTGTAGCCAATTCATAAACTTTTTTATAATCTCTTCCTCCAAACATATCAGAAAGCTTTTTAATAATTTACTGCAGCATCAAAGCATTTTAGTTTTATGTATTAGCTGCTATTCCACTTTGAGGCTATGAATTTGAATTATTGGTGTTATTACTATTTGCATTCATTTTGTTAAAATCACCAATCAAAGTTTTGAAATTCTTCTACTAAATTAATTAATCAATGAATAAATTAGTTAATTAATTAATTTATTATACTTTCACAAAGATTAATAAATCAACTAATTTCAAGACAAAAATTAAGTTAATATGCATTTGCTATCTTTTATTTAATTTAAATTAGATTGTTATTAAAGCTAGTTTATTTAAAAATCTAACAGCAATTTGTGACTAAATTATATCTGAATGAAATATTTTAATAACAAATAAAGCTTAAAAATAAAAAATAATTTTAATTATTTGAAATGAAATATTTGAAAGTATTTTTGTTAGATTCTTAAATTAAAATTTTTAATGAATGAAATAGGCAAAAAAAAGATATTTTATAAATATAAAAATTTATAAGTAAAAAGCAATGAAAAAAAAAGTAAGAATGAATGAAGAATGCAAGAATTTTTGAGAGGAAGAGAGAAAAAAGAAAATGGTAACAAGAAGAAATTAATAATTAAATAAAATGATAAATGAAAAAAGAGAAGAAGCAGAGTGAATATAATGCGAAAAGAAAAATAAATAAGAAGATAGGTTTGTGAATATTTATAATATAAGGAGAAACAAAAAAATAAAATAAAATAGGAAAGATAAAGAAGATTAATATTTTTGAAAGATGTTTGGAAGATTAGTTTTAAAACAAACCAGAAGAACTTTATTTAATCCCGTATTAAAGAATACCTTCTGCATTTACCAAGCTTACTAGAATCCCTTGCGTCACATCAACACTGGACACAATCCCAATAATGTTTATGAAGATATTGTTATGCTCGGTGATTACCCTGTCCAAAATAGAACCCACGACAAGGTTATTTCTCAAACCTATGTACCTGCTATTGCCAACATTGCCTTCACTCATTTGAGCAAGAAATACGTAAGTCTCTTTACATTTATAATTAAAAAATAGGAAGTGGGAATAATTGTTAAGAAGATATAAAATAGTTTTAGAGATTACGATAGTTAGGATCATATTATAGCATAAAAAGCGCTTAACAGACACAATTTATTGCCATTTTTAGAGAAATCATATTGATTCAATTTATTCTTATTTTCAAAGCAAATAAATACTCAATATAAATAAATAAATAAGTACTAACTAATACTCCCAAATTGATTTAGGTTTTTATTTAATATACAAAAAAAAAAAAAAAACACATAGCAAGAAACAAAGAATATCCAAAAGCAAATCTTTATAAACCAGCTAAATGAAAGGAATGAATGAAAACAATCCCTAGCTGAATTTTTGAAAAAGCAAATTCATTCCCTTTTTAAGATTAAAATATAAATAAGATTTAATTTATATTTCTATTTTTAAATATAATAAATAGCCTCAAGCTGGCTTGAAAGTTGATTAACTTAACACTTTGAAGGAAAAGACCTGGAATGATTTGGGTGTTAACATTGAACACGAAAAATAAGAAATTTTAGTTGAATTAAGCGAATAAATTTTTGTTAAGGAAAGCAAACTTAGATGGGTCCATGAACAAAGATAAAGATTGGCTCACACCACTTACGTATTCTCCGGTCTTGAATTCTAAAACGTCAAGGTAGGATTCTTTATTGATTCATATAACTTCCTCTTACAAGAGTTAGCTCATCGTTCTAACCTCTATCAATCCAAAGATATTGTTGGTGAAAAGAGCTTCCACGAAAAGCATCTTGAATAATAAACTGCTCCCTACTCAGGTGTTAAATCTCTTGAAGAACCTGTTTCTCAAAATAAGTCCTTCATTAACTCTTTGATGAGAGCCATCCACAACCATTGAGTTAATTGAAAGAGCAATAATTTTTATTTTCAAATGCCAAACTAACTAACTAAATAAATACATACATTAAGGATAGAAAATTTAAGTGAAAAGTAAATCTAGCATATAATTTTAAAGAGAGTTTATGTAAGTAAGTAAGATAAGCAGTAATCAATAATTTAATGATTGATAGATAGATAGATAATTAATTCCTCCTTAAAATACTAAGCTATTTCTCAAACTATCTATATTTTAATGCAGGAAACTATTGCTCAACATTAAATAACAACAGCTAGCTACAACTAACTAATAATAAATAAATAAATAAATAGCCTGTCTAAGTTATAAAATTTATATCTTATATTTCTATATATACATACAGCTTGCTCTCTTAAAAATTTTAGACTAGAATCGTTAATTATTCTGTAAAAATAAATATTATAATTTATCTACTTTTATTAAGTAAATATTACAAATTAAATTGTTGAATTAATATCTTTAATTAAACCAAATTTAAATAAAAAATTTATTATTTTAAGATAATTAAATTTAATATTTAATTAAATAATATCATAACTTAATTAAATACATACATACCCATTTATATCTAAATATAATCAATTTTTTTATAGCTTTTTTACTTAATTGCTTTATTCTAAAAACTTGACAAATTTAAATCAATAACTATTTTTAAATTAAAAATTATTTTTTTATTTTTTTAACTCAGTCAACATTAATAAATGAAATAAGCTACTTCAAGCTGCTAAAATAAAAAATAAAAATATTTTTAAAATATTATTTAGAAAAATTAATCCATAAATATTTAGTTATGTTTAAAGTTAATTAAATCATCTTATAAATAAATTACAGAAATTATTTTTAATAATTCGATGTATTTTTTAGATATATAGAGGAAAGTTTATTTTATAAAATAAAAATTAAATTATCATAATGTTCATTAAATAATGTGAAAAAATGTTTAATAAATCAAACTTATATATTAAACCATCCAAAAATTAAAATAAGCTTCTTCAAAATTAAAAAATTGATATAAAATAAATATTAAATAAAGTAAATATCTTTGAATTTCAAGTTTGTTTTTAAATTTTGAAAATAAATAATTAAACAAAGCAATTTGTATTTTAAAAAGTTTTGTGTTTTATTTTTAAATAAATTTAATGATAGTTTTTTAATTGAGATTTTATAAAAATTATATAAATTCAAACACAAAAATTAGCTTAAATTAATATCAAAAATTAACTTTAAGAAGCACTTAATTTTTCTTTAACTAATTTAGATCTACTTAAAAATATTTTATAATTGACTGATAGAAATAAAATTAAATTTTTTAATTTTTAAGTATTTAATTTGGATAAAAAGTCGAATAAAGTAAAAAATGTATTGATAATTTAGAATATATGTTATAGATAGATAGATTCTTACTGATTGATTAATTTGCCTATTTTCTCTTACATATAATTGATGTATTACATTTTTATTTATTTTTACAAATTATAAATTATTAAATTGCTTTTTTCATACATTAACTTGTTAGTTAGCATACTTTACAGAGTTCCAATAAGTAGCAACCTATTTTTTGTAAAATTGTATTAATATATAAATTGGCAATATAATTAAAATATACCTTCATGTTTAAGTTATATTATAAGTTTGAAACTCTTTGCATGATGTTGTAATATCTGTTTTGCTTTTAGTTTTTAAATTTATCAACTTCAACATAACCTATGATGACAGTTATCAAATCAGCCAACAAACTGTAATTTTCTAATTCGTGTTAAGTCTATTAAATTTTTTTTGATAATTAATGAAGCAATTTTAAAAAACACTTTTATTTACCTCGTAGATTGATTTTTCTAATTTTTAAACTTTGTCTTCCTTTGTTCCTTTAGAAAATAGGGATTTGAATGTGGTTTTACCAGCTTACAATTTAGTTTATTCTTATTATTCTGATTTTAATTTGGCCTAAGCTTATTGTTTCTTTTCCTCGATCATATCTTTATTTCTAAGAGCTTCTAGGAAAGATTCAACTTCCTTGAGTTCCATTCTAATCATATTAACTAACAGTTCGAAGTCATTATTCTTGTTCATTCCTTCCTGTTAATAAAGATTAATAATTTTACAGCAAAAATTATTTTTATTACTCAAAAAGAATATTTTGAATTAAAAATATTATTTTTACAATTTCTCTGAAGTTAGCTTTCAAATTTTCATCTCTATTGTAGACTAATAAGTTTTCGTTTTGCAAAGCGTATTCAAGGACGCAGTATTTTTCATATTCAGGAATGACTGTGTTGTTCATAATAGCTAAATTTGACAAGAATGATATTAATAATGTATATAAATATGCTTTTTAAATAAATACCAAGTTGAGCATCGAATTTTTCTCTTGATTGTGAAAGAGTTCTGCAGAAAGCCTTCATTTTCTTTAATAATTAATGGGCAGATAATTAATTAAAATAGGATAAATATCATGAAATATCTAAATTTACATCAAGCTTTTTAGCAGCAGTTTCTAAGAATTACTTGAATTTGGAAATTTTGGTATTTATTTCATTGTTAATTTCAACCTATTTATAACATTATTGAATGAGTGAATTAAAATCTTAAATATCAATTTTTCTTACACCAGCCAAATTGCTGAAACAAGTTTTATACTTGTTAATGATATCATCAGTAGTTTACTTAGGTAAATTATTCAAAACCTTTTCAAAATCATTGCTTGTGTTACGAATAAATTCTTTATTTTCTTCAGAGTACCATATATGACGAATTTCAGCGATCTTTTCAACAAAATATTGGAGGAAGTTCTTTCTGTCTTCCAAGAACTTAGATTCTTTGTTACCCTATAGAAAAGTCGATTATAAATAATAAAACTATATAAATTTATTTTACAATAGCCTTCTTAGAAGGAATAGGAGGGATAAAGCATCCTGGCCATCTTTGAACTAATAAGGCTCTGTTATATTTTGCATAATAAATAAATGTAAATTATTGAACTGGGTTATTAAAAAGATAAATACCTGAAGTGATCGAAATCACTGTATCTTCTAAATACTTCAAAGGGACCGTCCTTATCACTACCACTAATAGTATAAACTATATATTTTCCGCCATCCTTCATAACAGGATCTGAGACATTGACACTAATCTTTGATAATTAAAAAAAATACAAATTAAATTATAAAACTAAAAAACATTTTTGATGTATTTGTTAGATATAAATTCTAAGATATTTAATTGGTAATTATTTTACAATATCGTCACTCTAATGTCCTAAATGTGCCATCTTACTACTTTTATTTATCCTTTAATTTTATTAATTTTTAACTTCTAGAATTGAATATTTTTTATATTATTATTGATTGATATTTGATTGCTATCTTATATTTTTTTTCTTTTATTGTGATGAAATTTTTTTTTGCTTTAGATAAGGCAATTAATTATTTGCCTGAGGGAAGATATTATTGAAGCATTTGCTTCTTTATCTGCAAAAATTCATCAAAACTAACAAAAATCATAGTGATAAGGAAGAAAAATACTTCTCATTTTGGATACACATAAAAAGATGTCCACTAAATATATTCATCGTCAAAATAAATTAAAATATAAACAAATAAAAAAATCCAATGTAATCAAATCAATCTTCGCATTATTTTTGATAAAGACTTAAAAATTTTCAATTAATCTGATCATCAGCAATTTAAAAATATTCTCAATTTAATGTTATTACTAATTTAGTCATTAACCAATTAATTTACGATTTATACATCTAACAATTTATACTCAAAATTATTCCAATAATTAAAAAATTAATAAAGAAATTTTAAATATTAAATTAAATTATTTAACACAAATTTAAATAAAAATGTTAAAATAAGTTAAACAATAAGCATAATTCTAAGTTAAATTTAATTAAAATAAAATAAAAAATCATGTTTTTTTAATCTAAATTTATTTATTCAAACGAAGTTCAAATATTTTTAAAGAAATAACTACCAAAAAATGAGTAAATATTAATTGTAAATAACCTATTTATTTTATCTTGTCAAAAAAGATTAATCCATAAAAAGTATAAATTAATAAAAAATATTGTTTAAATTTAATCATTAATTGTTTAAAAGCTTATTTAAACTTTTATTTAATATTAAATTAAATTCAAGATATTTTGTAAGAAATAATGTTATCAAAAATTCTTTAAAATCTAGAACTAACAGAAAAAAATATAACTTTTAATAAAATTTGATTATGATTGATATATAAAATAAATCGTATTTGAATAATAAGGTCTGAGTATAAATTTAAATTTTTATATTCATAAATTTTAATCAGTCTAATTTAATCTTTATAAATATTTTTTACTTTCGATTATTTAAAGTGTATATGTATGTTAATTATAAAAAGATAAATTAATTAATTAGAAAAAATATGAAGGAGAAATAAATTTACTGAAAATTTAATTAATTTTGATACGTAAGTTTTAAATTTTAAAGATGAAAACTATCTTCAAAAAGATTATTAAATAAATTATCAAAAATATAATAATAGGATTATTAAATTACTTTATACTTTTATTTATATATTGAATTATTATTGAAGTAAGAATGAAAGATTTTCTGATTTTTTATAATTGATTTATATACAAAAATTATTTCAAATTTTTGACTTTTAAATTAAAATTAAAATCTATTTTTTTTATTTTAAGAATTTTTGATTTTATTTTACTAATTCTAAGTTTAAGTGGTTTAAAATAAAATTTAGAAGATTACTCATGTATTCCATACGTTACATTAAGATTTTGTCTTTGAAGAATCAAAAAATTGATCTTTTATCAGTAAAAGGAAAGATTGATAGATAACATGTCAAAATTAATATGTTTTGAAAATATAATATCATATATTTTAAATTAAAATTTAGACAAAGAGAAAAGAAATTAAAAAGAATATTAAAAAACAAGGATAACATAATTTAGGAGTTTTTTGATTGACCATGAAAATAAATAGTTAAGTATCATTCTAATATTGATTTAATATGAGCTATACTAAAATTTTAAAGCTTTAATTTCTTAAATTTGTTTATTTTGAGGTGAGAAAAATATAAACTATTGGTATTATATATATTAACTAGTTTTTTTTTTTTTTACTTAATAACTACACAATAATTAGAGAGAGAAGTAACTAACATATATCACAGTGTATTTTATGGCTGAAAAAGTCCAGTAAAAATAAGATTTAGTAGATTTCAATAAGTAGAATAAATCTAAGTACAAGAATGTTAAATAATCTTTTTATAATAATTCAACTCAAAATAAATAAGGTTTAGCAACATTTCTGAAATTTGTAGATTAAAAAGCCAAGAAATTGAGATGGAAGAAAATGATGAAGGATAAATTGAAGAAGTTATTTATAATAAAAAATTAGAAGATATTAATTTTGGAGGCATTATGTAATAAATAATTCAATTCAAATAGAAAATGGATGTTTTATTTTTATAAAAAAGAACCAAAGGCGCTATAGAAAATCTTATAAAGAAAATATAATCTAATCCTGATAAAATTACATATAATTTTGCGTATGAACATTATTAATTATTTGTAAACTAATTCATGATCTATATTTAATAGCATGAAAAGACTTACAATCAAAGCAATTAAAGAGATCGCATATTCCTTTACATTTTTAAATAATCTGATTCACTTAGATCTACACATAGAGTAATAATAATAGTCATATTCTTTCTATTGCATACATGCTTGATTTTAAATGATTTAGATGGTCAAATAGATTTAAATTTAAAATTAAATAGGTTAAATGAAGTAACTGATTAAGGTATAACATATATAGCCCAAGGCATAAGTTAGTTAACTAATCTTCAAGTACTTGAGCTATACTGCGGGTAAAAATCCTTTATTAATAAAATATTTTTAGGATACTTAGGATAATTAGTTAAGTAAAACATAAAGCATTTTTAAAAAGAGAGGTTTGATAGAAATTCAAATAATATGTTAGTTAAAATAAATATTTTTTAATCGAAGAGTAAAAGTATTATTCTATCAATGTAGATAAAGCATTATTTAAATGAAATTTAATTTGTTTGATATTAATAATCATAGTAAATATATGGTTAAAATGATTAAATATAACTAATTTTAAGGGATATCTACTCATAAATAAGTTAAAATATTTTCGATTAAAAGCAAGAGTTTGAGTTTATTTTTATAAGATATCAAAAAATGCTCAATGGATTTATTTTTATTTGAAAAGAGAGTATCCAAATATAATACAAAAAAGCTTTACTTTGTTAATTTAATTGATAAATATAAATATTTTAAATTATTGATTATAGATGGAGCAAAGTAGGTCCTTAAGGCATACATAATCTAGGAGAATCTCTCAGTAAATATTGTCTAAATATAAATCATATTGAACTTTACTTTTCGTAAATAAAATGCTTAATTAAAATTTAGTAAATGCAATTTATAATATTATAGGAGAAGCGATTAGATTGGGTCTGCAATGGAATAATTTGCTTTATTAGTATAAAAGATAAAAAAACTATAAAATTTATTGCTTTATTTATGGTAAATCAACTAATTAATTACTCATACATTTTTAAAGCGCCTTTTATTTAATTTGCTATAAAGGGAAAATAAAATGACTGATTAGCAACTACAGATTTTGTGTGCTGGATTACAAAAATGTTAAAAACTTAATAAATTAACTATGTTACTTGGGTAAAATTATAATAAAAAAGTTAACTAATTCATTAATTTCTATAAAAAAATTTATCAAAAACTTAGTAAAAATGATATAGGAGAGGTAGGAGTGTAAAGTTTAGCTAATTCAATAAAATAAATTCCAAAATTAACTTATTTAGAATTAGATTTAGGGTAATTTAAAAATATCTTTAGATTTTGTTTAATTTTTGTGAATAAAAAAGCGAAACACTTATAAATGGAGCATGTATGAACTTTCTTGGAAGAAGTATGCTTGAAACACAATATTTAAATTATTTAAAAATAAGTTATAAGTAAAATTCAATTCATAGATTTCTTATATTAGGTTTTTTAAAATGGTTTTGTATATAAAATAGGGACAATCCATAAATTATACAAGAGATAAGATAGATTGGATAAATGAAAAAAAATATTCTTCGTACTAAAAGATTAGTTTAAATAAAATATTGATTTTAATATTACTGCAAAACAAACAAACAAACTACTCTTATTTATATTTGTATTCAACTTCTAATACTTTATATTAAATTCATTCAAAAACTCTCCTCCTCAATCAAAAAACTAAATAAATAAATAAATAAAATAAATAAAGTAAAAAAGATAAAGAAAATATAAAAAATAACTTTTTATTAAATAAAATTTAATTAAAAATGCAATTTAATAACTTTGTCTAGATTTAATTTATTTTTCGATTTGTTTTTTCTCTTATTTGATATTTATTTATATTTCTTTTTTGATTTATTAATTTTCTTTTATTATCTAATTATTATTATTTATTTATTTTTTTAATTTCTTTTTTAATGAATTCTTTTTAATTATCTTTTTATATTTTTTAAAATCTTTTTTAGAGCTGCTACAAGCTGAGATCAAATACTCTGCATCAATTATCTGTATGTGTCTGTAAAGGCCTATAAAAAAATACTTTTTATATATTAAGACTAAGAGAGAATTTTTAGATCTTTAATCTAGAGAGGAAAAAAATTGTTTTTTGAAATATCCAATCAATGTTTATCTTTTTTTATATTTTTAAGATAAAATATTTTTGAATTCTATGAATTAGAAAAGTCTTATCGAAAGTAGAGATGATTTTGCTTAAAGCAAGGAAAGGAATACATTTTATCACTCTACTTTTTAGCCGAGATTGGTTTAGTTGGTATTTTAAAAACTTTATTTGCTTTTCTCTTCTTAGAATTCAAAATTTTATTTCTTTTTTAAAATTTATTTATTTTATTTATTGCTTTTATTTTTTATTAAAATTTCTTTAGTGAATTAAATAATATCTAAATCTATGGGAAGTATTTGTCTAACAATCTTCATAATATCTGCAAACAACCAAATAGAAATTTAATTTGAATTTTAAAATATCCCCAAATTTTTTCTTATTTTTATTAAGAAAAAAAAAAGATAAAAAATAGTAAAGCAAAGCAAAACAGAATATGTATAGAGCGATGATTAAAGTTTAAGGAAATTAACATTCATTGGAACCGGTGTTAGCAAGTTTTTTGTGGCGAGGCCCATCCACGTCCGTTAATCTAGCCATACCTATACATATTCTAAGCAGCTGCTTTCTTCATCTTTTTAAAATACTTTTTGCTTGATATTAACTGGATATTCTGACTTTGTATGTCTGAAGCTTCTTTTTTTTAATGATTAAGTTTTTTATTTGGCGACCTAAAGTCAAATGCCAGTGTAAGCATATCTATGCCAGATAAAGAAGTTAGTACAAATAAAGATATCCGTTCTTAAAAAGTTTGAAGTATAGACTGAAACCCATTTTACTAGAAATAGTAAATCGTACATTAAATTTTCGTTTTGTCTAACCATATCTTGATTAGATCAGTTTGAAACTTTTCGATTTGTGCACTTAAATAAAATGGATAAAAATCCATCAGTTTTTACTTAAAAATAGATTGATATTGATTATATATCAGTATCAAGAGTACAATCTAAAATATCGCTATTTATTTTCATTAAATTGAAAATGAATAGAAACAGTCTGAAACTGAAAAAAAATAGATTCCTTTAAACAACAAAGGATGAGTTCATCGATAGTGAAAATGTAAAAAAGATTGAAACTTTAATAGATTGATATTTACTAAATAAATATCATGAGTACATTAAATAACCATTTTAAGTTCTTTAAAATGAAATCTTGAAACTTTAATAAATAGATTGATATAGAATTAAATATCATGAGTACTTAAAAAAAAAAAAAAATCATTTTAAGTTTTTTAAAATGAAATCAAAAGATTGTAACTTAAACAAAGATTCCAATTGAAAATTCAATATGGATGAGTGCAAATATAAAAAAAATACAGTCTGCAACTTAAAAAAGATTAATACATTGTATTATGAGTACTAATGAAAGATTGAAGCAAGCTATTATGGAGTACTAAGTGAGACAAGTAGAAGTGAGTATGAGTTGAGTTGAGTGAGCGCTTATTTGTGAGTAAAGCTAGAATGATAAGGTTTGCTCTGGATTTGTGTCCACCCCCGACGGAGGGAAGGTAGGCAAAAATGGGGGTCTAAAAATAAATAAGTCCTAACCTGTTGCACATTAAATCTAATGAGAATTTGGACTGGGTAGAAAAAATAAAGCAAATCGTCTACATGCAGCCAGCCAAGGACAGATTCAAATTAGATTAAGTTTTTGAAGAAAGCAACACGCAGGCTATCGTAAAAGCTTTCAAGATTCACCCAAAAGGATCTCGCCTATTGATACCTGGGTCGGCTACATCTGAAAAAGCTGATAGCAAGTTTTTAAAACGATGAATAAAAAAAGCTTATTCCTTTTCAGGGATAAGCTCGGGTAGAGACACCCATGTAGACGTGCTCTCTTTCAAAGTATCTTAAGCCTAATGAATTTATTAAATATTAAAAAAAATAAAATATATTTAAAAAAACTAATAAATTAAATTAAAAAAAATTACTTAAAATGATTTAAAATACTTAACAAATAAATTAAAATAACTTTAAAAAAACTAGATAAAAAAATATGAACTTAAATTAAATTAAAACCAATATTAAATAAATAAATTAAAAAAAATTAATAAATAAATTATAATATAAAATAACTAAAGACTTATGAAATAATTATATTTAAAACAAATAAAAATAAATACAAAAAATAAAAAGAAAATTACAATAAAACTTTCTATAATTAATATTTAAAATATTTTAACTTTCTTGATGCTTATGCTGTGATAAACTAATTTTTACAATTACAAATATTATTGTTATTTTGATACAAATTTAAATTAATTAAATTAACCTTTTTTCTTCAAACATTTTCAATAATGTAGCTATTATTTATTCATTAAATTGTCTATGCTAATATTAATTTATCTTTTTATTCTTAATGTTTAGTTTTGTTTGTTGTTTTTGATTTATCGAGAAATTTAATTGCGTTACAAGTATTTTTAATGTAGACTTTAATATTATAAATATAAATAAGAATAGAAGAATATTTAATTTCAAAGAGTTTTTATGTTATTTTTTAAAAAATTAAAGATATCTTAATTTTAAATTCAAGCATATTCATTTATATAAAAAATAAATATAATTTTTTTAAAAAATGAGTGTTTATAGTTAAAATAGCTCATTTACTAATAAATCAAATTTATATTACTAAATAATAAATAAAGAGTTAAGTTAGAAAAATAAAAATAAATTATTAATGAAACAAATAAATTAAAATAATAAAATTAAATTTATGCCGCCATTTAGATAAAAACTCTTAATAAAATTATTTATATCAATTAACTGTTAAATTATGTTTTAAAAAAAATTATATTATAAAAAAATTTATATAAATAAATTGAAATAAATTTTAAATTAAAATAGAGAAATTTAAATAAAAGTACTAATCAACCTTTAAATTAAATTTAAGAAGAAGAAAAAAAATCGATATCAAATTTTTTTGATAAATAAAAATTATTTACGAAAGAATTCATTAATATATTGTTATTAATATAAATTTTAATAGATATTAAATCCCACTTATTTTTCGTAAATATTTTTTTTCAAAAATTTAAATATTTTGATTTTCTAAAGGTTTATCTTAAGATATTTTGTAGTACCGCCAAACAATATTTCTCATTTGAAAGGAAAGAGTGAATAAAAATATTTTTACAATAGTTTTTTAATAATAAATTAAAGTTTTTAATATTTCAGATTAAAATCTCGAAATTAATAAAATTGAGTAAATTTAAGATTAATTCAAATTTATTTTGATTTATTTTTCAAACGCAAATTTGTTTGAATCAATTATCTATCTCTTTCAAGTTTCAAACAGATATCAAATTAATTGTTAAATATTTTTGTAAATAGTTCTATTTTAAAATTAATTAGCAACATAATAAATTATGGTAAATTTAGGATTTATTCAAATTAATATTGAATTATTTTAAAAATGTAAATACGTTTTCAAATATACTTGATTAATATTCATTTTTAAATATTTTAGTAATTATTTTATAAATTAGCGTTATTAGAAATTCTAGTAAATTTAGGATTTATTCATATTATTGATTCATTTTTGAAATAAAAATAAGTTTAAGTGTATTTCTTCTTTAAAATATTTTATAATTATGAAATTTATTATCAAATATTTTAGCAAATAGATCATATTTTATAAAGAATTATCATATCTAAAAATTCTGGTATATTTAGGAATTAAATAATTTTGATTTATTTTTAAAATATCAACTTTTTTTTGAGTGGGATTTATTTCGAGTGCCAAAAAGAGATGGAATAGATAGTTAAATAATTTAGAAAATAGGTCTATTTTATAAAGATTTAGCATTTTTTCTGATGAATTCATGATTTTTTCTTTTTTGAATTATTTTTGAAATGCAAATACGTTTAAATAAATTAATTCCTTCATGTAACTAACAAACTTGCATGATACTGATTTTTAAATATTTTATAAAATATATCTATTTTATAAAACCTAGTATTTTAGCTTAAATAAATACTTCTAAAACTAAATATTTATTATAAATAAAAAATTAAATAAAAATAACAATAACAATAACTTAAAACTACTAGAATTAAATACTAAAATTATACAAAAAAAAACTTTAATATTGAAATGATCATCTTTTACTTTATAATGATTGGTTTCTGGCATTTAGTTTATAAAATATTTTTAGCAAAAGCTGAAAATAAAAATATTACTCTTTGCCTTACTTCAATGGCTCATTGGATTATAATAAACTCAATAAAGTAAATGATAACTTATTATGGGTCCTATACTTTTACAGACAGCTAAGACTATCAAATCTATTTGAAAAATAGTTATTTGTTCCTTTGGTTTATCCCTTCAAGCTATTTTACTTATGACATGATAATCAAGATTTATCTAAAGAAATTAACTTCATGGTATTTTATTCACCACAGCTTAGCCATATTACTTTCATTTATTTCGTATTACACTCAAAGTAATATTATCGAAAACTCTTTAATTCTTTACTACTCAACGTTTTGCAACCTTCCTATGAATATTAGAGACATTCTAAGGTACAAAAAGTAATAAGACACTATAGCTTACCATATTGTTACTGTTTTGTTTATATGCTGCTATTTTTATGGAATAGTTATTGGAATGACCTACTTGTAAAGAATCTTTAATTTCGAAACACACAGCTTTTTAATAATTTTATCATTAATTCTAAGAGTATAAGCCATTTATACTTTAGTGTTTAGACTGAGTCAGACTTTTGCTGATTCTTGGAAAATTATAAATAACAATTTAATAAGATCATTTGAAGTCAAATCACTAAATTAACTTATATTTTGATCTAAAATAAAATATTTCATTCAAATACTATTTTTCAATTATTTATTTTCTGCTTTTATAGTTAGTAATTTTTCTATAAAAAATGTATTAAAATTATTTCTTTGATTTAAAAAAAAAAGTTTTTTTCCATATGTTTGTTATTCATAAAAATTTTAAGTTTAAACTGTAATGAAATTTCTTCAATCATTGATGTATACCAATAATAAAATTTTTTATAATCAGAATTTATTTCTTAAAATGTAGAATAAATACTTAAATCTTCTATGTAAAGATGAAATATCCTCTTATCAATTATCATTTTCAAAATTTATTTTATTTTTATTGGAATGCATTTTAAATAATTAAAATGACCTTATTTTTAATAAAATAATTTTTTAGTAATTTAAGTTTTTTCATTTTTAAAAAAAATTTATATTTACATTAGTCATTTTTCATAGTATAAGTTTCAATAAATTGAATATTTTTTATCCTAATTTTTTCATTTTGACTCTAGGCTTTTGTAAAGCTTTTAAGTTAGAAAACCTTTTAACAAGGAAATACTGTTATTATTTAATTTATTTAGTAAATTTAAAATAATTATTTTGTAATTTTATTATTAACCAGAATACCTGAAAATAAATACATAAAAATAATATTCTATATGCCTAAGGATATGGGTTATTTACTTTAAAAATCCTGAATACTTTATTAAAGAAAAAAAAATGCCTGTTGACATTTATCATAGAATTATAATATATAAATAAATTTATAAAATAAAATAGATTTTATTAATACATATTTATTTATTTATATATATAAATGTATTAACAAGTTTTTAGTTTTCCTTTTATTTTTAGTTAATTAATTAATCTAATCAATCATCGTTTTCGGTGTCATCAACTATGAATTAATTTAAACTGTTTGAACCATCTTCATCTTCGCTGATTTCTTCTGTTAGTGAATCGCTACCGCTCTTTTTAGATTTAGGTTTTTTAGTTTTAGGTGCCTTACTTTTATTATTTTATTTATTTTTCTATTATTGTTTTTTTATCTTTGACTTTTCTTATTCATCTTACTAAGGTTCAACAACATCCCCATTTTCATCTAATTATAACTCTTCTGTATCTGAATAGACGACATCATCTAAATTTTTATCATACTTACCTTATGAAGGTTCTGATTTGCTTTGCTTTTTTTGTGTTTTTATTTTGTTACTGCTATCGGAATATCTTTTATTGTATTCTTTTGTTAATTTTGTCTTTATATCACTAGATACAACACCATAATAATCATTTTTTGGGTATTATAAATCATTGAGATGTTCCTTTAAGTGTTAGGGTTTTATATTATAATACTCTAAGTAATCTAAAACTGTCTCTATATCTGAGTTTTTTCCTTTCTTTAGATGGCTCAATATAATTTTGAGTAAAAATGGCACATAATCAAACTTTACAGCAAATCTAGAGCCAGATATACTTTTTGAGAGAGATACTCTGAATTCTCTTAGTTCTCTTGTTGTTTTTTTAGTTGTTTAAAACTTACCAAGCCATTCAGGGAATCTAGGATATATAGGTTTATCTTCACAAACTTTATCACATGGGTAGATACAACTTGTAAAAGCAAAATTTGGAAGTAATGACCAATTACCACTTTATCTAATAGATTTACTTAATAAGTCACTTTACGCTATAGATGAAGTTGCATCTACTAGATTTTAAAGTTCTTTTACATTAAAATTATCATTTTTTTTATTTTTAGATGCATCTTCTCTAGGTTTGATAGTATCGAGATAATTTTGGTGAACTAATAGTGGGATCAAATCATAATCAATAAAGAATAGTTCTATTCTTTCTCTCAAAGTCATTTTTTAGAATTTGAAACTCTACATCAACTAAGTTGAGGCCTAAAATGCATCTAGCATTACTGTGGCATCCTTTTAACCTGAATTTAGTTGTTTAGAATTAATTCCCTATAATCTCTTGCTCGTCTTAAAATGCATTTCCAAAAAATTTAATGTTTAACGGAGGTCATTTCCAAACCTTTCTGATATTGCTTCTAATGATTCTATTTCAACATCTTTAAATCCTTCTTATTCACATACATTTTTCATATATTTTGCAACATCTTATTTTGCTGGCTTTATAAACTTGATATCATAACAGTGATTTGCTAAGCTCCTAATCTTAGGATTCATCCTATCATTACATATACAAAAGATTGGTACATTTGTATTTTTGATAGCATCTATAAGAGCTTGGTTACCACCTCTGTCTCCAGAAGACATACCATCAACTTCATCCATTAATATTATGAATTTTTTATTTGTTTTAGCTTCGACTTCATCATCAGCCTTGTTGTTTGTTTAATCACTTGTATTATTTTTTTTTAATAAATTTAGAATAGAGTTAGATTTAAGGTCTCCTAGTATATTGTTAACACTCTTTTTATTACGTTCATCCGAAGCATTCCATTCTCTTATTTCATATCCCATAAACTTAGCTATAAGTCTTACTGATGTTGTTTTTCCTATTCCTGGAGGACCACTCAATAAGCAGGCTTTTGCATTAACATTACTTGAATTATCAGGTACCCCCTAAGCTCTGTTGAAAAATGAATTTTTAACTTATTTTTTATTACCCTTTATTACAACTTCAACCCAATCATGCAACCATTCCATCATTTTTTCATAATTCTTTTAGTTTCCAATGCATAGGTTAATACTGCTTGGAGCATACTTTTCTGTCCAAATTTATTCTTATTTAGGAGGCTTATGGATGACCATTTACGGTTATTAATTTTATTATTTACTTTTAGGATCATATTTAGTAGCTTCTTTGGGTTTGTTTAGTGGTTATAATATTTTTTTGGAAGGTTGAGAGTCTTTTTTCTATTGAGTTTAAGGATTATTGTTGTTATTATTAGGCACAGCAGCAAATTTATCAAATCTACTTCCATTTTAACCAACATTTGCATAGTCTTCTAGACTCTTTCCTGTTAAATCCTTTAAATAATCACTAAATTAAGACTAATTCATAATTTTAGTTCCCTTTTATTTTGCTGTTTAGTATTTTTTTCCTTATTCAGGAGGTCTTCCATCCTCCAAAACACTTCCATGGACAAGCAATGTGGTCTTTCCACTAACACTACCTGTATTTTTAGCTCCCATATCTGTAACTATTTTAGACATAGTATCTCTAGAAATTCCATCAAAATCACCAGTAAAAACAATTGTTTATCCTGCTAAAATATCAGAATCTATATTTCCATTAGAACTATTTTTATCTTTTTAAGGAGGAGCTTTATCCTTTTTTGCAGAAACTTATTACTTTTGTTTATTTTCTTCTATTTTTTTTAAATTCTTTTCTTCTAAAGCCTTTGTCCTGCTGGTAGTTTTTTTTACTTCTACATAATCATCTACTTCTTCAGCATCATAGTCATCTTCATCTATCATTTTATTTTATTTTTATCCTCCTTTTACTAAAACCCTTTTTGATTTACTATTCTTATGCAACTCCTTATCATCTTTATCCTCTTCTTTTTCTTCATAATCATCATCTTCAACTATCATTTTATTTTTTTTTTGGCTCCCTTATACTAATTTTTTTTGTTTGCTATTTTTGGGTAAGTCCTCTTCTTCATCATTAATACCGTAATCATCGTCATCAGTCTCATTTTTCTTTTATGGCTTTTTACTTGATTACTTGGGATCTACTTTTTTATTATCATTTGATCTTGTCTAACTTTAATTCATTTTTACGTCTTTCGCTTATTACTATTTATTATCACTTGAAACATTTCTCCCTTTATTTTGATTGGAAGATTTATTTTTTTCCTCATTTTCGCTTAATGCAGGTTCTGTTAGACTTTCAGTGGCAGATAATTCTTCAGTTCCTGAATTCTCTACATTCATTTTATTTTTAGAAGATTTTATTTCTTCTTTTTTCTACTCTTAAACTTTTTTAATGGGAGTTGATCGAGTATTTTTTATATCTTAACTAAAATTTCTTTTTTCTTTTTCTTCCTTTTATTCATTTTGCTTCTTATTTTGTTCTTATTTTTTAGGTTCTTCATGCTTTATTTCCTTAGCTTTATTTCAAAATAGTAGAAGAATATCATCATTAAAAAAATAATTTACTTTATTTGTATTAAGTTTTAGATGAAGATTCTTTTGTTTTTTCTTTAGAATCTTTTTCTTTGTCTTTGTCTTTAGAAGAATTTTACGAATTATTAACAGTTTTGGTATCTTATTTACTAAAATATTTCAATAAACTATTTGACTAGTTATTCTTTTTCATTTTCTTTGACTTAGATTTTTAATGTTTCTGAATAAAATAATTGAAATAATTAATTTATACTAAAAATACTTCTTTATTTGAAATAAATTAAAGTGAATTATTAGTTATGTATAAATCTATGAATTTATCAATAAATTATTTGATATAAATTTTTAGTAATTCCGCGCTTTTTTTAAAGATTTATAAATATTAATTAATCTATTAGCAAATAAAAGAAAATAAAATTTATAATACATCTATTTTAATTAATATAATTGATTTCATGACATAATTTTTTTATATAAATAATAATTGTAATTATGGCAACAATCCTTATAACAAAATATAGAGCTGATTTAATTATAAACATATTTTTTTATACAGAAATAAATCTAAATATTTTTTGCAATTTATTAATTTTAAATTAATATATTATTATTATGTCTATCATTCTTATCAATTATAATTTAATATTCATAATAAAAAATATCTTTTAATTCTTAATGTCTTTCATTTATTTTTATCTGAAAAGATAGATAATACCATCTATATTATTAAGATTTTAATTTGTAAGAGTTAATAAACTTTTATTAATTTTGTACTTTTTTTTTCTTACTTCAATAATTCTATTATTTTATTTGATATCTTTTATGGCTATTAAAAGCTATTTAAATATTTCTTTAAGTATTTAGGTTTAATGTTATATTACTCTAAGTAAGCAAAAATATATTAATTTTAAATAGCTTAATTAATATTGAACAAAAATGATACCTATTCAAACTTTAAATTAAATCTCAAACCATATATAATTTCTCAAGGAAATGATCTATTTTTTCTCAAAATTGATAAACCCTTTTTGATTATTTAAAACTTATTCAATTACCTAAGAAGCTAGAATATATTAATTTATCTCATATTTAATAAACTATTGAAATTGACATTAAAAAATGATAAAAACTAGTTTAGCTATAATAAATATAAATTATTTTGATGATAAAAATATGGACTTAAATATAAAATATCTTGTAAAAATGCATATTAATAATTAAGTATCAATTAGTTAACTGATATATTTTTAAGGGCTGAGATTGGAAAATATAATAGTGTAATAATTTATTTATTTATTTATCAATAATGTTTTTTTAAATATTAAAAATATTTGATGCAAGTTAAGTTAATGAAATATTTTACAAATAATAAATATTTAATTTAAACTTGAATGCATAAAATAGTCCTTTAAAAAAAATAATTTTTTTCTTTTAGTTTCAAATTATATAAATAGAAGGAAAATTTAAATTAAAATATCTTGAATATTGAAGTTTTTGATTATAATAACGATATATTAATTATCCCTGCATTCACCTAAATAGAAATAAAATCCTTATTAAGAATGATAATACTTTTAGGCTTATTTTTAGCTAGTGAAGGAAGCTATTATAAATAAAAATGCAAGACAAAAATAATTTATTTTATATATTTTATTATAGTTATAAAAATTTTTGTTACTTGTTAAAATATTAGGTTTAGATATAATTTGGTTAAGTTAGGGATATATAATATATGTATAAGTTCTAATATGTTTAAGAGATGATTTTGCTTAGTTTATTTTTATTCCACAAATGTTATTTATTAATAATAAGCTAACAAGTTATATTGTATACACTTTTAAAACTTCTTTGAAAAATAATTATAAAGTCTTTTAAAGTATATATAAATAAATTATTCGAAGTTTATTCTAAAGCAAATGACAGAAAAACAAGTTGATTAATAGAGTTAGTCTGCTTTAAATTAGGATGCAAACAATGAAGATTAAGTTTAAAAGGACTAAAAATAGCTTCTTTCAAAGTAAAACCTAGAACAAAATGCTGAAAATGGTTAAAATTCTGAAATGGATTAGGCTCAATTGTAGCATTAGAATAACTCTCAGTCTTAAATACATAAATAATTGTCTCCAACTAAGCAAAGTTCAATGAATGATCATGTTTAAAATTTGAGTCAAGCTAATTTAGAGCAAGAAGATAAGAAATAAGAAGCCAATACTGAAAAAAACGATTAGAATCCTAGCTAGATAAAAGACTCAAATAATAATTTAAAAGAATAAACTAAGATATCTCAACATTAATTAGGTACTCATAACTCTTTAGAGGAGCTACAAAATAAAATTTCTAATTAAAGCACAAAATAAGACTTAAAGAATGGAGAAGGAGCTATCAAAACATAAAACAGCTACTTAAATAAAGAAAAAGAAGGAAATTTGACTAACAGAAAGTCAAAGGAGCTTCCACCTTTAATAAATGAAAAATTTCATAAAACGGGAAATTCATCAACATCTCATTTAAGTGCATCAAAATATTCAGAAGGAGCTAGTTTAGGTAGAGTACTTGGAGAAATGAAGAGAAATAGGAAATAAGCAGAAATAGAATCTGCTATACTAAGCGGCAGGATAGCCTTACTTAAGTAAGAAGAAATAAATAGCCGTAAAAAGATATTTTAAACAAAAAAGTAGACATTTGAGTATTACTTGCTTAAGAAATCAAATGAAGAGCTTTAAAATTAAGTAAATTAATTAATTAATTTCTTTTTAAATTATAATTTAAAAGTAATTAAAAACTACCTGTCATATCTTAAGAAATAAAAAATTATTACCATTTGATTCGTCTTAGTTGCTTGCAAGCGCCTAAAAATAGTTATAGAATTTGACATTTTTGAGTTTAATTTTTCATTATTAAATTATAGAAAAAAAAAGACTAAAGTGAAGAATAAGAAAAGTTAAAGATTAAGTAAGAAGAAAATGAACGTTTTAGATTGAAAAAGCGTGATGATAGAGATTTAGCAAGAAACGAATAACTTAATACAAATAAGTCTCATTACAATACGGTGAAAAAATAATTATAAGAAGACGAAGAGAAAAGAAAGTTGTATTTAGAGAGATAAGCTTTGGAAAACTAAAAGAAAAAAATGTATATTTAGTAGCAACTATTAAAAGGCAGTCTTCGTGTGACAGAATATAAAAATAAATAAAATGAAAGGTAACTTGAAAATTACCGTAAATAAATTTAGGAAGAAGAATATTTGAAACAGTAAAAGCAGTATGAAATTTATCAAATGGAGCAACTCGAGCTCAGCCTCATTAAAAAGTTGCAAGCAACTTAATAAATTTAAAGAAAATGCTTTGAAGAATTATAGGGAGTTATAACATTAAAGACTAATGAATTTAAAGATCAATATAAGCCTGTCTTTTCAAGAAAAAAAGTGTACAAAATGATCATGAGCTAAACTTAATAGGTTTTGAAATAAGATGATAAAATAGAATCAGCAACCGATAGAAAAATGAATACTCATTAAAGTTTAGAAAATTTAGGAGCTCCCATTTAAGCTGAAAATAAAAAAATAAATTCTTAAGATAAGTTAAATGATATAGTAAATAATTAGGAAAATACACCAAGCTCCAAATAATAAATGCCTTCTTCCAATGAGAATTAAAGCAAAGATGAATAAAAAACTGATAATCCCGATATTTAGTAAGAAAGGAAATAGTCTCAAAATGATTTAAACAGTAATCATGTTTCATCTTTATAGAAAAGTAATTTAAAAATAACCGATGGAATAGAAGAGGAAGAACAAGACAAAAAAAAGAGAAAGAAAAGCAAATCAAAAAAAAGAAAAGTTAAAAAAATAATAAAAGAGTATCCCGATTTTGTTTTCTGAAAAGATAATAAATACTTCATATTAAATAAAGAAACAGTAATTCAAAAAATATTTTGTAAAAATTTATTACATTCACTCACACACTATTTTATTTGTATCTATTTATTTATTGTTAAATTAATTGCATGATTTTTGAATAAGTGTTTAAAGACAAATTAATTCCATCTTAAACACGAATATCTAATTTACATCCATAGAATTGCTTCATTTATTTTAATGCTCTAAAATGCATTCAATAGAATTAAAACATATTATTTCTTTATTGATAATTTTATAAATTGATTATTTACAGTTCTGATCTAGAATATATATTAGTTGTTTGTTTCCTTATTTTGTTAAAATTTTACATATTAAGCTAATTAATATACAAATAAAAAATTAAAATTATTAGTAAAATATGAATGAATCTTTATTTCTTATCAATTATATTTAAATTATTTAATATTTATTTGTTTTTGTTAAGTTTTAGATCTTTAAAAAATATAAACATAACATTAAAATACTATTTAAAGCTTGCTTACCTTCTTGTATAAAATAATATTTGTAAATAAATTTTAATATTAACTCACTTTTTAAAAATAATTCAATTTTTTTATAGAAGTTTAGAAAACTAGCTGGCTAGCTTCCCTCATAAAATCCAACCAAGATTTAAATCAAAGCCTAATTTTTGGAAAAAATTTTGGATATTTTTATTAATTTTTTAATACAATTTTAATTATATATTTAAGAAAAACTAACAATAGGCTTTAATATATTAAAAATTATATTTTTCTTCAAATCAATTCATTTATTTTCATAAGTTGATTAAATAAAATAAGTTATATTAATTTCTCACAATTTAATTAAAATATTTTAAATAATCAAATGATGAAGTTTAAGAGATATATTTGGAAATTTTATAATGTAATTGTGCATCACAGAATTCAGTTTTTATGTTCATTCTTTTTGATATGACTTAGAGATAGATAGATAAGACTTGAGTTGATAAAAAAATAAATTTTTTGTTGTAATTAAACTATTTGATTAAAAAAATCTTTACCAATCCTTGATATTAAAAAAGTAACTAACAATTAAATTCAGTGAATATACAAATATATTAATTAATCAACTCATTTTTTTAAATATAATACATTCAGATAAATTATTTTAAGATTATTCTTTTTAATTTTAATTGCTTAATTCAAATAAGCTATGATTATAAGAAATACTAACCTACTTGTAGAAAATTTATATTATTTGCTTTGGCTTAAAGACTCTGGATTGAAGGATGCTAGTTTTAATGTTAAAATTCCAGATACAATTATACTTTAATCTGGAAAAATTATGAATTGGTTTTTCACTTCTAAAAATGGTGAAGGTATTCTTATGAAGAAGGATTTCAACCTAAAAAACACTAAAATATTTGAATCATTTACAAGGAATGAGTCTAAAAGCGGGATAGTTGCTATGTTTATTGAAAATGTAAGAAATAGCGATGAGTAATCAGAAGAAAATCTTAAAAAAGCTCACAGTTCAAAATAAAATAATCATAATGAAGAACATATTAAATTTGATATTCCAAAAAATGAAGGATAAATTGTTATTAGATATTTGACCAAAGAAAAGTTAAAAGAATTTTTATTTACTGATTTTACTGAAAAAAAATCAGGCATTTTACAAAAATTTATTGATCCTTATGGAGATAGTTAAGCAGTTATTTAAGCAATATGGTCACCTTAACTTTGCGTTTTTTCTAAAAGAGTAAATTATCGTCATTTATATGACAAAAGATATGATCCTTATGAAAGGTTACCCACTTTTGATGGAGCTGAAATGTATTCGCGTACAGTTCCCTTAAGAGGTAAAATAATTTCTTAAGAAATGAGAAAATTTTGTGAAAATATTGTGCAAAGAATTGCTCATGTATCATTTTAAAAGATTATGATTCAAAGAATGGTTGTCTACTTCAAGCCTGACAAAAATAATAATCTGTATTTTCTTTACTGCAGCAGTATGAGATTATATGGAGAAAAGATTGATCCAGATATATTAGAGGAGAATCAATACAAAATAAAAAACACTCCCTTAATATTAGACACTAATTATTAAAGACCTGAAGAGATAAAGCTCATTTAAACTACGAATACAATGAGACCAATTTCTCTTGAAAATAACATAAAATGTTTCTATTGCTAATAGAAGATTTAGAAAAAAGATTTAGTCGCTGTTACTTACGAATTCATTATCAATAATTTTGAGGAAAATCCAAATGCTAAATATTCAAAAGTGAGTTCAACAGCTGTTTTAGAAGTTCCAAAAGAACAAAACTTTATCCTAAACACAGAAGAGTCTCACTATGTAAAAGATAAAACAAGTGAAATTCCTGAGCTGTTGACTAAATTATATCCTAAATTAACTGTAGAGAATTATCGCAAATTAAGACAAAACAAAAAATTTTTGAGCTAAAAAGTAAATAAATAAATAAATATTATTATATATTTTAATTCGAATATTTAAATTTAATTAATTTAATTATTACATAGATAAGATTGTGCTAATATTGTTATTTAGATTTCTCGCGTTACATAAAAATGAGTGGTGCTCCTTTAAAGGGTGTCGAAGATTTCAAATTTATGAAAAAAGGTTTGGCTAAAAAAGGCTCTTTGTTTACCAGAGAAATGAAAGCTATTGTTGCTGCAAAAAATGTGGAAATGGCTGAATAAAAAGGAGCTGAATTCGTAAAATACTAGAATAGAGAAGTTTATTAAAGAATGTTGGATTATTTAGTGGAAGAAATGGAAATAATATCAAGAGAAAGAAAGAAAAAAGGAGAACCTAATATATAAACGTTGTATGGAGATGGTGAAGCAGAAGAGGACTTAGAAGAAGATAAAAAGCCATAATAAAAGTAGGGATAATTTAAAATATCAAAAAGCTAAGCTCTGTTAAAGCCTAGTCTTCTAAGACCTCAAAGTTGCACAAATTTTAACCAAGAACTCAAATTAAAAGAAATCCAAAAGCAAATATAGTTATTTGATGATAAAATATGCAATTAATAAAGATTTAATAACTTATAGCGAATTCCTTAAAATTTTGATCAGAAAAACCATAGTCCTCCAAGATAGAAAAGCAAAGACTATATAGACAGAGATTATCTCGAAAAGAATTAGTTTGATGAAGACCTATAGAATCAAATTATAGAAACTAATAACTAAAATTTGAACTCAAATAAGTATATTATTCCTGAAAAAATAAAGCAATAAACTTAAATAGAGAGCTAATATAAGCTAAATGCTCAGTTTATAAAAACTAAAAAATCTTAACTCAGCATAAATTCATAGATAAGTCTTTCTAAAAATGGCCCTCGATAAATATCCTAAAGACCTTAATCAACAACATTTAACTCTTCACATCAGAGAATAAATTTAAACAGCACCAAAGACACTCATCCACAAAGTGGCAATTTATATTAGAAATAAGTTGTTGAAAATGATTAATAAATTTTAAGTTAGAACACAAATATGAAAAACCAAGGCTTTTTCCATTTAAATAAACCTTATAGGATACAGACAGCAACAATAAGATAAAGCTAGTAGTAAAACGCAAACATAGGAATACATGGTTCTTTATCATCAATTAAATCTCCATAGAGTACAAAGTATACATCTTAATCTGCACTACAAAGTAGCAAATAATCATAGCCTTTTATAAATGCTTATCCTCAATAAATATAATTTTCCAACTTAAAAAGACCTCAAAGCCATTAAGTGTCCTCTAATCCCTCTAAACCTTTGTCTCCATTAAATGAGTAACTAAGGATTAAGACAGATAACTCTTAGAAAAATTAAAATTTAGAAAAAATACCATAAAATCATCAAAGAGGTTTTCAAGATTAACAAGAAAACGAAATCATTGTTGAATAAAATTATGATGAGAACGAAAACTAATAATTATAAGAACAAGATGAAGAAGATTATTTTAACTATGAAAATCTTGATTTTGACTTTGAGGAAGTAAATGAAGATTATGTTAACCAGAGAGATTGAAAATTATTTAATTTAAAATGTTTATATTTATTTATTTATTTCTTTACTTGAAAAATTTAAAAGATAAATTTATCTCCTTAAATTCAATGTAATTCTTCTTTCTATTTTGTACACATTAATTAATTTCATTAATAAAAAAGTTAAGAGTATTCAATTTAAATAAAAAAAATATTAGCCCGCCGTGGGGCTCGAACCCACGACCACAAGATTAAGAGTCTTGCGCTCTACCGACTGAGCTAGGCGGGCAGGACAATTTATTTGAATAAAGCTTTCAATATTTTCTTAAATTTGATTAAAAGAAATAAAATTTATTAAGAAAAATATTCTTTTATTTTAAATGGTAAAAATACAAGTTTAAAATATAAATTGCATATTTAAATGAAGAGTTGAAAAACTTCAATATAAATTTAATTAGAGATCATTAATGGTTTAATTAGTTTTGCAGTTAGTTTTTAAATCTATTTTTTATTTACATTATTAATTAATTAACTATTTTCATATTAAGAAAATATTATTGAATCAGATATATATGTCTGTCTTTTGTCATTTCTAATCTGATAACATCTTCAAATTATTTATCACTTAAGATAGTTAATTTATATTTTCATCCTTTTTTCCATTAAAAAAATTGAAAATTGATTACTAATTAAATTAATTTACCTTGAACAAGCTATTACTTTTTTGAGAATTTTCAAATTCCAAACTTTATGAAGAATTTTTTTAATCTGTCTTAAATAATCTTTGAGATTCAATTTCAGGAATACTAAATTGAGATCCACTTTTTTCGCTTAGTTTCAATTTTTTTATTTCAGAAATATCTTGAGAATTGTTAATATTTTGCTTTTTTGGCATTAAAATATGTGTCACAAAAGTGTTATCCTGCTAACCAATTATTTAAGTAGACTTCATAGAATCTGTTTATGATTGATTGTACTATCTAATTGGAGTATGATTTCTTGAATCTTTTTAAACAATAACTGTCTCTGTTAAATAAGGGCTAAGACTCCTTTTTATACTATTCTAGTCATATACTGAACAATCTCCATATTTATTTTATATCTATGATTAAATAAATATTTATAAAATTTGTTAACAATTAAATATATAAAAACGAATAAATAATAAATGAAATTTAAACAGAAATAAATAAAAATTAAATTAAAATTGAAAAATTAAACAAAATTTTACTTGGTTTTGGATATAGTCAATAAAATCTTTTGAAGATTTAGCTTGCTCATGATTAACAATATAGCTTCTCAATAAATTAATTTACTGTAGCTAAATTTATTCATTTTAGAAATGAAATTTTTAGATTTCTTCCTCATATTTATTAATGATCTCTTTTAAGTATTTGATTTCAGATAATTTATCTTACGTTTCTTAGTGATAAACATTTTCTTTTTATTTGAATCCATTAAAAATTTCGTCAATAGTTAATAAATTCTTATGAATTTAGTCTTTTAACTTCAAAATGGAATTCTCTAAATCAACAATTATTGATTCTTTTTGTTAAATCTATTTAATAATAATTTATAAATATACTTATAAGTATTAAATAAACTAACCTTATCATATGCTTCTTGTTTATCTTTTTCAAGCTATTATACTGAATCTTTGAATGAAGCTATTTCTTTTTGAAGTTAATTATTCAACTATTAAACAATGTTCGTTTATTTTGTATGAATGTCGAATTATTCTTATAGCTTCTGTAAGCTTTATTAGCTAGATATTAGTTCACTTTATAAATTTATAATTGTGCTTTGATGGTTCTTGTTTTAATCGTCTAGTTATTTTTTAAACATTTCTTCCTTATCCTCAAGGGTAATTTCTAATTCTTTATTTATCTTAATTAAAGAGGTATTTTAAAGTATTAAGTTTTTATTGTTTTAAGAAATTCTTTCTAATTTATCATTCACACTCTGAATTTGCTTTACAACAAGCTATTGCTACTCTGAAAGTTGGTTATTTATCTTAGCATTATTTTTTTCATTTATTTCACTATAACTCTCATTACTTATAACTTAAAAGTCATCAACTAGCTTTTTGGTTTTCGAAAAACTCTCTGCAAGTTAAATAATAAAATTGTTAAACTGCTTATCAATTTCTTCAAACTGTGTATTTTTTTATGCAATTGCACAATTATTTAGTTTTAAATCTGCTAACTCTTGCTAAAAGCTTTGAATTTACTGCTAAAAAGAGGAATTCTCCATTTGCAGACGATCATTTTCAGAATTTAACACCATAATTTATCTCAAAATTTCTTTATTTTAATTAACTAAATCTTAGTATTCATTACCACATTTTTGACGGATGCTTTTGACTCCTTATTCTTGTAAAACTAATTATTCAGTTATTTAAGCTATTTTCTTTTCTTTGAGCTCAACCTCTTTTTTATTCACCTTTTTTTACAACATAGTTTATAAAAAATAAAAATAAATGCTTATAATAAATTACTTCTTGCTACTCCTAATATGCAATAAATATTTATTTAAGTTTACTTTCAGTCTCTTCATATTTATTCATGATTTCATGCAGTTAATCTCTCAATTATAAATTTTCTGTCTGACAAAACTATAGAGTTTCACTTAGATTAGATTTATCTTTTATTAGTTTATCTATAAACTATAAATATTAATTCAAAATAGTCTTAAACTCCATTCTTTATTAAATTAGTCCATCTTCCATTCTCGCTTTCCTTGAAATTCAAAACTTATTAACATAATTTTTAAACTAGATAATAATTACATTTGTAGTTTCAACATGTAAACTTAAGTGTCTAAGTCATTTTCATAAAAATTGTTTATTTTATCGTTGTATTAGTCTATTTCTTTATTTGCTTCTCTTATCTCTTGCATTATTTTAGTTGGAGACAATGTTCCAACTTTTTCAATTGCAAGAAGAGTTTCGTCATCGAGATAAGGGTTTCTGACATTATATTCAAATTCATCTGGACTTTTGAATTGAAAGTCAGCAGTTTGCTATCTCCTTAGCTATTCAATTTAATCTTCATTATTCATATAATATTCTCTCAATGTGTCAACTTAAATCATATCATTGTCATCAACAGAGCGAATTCCTATACTTTAAGTATCATCCACCTAATGACTTTTGAGTGATTTAATGTTTTAGCATTTCATTAAAAGATTAATATTCTTGCAGATAGTTTGATTATCTTTCTAAAAGTTATTTTTAAAGTCTTTGAAAGAGAAATTCATTTTTTATAACAAATAAAACTATCAAAATTATTTAATATTTTGTATTTCAAAAATTTAACAACTATTTTCATTCAATTATTTTAATCAAAGGAATCAATCAATCAATCGTTTAACTAATTTCTTTAATAAAGATAGATTGAATATATAAGTTAAAATTTAGTGGCTATTTAGTTTAATACAAGTATTTGATAACAAAGAAAAATTCCTTTATTTTTCTAACAACTATTTTATTTAGAGTGTTAGAAATTAAGTATAAAGCGAACTAAATCGCCTCAATTAAAAAATTCTGAATAATTATCTAATGAAGTAGTTTAGAAATTAAATATTTAATAGTTTTATTGATTTAATATAAATGTTTAAATTTAATAAAAAACCATTTTCGATGATGTGAAAATTTATTATTAAAATTTAAAATATTTTCTTAAATTATGAAATTTTTATTTAAAACATAAAAGTATAAAAAAAAGATGTTATATAGAATTGGTTTGTAGCATTAAAATAAAATATATACTGTAATTATGCTTTGATAAGCCCTACCTACAAATTAAGTTCTTTCCTAATGAAACCATTTTTAAGCCCTTACTCTAATTGATTAAGCCCTTTAAATTTGGAAATTTTAAAGAAAATTGGAGTGCTTAAATATAATTAATTATAAAAACCTTATGAGCAAAAAAATAGCTATTTGAATTTTAGCATAAAATAAAGTATCATCAACTAAGCTATCTTCTTACTATTTAAAATATTTAATAAAAAAATTTTAACTAATAAATAAAATTCAATAATAACAAGGCAGCATTCTTATTTTAAATAATTATTAATGATTTAATATATTTTTAAAATAATTATTGATTATTTTCTTTAAAAAACTTTTTTTATTATAATATTAAAAATTGTAAATCATTCTTTGATCATTTTAAAGATATCAATTAGCATATTAGAGATCATACTACTTTTTAATATATTTATTGTATTTTTTTCTGGATAATTTAAGCTTAAAAATCTTTGAAATAGATGAATTATCTTCTTTATTTTATTATATTAATTTGGTAAAAATAGAAAACTGTTAACAATTAGTTTTTAGATGATAACTTTATATAAATGTAGATTTAGAATAGATCTAATTCAATTAATCTGTTTATAGATATATTTTATTAAGTTTTTGGATTTTATTAATAATTTTGATTTGATTTTGAATAACCAATTATTTTTTTAGGTTGTAAAAACTTATAAATTCTTTTTATTAAACTTTTTTGTTAACTTGACTTGTAATTATTTGCTTTTAAAGATTAATTTCTGATAAATTTTATTTTCATCAAATTTTTGCATGCAAAAACAATAAGCAAATCAATACTCACTTTAAGCTATCTAAAAAAATTATGATTTTAGACTGAAATTATGGCTCTTTTAAAAGGAGACTGATTACAACTAATTTTAAATATAAATAAAATAATAGAATAAGAAAAATTATTGCAAAAAAACATACTTAAAATATTTTTAAAATGATCAATAATTAATACACATAAAGTGTGAATGATGCTGTTTAATAAGCAATCGAAATAAAAGCTTTGAAGGATGAATGGACTTTAATTAAAAAAGGAAAATATTACTCAATTTCTTGCAGAAAGTACAAAGATTGCTAAAATAAATTGCTTAAAGTAGAGGGAACTCTTCCTACCAGCTATTTCGCTGCTTGTTAATTCTATTTTGATAACATTGATACAGCTTTCCCTAAAAACAGAACCCTATGTACAGGCATAGATATTCTAGAAAAAGTCGATAACGATACTTATGTTTGTGTAATCAAGCTTGCTGCTATGGCCAATAGTTTACCTAAAGAAGTTCTCACTGTTAGACATAGAAAGTTTATTTCTAACAATGAAATTTTACTTGTAAATGGTGTTTTAGATGAACACCAAAAACTTCCAAGAAAATAGGATGTTATTAGAACAGAGCATGCAGTTTATGCATTATATTTAACCAAATTGAGTGCTACTACAACTCACTTTGAACTCTACTTTTTAAAAGACCCAAGCACATCTTTCCCTGAATAAATTTTCTCTAAATTGTCAGATGTCGTACTAAACAGTTACGAAAAAGATGTTGAAACATTGATGACTAAAAAATGAAAAAATAATATTTTAAAATTATTTTATTTGTGATTTTTAATGAATGCATTTTGCATATTAGCAAATAATTTTATAATTTTTAAGTTTTTTTCAAAAATAAAATAAATGAATTTAATATAATATAAATCTAAAATAATTTATATTCCCATAAAAAATTATTTTAATCTTTAATAAAATGTTAGTATGTATAAATTTATATTTAAATTAAAATTTAAAACTCTTTGTATATTACTCTTGAAAAATATAATTCTTAATTTACAATACTATTTTTATTCTTAAACATAAAACAATAAAAATACTTAAAGGTTTAAAAAGAGAGCGCAAGATACTAAACAAAATGATTTATGAATTAAATAATAAAATAATTAAAAAAATTTGCATTTTATTATCAATTAAAATTATTATTTTTAAAAGTAAAAATTTTTTAAAAAGTTTTTATTTTAGATTTATTTAAATAATTTTTAAAGCTATTGAGAGTAATAATTTGTCTTTGAAAAAATAAATCATTTTAAAATATTGAAAATCCTAATTTATTTTTGAAAGTAAAGAAAATTTACAGAATATCTTTATAGAAAGATTTAGATTTTTAGAAAATCAATATTTTTTTTATTTTACAGATTTTTGTTAGGATACTTCCAAATGCCAAAAAGTATAATTTATGTAAGATTTATATATTTTTGATAAATCTCATATCTTTTCTAATTTTATATTACTTTTATAATTAGATTGAACGTTTGACAAATTTGATTTATTCTAAATAAATTAGTGAAAGAAATTTCTCATAAATATTCTTGTTAAAATTAAATATAAAGGATTGTTGTAAATCTAAATAAATTATCTTGTATAAAAACCTAAATTTTAATATAGACAGAAAATTAGAAAATATATATGTAAACAAAAATAATTTTTTCATTTAAAAAACGTTAATTTAACATTAAATTAAAAAAATATTTTATTTTAGTAAAATATATTTAAAAGATGTAAATATTTTGATTTAAAATTTACAAATTATTAAACATAAAATAATAATTAATGGATGATGGCATCTTGCTTTAAATAAATATACTTTTACCAATTGAATTATTTTGTTTATCGCATATGATGTGTCAAAATTTTATCTTACACACTTCTCTCCCAAAATTTACTGCGATCTAAAGTAATCTGATTAAAAAAAAATTTATGACCTAATGAATTATAATAAAAGAAAAGTAATTAACCACTATAAATTGATTTGTAAAACTAATTCACAATAATAAAAAAGCTAAAATAATCATATATTTTAAAAAATGTAAGTATCTTATATGTATTTTACAATTCATTTCTGCTGAAATTCTTCTAGTTATATGCTTATAGTAACCATATTAACTGGTTTTGTATGTAATCTCCTATTTCTAATAATTTTCTCATTAATTTTATTTTAAATTAACTCTTCAGATTTTAAAAGAACATATACTTTTTGAAGAGCTAATTACACATCCATTTTAAGAAGAAAAAGGTAAGAGTAAAATATCATAAAATAAGGTAGAGCATGAAAAGTAAAAATATTTAAATGTAAAATTTCATCATGATTATCCAAGTGAAAATGATATTTACTATGAGCATAATTTTATTTACCATTTTTTTATATAATTTGCGTATTACTTAGAATGTAGATATGGCAAGAGTCAAAAATTTTTATTAGAATTTAATCAAAATTTTATTTTTGATGAAAAATTAAGCAAATTTCGCTATTTAAATAATAATAAAATTTGATTAATTTTTGTAAATATTAAATAAAAAAGAAAACTTCTAAACTAATTAATTAAAAAAAATGATAGGAAATAAATATAACAGCGTTATTGAAGGCAAGTTGTAGGAGAATCTCTCTCTTAGAAACATCAAGGATGGATGGAAAGAAATAAAGAAAGGAAATGATGTCCATTTATATACAACAAAATACTAAAATTTTGATGTTAAGTTGGCTAAAATCGAAGCTACTGCTCCAGTCAATATTGAAAAGGCTTCAGCATACTATTTTGATAATCTAGATGGCTAAAAATAATGTAGAGATATGTGTGATAAATTGATCAAGCTAGAAATAGTAGATTAAGATACTGTCGTAACCCTTTTCAAAACCAAGAGTAAATTCCTTGTAAGTTCTAGAGAAGTTGTTGGAATTTAACACAGAAGAAAGCTAAATGAAAGTGAATACTTAATCACAAGAGATTGCATCGAAGAACATCCTAATGCACCTAAATCAAAAGATGTAGTAAGAGCTGAAGGAAAGTTCTATGCAATTTTCTTAACAAAAATTAATGATAATACAACTAAATTTGAGATGTACATGTTATTAGATCCTAAAGGAAGTATTCCTACTTCAGTAGTTAACTCTTTAATAGAAGAATAACATGAAACAGTTATAAAAGATATTGAAATTATTAAAAAAATGTGAAATATTAGAATTATGTTATATTTTTAATTGAATTAAAAGCATATAAATAAAATATATTTTTATATTTCTGCAAATATTTTTTAAATTACGCAATCAAATTAATATGTAATTTTCATTTTAGAATCTTTTATAATCTAAAATTTATATAAAATTAACACAAATAAGTCAGCTTATTATCTAAGCTGATTTAAATAATTTAATTCAATTAATATTCGAATTTTTTCATATTAAACTATTCCTGAAGGCACATTAGATTTATTTATATTATTTATATAGTGAAGCTATAGGGTAAATCATACTTTTTCTAGAAGGAGATATCTTTTATATTTTTTATTCAAAAATACTTATTAATTTTGGCGCTTGAGTACAGCAATTACTAGTTTTTTTCAAAGTTTAACTAACTAACTACCCATCTATAAATCTTAGTATATTTTTAAGTAAATGTTTTAAAATAGAAATATTAAGATTAAATAATGAACGCTAAACTAACTTTTTTGTGATATCTCATTCTAAAAGCAAATTTATAAATTCATCTTTCTTAATTATTCCATTTATAATGAATTAAATTTCTATAAATTATTATTTAATATTTTTGAAGAAAAAAAATAAATGATATAATAGATTAAAAAATACTACAATTTAGAAGAAGTAATTATATATTTTTTTATTAGATTTTTTAAATTTATTTTTATAAATAAAAAAAGTTTTTAAACTCTTCACTCTAATCTCATTAAGTTCTCCATATTATTCTGTTTCATACGTAATTAATAAATTATATTTTTTAAATTTAACTTTCAATTTATTTTTTTTAATTTTCTAATAGAAATTTTCATGATTATTTATACATACAAATACTTTTTTAGCTATTATCTTTATTTTCACTTTCAATTTTTAATTATTCGCTATTCATTTTTATTGTTTGATATTTTTTCTTCATCTTTTGCTTCTAACACATTTATTTGATAAAAACAGTTTATTAGTTTTTGGTTAGTATTTTTAATTTTAAAAATGAATTTAAAACAATAAAGCTCATTTAATAATATATTTATTTTTCTTTTTATTGTGCTTACTTTATTTTTTTCTTTGTTAATTTAACTCTTTTTTTTTCTTCAACTTTTGCTTTTGTTATGAATTAATTAATTCATTTCATAGTTTTTCTTTATTTTTTCTTCTAAAATATAACTAATTATTTATTTATACATTTTTTCTTCAATATTTCAAAAGTGAAAATTGTGTATCAGCCTTAGGTTCTGCTTTAGCAAATTGCACAAATCTCTCAAATTTAACACTTCGCCTTGTGTAAAAAAAGTTTATTTATTTTTGATTATGATATTTTTAATTTTAAAATTTAATTAAAAGTAATAAAGCTCTTTTAATTTATTTTTGATAATTTTTATTTGATTTATATTTCTTTTACTTTTTATTGTTCTTGTGTTTTTACTTTCTTTATTTTTTAATTTAACTCATTTTTTTTACTTTTAGCTTTTAATTTTATTATTAATTAGTTCACTACATTTTTTTCTTCATTTTTCCTTCTAACTAGCTAATTAATTATCAATTATTTCTTCAATATTTAAAAAGTTTCAATTAACTTGGTGACAGAGATGCATCGGGTTTAGGTTCTGCTTTAGTAAATTGCACTAATCTATCAAATTTGACACTTCACCTTGTGTAAAAACAGTTTATTTCTTTTGGATAGTGATATTTTTAATTAAAAAAATGAAATTAACAATAAAGTTCTTTTAATTTATTTGATAGCTTTTTATGAGATTTCTTTTTCTCTTTTATTGATTGTTCTTGTGTTTTTTTTTTAATTTAACTCATTTTTTAATTTTTAACTTTTGCATTTATTATTAATTAAATTAATTTCATTTGTTCCTTCTAACTTAACTACTTAATTTTTTGTTTCTTCAAAATTTTAAAAGATAGAATTAAATTGGTGATGAAGGTGCATCAGGTTTAGGCTTTGCTTTAGGAAATTGCTCTAATCTCTCAAATTTGAATCTTTGCCTTGCGTAAAAACAATTTATTATTTTGGATTGTGATATTTTTAATTATAAAAATGAATTTAAAACAATAAAACTCTTTTATTTTATTTGATAATATTTTATTATATTTATTTTTCTTTTTTTGTTCTAAATTTTTCTTTTTTTGATAATTTAACTTATTGTGTTATTTTCAATTTTTGAATTTATTATTAATTAATTTATTCATTTTATATCTTTTATTTATTTTTTCCTTCAAACTAAATAATTAATTATATATTTTATCTTCTATATTTAAAAAGTTACAATAAAATTGGTGCAATTGGTGGATCAGGCTTAGGTTCTGCTTTTTCAAATTGCAGTAATCTCTCAGATTTGAAAATTGACCTTGCGTAAAAATATCATATTTGTTTTGGATTGTGCTATTTTAATCTTAAAAATGAATTTATTTAATAATAAAATTTTTATTTAATTTATTTTTCTTTTTCTTTTTTATTGTGCTTGTGTTTTTTTCTTTCTTTGTATATTTAACTCATTATGTTATTTATTATCAACTTACTTTTGCATAATTCAATTCATATTTTTTTCTTCTAACTAAATAATTAATTGTATATTTTTTCTTCAATATTTAACAAGTGGAAATAAAATTGGTGACGAAGGTGCTTCAGGCTTGGGTTTTGCTTTAGTAAATTGCACAAATCTCTCAAATTTGACATTTGAACTTCCGTAAAAACAGTTTATTTATTTTGGATTGTCATTTTTGAATTTTAAAAATGAATTTAAAACAATAAATCACATTTAGTTTATTTGATAGCTTTTTAATTTGATTTATTTTTCTTTTTATTTTTTATTGTGCTTGTATTTTTTTTTTTGTTTGCTAGCTCATTTTTTATTTTCAATTTTTGCTTTTATTATTATTAATTAATTAATTCATTTCGTATTTTTTCTTCATTTTTTCCTTCTAACTAACTAATTAATTATTTTTCTTCAATATTCAAAAAGTTATAATAAAATTGGTGCAATAGGTGCATCAGGCTTAGGTTCTGCTTTAGGAAGTTGCACTAATCTATCAAATTTGACGCTTAATCTTGAGTAAAAACAATTTTTTTGTTTTGTATTGTATTGTGATATTTTTTATATTTAAATTGAAATCAATTTTTTATTTTCAACTTTTGTATTTATTATTGTTAATTCATTTCATATTTATTCTTCATTTTTTTTCTAACTAACTAATTAATTATATATTTTTTCTTCAAAATTTAAAAAGCCACAATTAAATTGGTTATGAAGGTGTATCAGGCTTAGGTTTTGCTTTAAGAAATTGCACTAATCTTTCAAATTTCCAACTTAGCCTTGTGTAAAAACAGCATATTTGTTTTGGATTGCGATTTTTTTAATTTTAAAAACCTATTTAAAATAGTAAAGCTCTTAAAAAAAAATAAAATAAATAAACACCAAACACCAGGTGAAAAAAAAAAAGTAAACCCACAAAAACTAACAAATATAAAAATAAAATACATGGAATTTTTCGAAATAAAGGGGGCGGTATAGGATTCGAACCCCCGATATCACTGCTAAGACCCTCCGACTCGCCCACTCGAGTCGCTTAGCCCTTCTTTAAATTGGTGATAAAGGTGCATCAGGCTTAGGTACTGCTTTAGGAAACTGCACTAATCTCTCAAATTTAACACTTCTCCTTCAGTAAAAAATGTTTATTTGTTTCAGATTGTGATATTTTTAATTTTAAATTATTTAAAACTAAAAAGCTCTTTTAATTTATTTTATTTATTTTTCTTTTTGTTTTTTTTTATATTTCTTAATTTAAATAAATTTTCATCTTTAACTTTTGCATTTATTATAGTTAATTCATTTCATATTTTTTCTTCATTTTTTGTTTTCTAACTAACAAATTAATTATATATGTTTTCTTCAATATTTAAAAAGAAAGTGTTAAATTGGTGCAACTGGTGCATCAGGCTTAGGTTCTGTAGCAGATTGCGCTAATCTTTCATATTTAATACTTGACCTTAAGTAAAAAAAGTTTATTTGTTTTGGATTATGATATTTCTAATTTAAAAATGAATTTAAAATAATAAAGCTATTTTAATTTGCTTTTATTTGTCAACTTTTTCATTTATTAATAATTAATTAATTTAATATCATATTTTTTTTTTTTTTTTTCCTTCTAACTAACTAAATAATTATATATTTTTTCTTCAATATTTAAAAAGTTAAAATTAAATTGGAGATAAAGGCGTATTAGGCTTAGGTAATGCTTTAGCAAATAGCACTAATATCTCAAATTTGACACTTAACCTTAAGTAAAGATAATTTATTTGTTTTGGATTGTCATATTCTTTCTTTGTTAACTTAACTTATTTTTTATTTTCAATTTTTGCATCTAAAATTTATTTATTAATTCATTCATATTTTTTCGTTTTAACTAACTAATAAATAATATATTTTTTCATAAAATTCAAAAAGTGAAAATTAAATTGGTGACAAAGGTGCATCAGGTTTAGGCTTTGCAATAGCAAAATGCACTAATTTCTCAAATTTGACACTTAGCCTTGAGTATAAAGAGTTTATTTGTTTTAGATTGTGATATTTTTAATTTTAAAATGAATTTAAAATAATAAAACTAATATAATTTTTTAATTCCTTTTGTTTTTTATAATGCTTGGGTTTTTTTTCTTTCTTTGTAACGCATTTTTTTATTTTAAGCTTTTGCATTTACATAATTCATTTTTTTCATTTTTTTTCTAACTTACTGATAAATTATAAAATATTTCTTCAATATTTAAAAAGAAATAATTAAATTGGTGATTTAGGTGCATAAGGTTTAGTTTCTGCTTTATCAAATTGCACTAATCTCTCAAATTTGACACTTGATCTCGAGTAAAAATAGTTATTTATTTTAGATTATGATATTTTTAACTATAAGAATGAATTTAATAAAGCTCTAGCTTTTTATTTGATTTATTTTTTTTTTGTTTTTTATTGTCTTTGTGCTTTTCTTTATTTGTTAATTTTGCTCATTTTTTTATTTTCTACTTTTGCATTTATTATAATTAATTAATTCATTTAATATTTTTTCTTCATTTTTTCGTTCTAATTAAATAATTAATTATAAATACTTTTTAATATTTAAAAAGTTTGAATTAAATTGGTGAAAAAGGTGCATCAGGCTTAGGTTCTGCTTTAGCAAATTGCCCTAACCTTTCAAATTTAAGACTTCGCCTTTAGTAAAAACAGTTTATTTGTTTTGGATTGTGATATTTTTAATAATAAAAATGAATTTATTTTTTTATTATTTCAATTTATGTTTTTATTATCCATTAATTAATAGAATTCATATTTTTCTTTATTTTTCCTTCTAACTAATTAACTTTAAATTTATTTTTCTAAATTTTAAAAGAAAGAATTAAATTGGTGATGAAGCTGCATCAGGATTAGGCTTTGCTTTAGGAAATTGCATTAATCTCTCAAATTTGAGTCTTAGCCTTGCGTAAAAATAATTTGTTATTTTAGATTGTGATATTTTAAATTATAAGAATGAGTTCAAAACAATAAAGCTCTTTTAATTTATTTGATAGATTTTTTTTTTTTTTTCTCTTTGTTTTTTATTGTGCCTGTAATTTATAAATTAATTATATTATATATTTTTCATTAATATTTAAAAAGTTTCAATTAAATTGGTGAAAAAGGTGCATCAGATCTTAGTTCTTCTTTTAGAAATTACACTAATCTTTCAATTTTGAAACTTAACCTTGCGTAAAAACATCATATTTGTTTTTGATTGCAATATTTTTAATTTAAAAAATGAATTTAAAATAATAAAACTCTTTTAACTTATTTGATAGCTTTTTATTTAATTTATTTATCTTTTTCTTTTTTATTATACCAATGTTTTTTTTATTTATTAATTTAAAATATAATTTTTAATTTAATTTTATTTTATTTATTTTTTTTTTAGTAATTTACTCTAATTAATTTATATTAAAAGTGCAAACTAAATCAATGAATCATAAAAATTGTAAATAGAAAGAAAGTGTCTTAAATTAAAAAGATTAATTGTCTTTCAAAAATTAATCTGATGACAATAAGGTGAAAAAAAGGATGAATAAAAATTAAATACTTGAATAATAGAATAAAATGTATTTATTATATAATAATTTGTAACTGGATTGTTATACTTTAAACATAGATAGATTTATTATTGTTTTTATATTTATGTAGTAAGCTAATAAATTATTTATTAAATATAAACAAATTTAAACAATTAAATTTACTTAAATAAATTAATTCCATTAAAATTAACCCTTGGATTTTATCAAAATAAATCGATCAAAACTTTTGATTATGAATAGAAAATTTTTTAAAATGGAGAATAGTCAATTTTATAGGATTTACTGTATAATAATATTTTGTTGTTTTAATATCTTATTAATTAAATAATTGCTAAATAATTTAACAAGTTTTTATTTTTATTTGTTTTTTAGCTTGTATTATTTATCAGCTTATTAAATAAAAAAATCATTCATTTAAAAATCAAAATTTTTTTAAATAGCGTCATTTGTGAAGAAATCCAGTTTTGGACTTACATTTTAAATTCAATTAAAATCTATTGAGAATCAAAATTTCTTTATATTTTCTTTTAATAATATATTGTATAAACTAATTTAATGAAAAACTAAGTAGAAATTCTTAACATATATTTTATGTTAGTATTAATTTAATGAGTTAATTAGACTTTATAATCATCAAAATTCTTCACTTTGTTTTTAATTTGATTAAAATAAAAACAAATAAATATCATTCGTTTTAATTATTATCTTGAGGTTAGTAAAATGATAGAAAATAACTACAAAGAAATTATTGAAAAGGCTATATAGGAGAATTTATAAATAAGAGAAAATTAAGATGGGTGGAAAGAATAAATGAATAAAGAAAACTTTAAAATGTCATTTAAAAAATATTTAGACCATAAAGTTAACCTTTCTAAGATAGAATCTATTTTGCCTGTAAACTTAGAGAAAGCAACTTAATTCTATTATGAGCGTTTAGATTTGTAAAAGCTATGCAGATCAAAATGCATTAATTTTGAAAATATAGAAACCATAGATAAGGATACTTACGCATTTTTATTTAGGACTGAGCAAATCTTAGTGATCAGTGGTAGAGAGATTATTGGAGTATAACACAAGAAATAACTTAATGACAATGAAGTTTTAATTGTCAGAAGCAATATTCCAAATCACCCAAAAGTCACTCACACTCAAACATAGGAAGAAGTAGTTCGTGCAGATTAAGTAGTTTTTTCAATATTTTTAACAAAAATAGACGATAACTCTACTAAATATTTAATGTATTCTCTTATGGATCCCAAAGGAAAAATTCCAAAACCACTTATTAAACAACTCCTTCTTAAGCAATACGATGTCTTTAAAAAAGAATTAGTAGAATTATAAAAGATGTGAAATATAAATAAATAAATATATAGATAGATAGATAAAAAGATAAAGCTCATAAATAAAATCGACTTATCATCACTTGAAATAGAAAATTAAATAAATTTATCGTTTTAAAATAATTAATTAAAAATTAGTAAAATTGATTTTGTTAAAATGAATTTTATTTTAAATGTTTGTTTGTTTTAAACAATTACTTTATTGATTAAGTGTTTATTAATCGTTAAAATATAATTAATCACTAATTTAAATAAATGATCAATTATAATTTTAGCTGCTCATTCATAAATACAATATAAATACATAGGTAGTTTACCTAGTTTTTTAAATAAATTTATAATGACAAAAGAAAATTTGTTCTATATCTGTTTGCTATAAAGATCTAGGAAAACTAATCTAGGGCTTCTGAACCCAATTAAATACTAATTGAATCTATTCATTTTTAATTTTTTAAATTTTCTTTAATGATTTAAAATACTTGTTTACTTCTTAAAAAAACAACTTTATAGATTAATTTGAGTATTTATTAATCATTAAAAAACAATAAATTACGAATTAAATTATAATTTTAGCTTTATATTTCTAAATACTTACATAAATAAATACATAAAGTTTACTTAATTTTTTAAATAAATTTGGAATTACAAAAGAAAAACTGTTCAAAGTCTAGAATAAAAATCTGGGAATAATGAACTAGAGTTTCTGAACCCAACTACTGATTGAACTTGTTCAATCTCATTGTTTTTAAGTCTTTCATCTTTTATTTTGTTATTTTCTTCTAAATGGTTATTGCTAACAAAATGGATATCTAATTTCTTCTTTTCCTCAAAGAAAATTTAATTGAAGAGCTCTTGAACATCTTGTAATGTGACATTTTTAACTTCACTAAGAAGTTGAATTCCTATTTAATTAATTTATAAAATTTTATTATCAAATTTTTAATAAACAAAAATTGAATTACTTCTATTGAATAGTCTCTAATTATTTAATACTTCATCCCAATTATCATTTGCTTCTTCGAAAATACTTTTTGGTTTTTAGCTTAAGTTAGAAATAATTGATTATCTATACTACTCAAATTCAGCATCAGTAATATTGCTCATTCTTTCTTTGAAGTTATTTAAGAAAAGCTCTATCCTTTATGATAAATATTAAGGAGATTTAACATTCGATTATATCATAAAGATGAACCCTAAAACAGCTCTTGTAGTTGTAGACAAACTATGAACAACATAACCAAGTTGTTCGTCTGTTCTGAGTTTTTCAAAGAAGGGTGTCTTTATTATATTTGCCAAAAATTGCATCTTAAGCTCATTTTATATTGTATCTTTTTTATATTGATACAATGAAACTATTGCTGAGTTTGTTTCATGTGAGCCTAAATTTTTTTCCCAGAACATAGTTTTCTGAGGTAATTAGATTGCTCTAATGTCAGAAATTTCAGATGGAGAAAGCTTAGTGGCATTTTTTGCTTAAAATAATATGTTTTCTGATTCAACAGTAAAGTTTTTGACAATTTCTTCTGTCATATTTCCCTAAATTAACCACTAAAATGAAAGCTTTTACATGAGATTTTTTTAGAATACCAAATATTCATCAAAAGTAGTTTTTTCAAGAGTAGGTTGCAACTCATCTGGATTTATTCCATTAGTTATAATCAATGGTTGAGCATAGTTAAAAATGAGCTAATATGGCTACATTTTTGAGATATTTTAGTATTGTCTCATGATTCTCTCATATTATATGTCAAATTTAGTTTTATCAGTTTAGTTAAAATTAGAAATAATTGTGAAAATTTATTTGAGGTATTAAGGTAAAGAATCATTATAGCCACCAACACTCAAAATAAGAGCACCATCTACAACATTGAGTGATTATCCTAAATAAGCCATTTCAGCCATATAACTAATTTCTCTCATTTCTTCTTTTAATAAAGATATCCAAAGTGCGAATAAAATCTAATTTTTGATACCTTTTGTTTGCCTTTTATTTATACAAGAAAATACTATTATTGAGTTGATAAATTATTAAAGAAACTTACTAATTGAAGCTGATTTTTACTTTTACACTTGCTTTAGGTTTCTAGAAATGATTATCTTATTTAAACCATACCTCTGAGAATTCTTCATTTCTAATTAAGAATGGATATTAAGGTAATGTGTCGATTTCCTTAGTAAACAAATCCATGTTTTTAGGGAGAAAAGTATTAGGTTTAATTAAATCATGAATAACATCAATTTTGGGATTTAAAAGTATATTTCTAAGTTATTCATTAATTTGTTCGACTGAATACTGAGTTCCATAAATTGGCTCAGTTAATTAACATTCTTCTGCAAATTTCTTAGAAATAAGAGTGATACGAACATTTTCGATGTTAAATTAGTTAATAGTGTCTTAAATTAAATTCTTGTCATACTATTCGTTTAAGTATGGTTAAACGAGGACTTCTTCTATAGGATAGTACTGCATACGACTTGCAAGAGAAAGAGAATAGCTTTCAGGCTTTTCATTATCTTTGTTATCAAAATTTAACTTGCTTAACATTTATATCTCATTAAATACCCATTCTTGAACACCTTTTTCTTTAAGCATCTGAATATAAGAAAATAGATATTATAAAACTTATTCATAATTCTCAACACCTTTATTAGTAAGAGAAATTTCAATATTCATACTGCTCCATAAATTCTACTCATTTTAGTTACCTGCTGAGAGCTCAACAGCTAATCCATTCTTAATCAGAATACTCAATAAACTATTTTCTCCTTCATGACCTAACAAATGAGAAAGATAAGAAGCTGGATTATTCTTATAGTACTTTCTCATATCAGGGAGAATCCATTTAATTGAAAGCTTTTTAAAATTTTAAAATAATTAAAAAACTGTTTAAAGTAGAAATTTTATCTATTACTTAATGAATATCTTTAATAGGAACTACTTTCCATAAATTACCCAAATTTTCCTATGTGAAAGGCAAAGCTTTAAAAGAAGGAGGTAGTAAATCATTGTTAGGAATATCAGAAAAATAATTTTAGGCCCAGTTTTCCATCTAAGCAATATCTTTGTTGGAATAAATAACTAATCTCATTAAATTTGCTGAGTAGTATTTGTTATAAAATTAGATCAAATCATCTCTGATTGTGGGATGGCTCAATGTTTATAAATTTCCTGTTCCAAATTTGCAGAATTCAGTGTGTTTATGAGCTGAACTTCTGAAAAGTTGTAAGAAACGCCATGAATCTTGCATAATATTTTTTTGATGTTCGCTATCAACAGCATTCATTTCTTTTTCTACACAAGCTTCACTGAAAAGAGGCTTGACAAAAAATTAAGAAAAGCGATCAAGTGCACCTTCAATTGAACTATTTTAACATGCAAAATAGTAATTTGTTTCCATTTAGCTTGTGTAAGCATTTGAATAGCCTCCATTTTTACTGAGGTAATCGCTGTATTCACTTTGATTTGGATATTTTTCAGTTCCCATGAATAACATGTGCTCTAAAAAATGAGCTAAGCCTGGTCTCTTTATTTAATTAAGAAGTTATCATGTTAATTTATTTACTTATTTAAAAATTGTATATAAATTACATCAATAGGGTCTTATAAGTGACCTACATTAACATTCATGGCTGCTGATGATTTATCAGCCTTCTCATCGGAAACTAATAAACACTAAAGTTTATTTTTTAAAGTTATAGACTTATAATTTCTAAGGTCAGAAGCACCTTTGATTATTCTTTATAGTGTACTCATATACTTTTGTTTATTTAATAAAGGTAAATATGTTTTTAAGATCTTATTTTTTATTAAATAATTAAATGATAACTACCTAAATAAAAAATAACTAAGTTTAATTATCAAGAAATTTCTCAAATAGCAAAAAGGTTAAATAAAAAAATGAGCAGAATTTTCCTCTCTTCGATCAGAAAAAATCATCCTTGTTTTATTATTCAAATTCGATTCTGGTAGTCTAATTTAAATAATAAAATTTAACTGAAAATATTTATTTATTTTCATTAGTAAGCTAGTTGAGTAATTTATCAAAATTGATTAAAAATAGTCTTCAAAAAAATGAAAATATCTTAAAATTTTATCATTTAATAAATCATAAAGGTAGCAATTAAAAAGCAAATAGAATAAATTAATATATTTAAATTTAAATCACAAAATTTTATAATGTTAAAAATATTAAAATATTACATTTCAATGTCATTTATAGATATTCACCCACTTTACAAGCTATTATATTTTTATTAAAATTAGTTTTTATGTATCAATCTTTTAAAATAGTATCAAAATGCTAACAAAATACTTTAAAATTTTTTCTTAACTATAAAATTAAATATTGATTTTAAAATTGTATGTAAACATTGAGTAATATACAAATCAGCAATATTTTAGTTTTAAATTATTAGTAAGTAATAAGATTATATTTTTATTTTTTAAAAGGGAGTATCTAACAATGACCTCTAACAAATTTATTTTTAATTATCAATATGAATTTCATTTAATTATTATGTCAATTGAATGATAGAATAAAAGAGTTTCTAACAATGATTAAATGGAATATAAAAGATTAAAAATTTGAATTAATGTTTTTAAAAATAACTTTATTAAATTTCAATCTACTTTAACAAAGTAAATTGATTAAATTGGTATGTAATTTAGAAAAATCATGAATATTCAATTTTAACCTCAATATTAAGTGATGTATTATCCTTAAACTAAATTTTTTAGAACTTGTTGATATTTGATTTGTATCATTTTTAGAATATTAATGAAGCCATATAATTTAAAAAATTATAATGATTAAATTAATAATATTATTAAATTAATCTTTTCTATTAAAATTTCAAATGAATTAAGAAATTTACCAAGAAATTTTAGATAAAGCATTAAATGAGACTTAAAAAGTTAGAGAATCTAAGGAAGGTTGGAACTTTATAAAGAAAGGAAAGTACTTGACTCTTTCCAATACATAATATAAAGATCTAAACTATAAGATGGTTAAATTAGAGGGTATAATACCTGTTAATTATGAAAAAGCAGCTGAGTTCTATTTTCATGATAACTAAGCTTAAAAGAAAGTTAGGAATAATATTGAAGAAATAACTAAAATCGAAGAAATTAGTGAAGAAACCTACATAATTTTAGTAAAGCTTAAAGCAAAGTTAGTCATAGTCAGTGCTAGAGAAGTTATTGGCGTTTAATCTATAAAAAGGCTCAACTAAAATGAGATTGTTATTTATAGAGCAAATCTAAATGAGCACCCCAAAGTACCTTTTAAAAAAAATGTAATAAGATGTGAGGGTAAGATATATGGGATATTCTTAACAAAAGTGGATGAAAATTAAACTAAATTTGAAGCATATCTAATACTTGATCCAAAAGGAAATATTCCTGCTTTTGTAGTCAACTTTGTCACTGAAAGTTTACTCTCAGAATTTGAGAATGACATTATAAACATCATTAAATAAAAATGAGAGATTAATTCAGAAAATCTTAAATTCATTTTATAATTAATTATATTATCCCGAAATTGTTTATAAATATTAAGAATATAGATTTTTTAAAAAATTATATTAGATTTTTAATTCATATATTGACTTTTTGTTTATTAAACCAAAACTAAATTATGTTTTAATTCTACTAAAAATGTATTTTTTGGTTGTATATAAATTTAGTATTTATTTTTCTTGACTTTTCCTTAAAAATTTAGTTGATTAATTAATTTTTGATATCATAAATTATTGATATTATTATTACAATTCGTTTTAATCAGCTCATAATTTATAAATTTTGATTAAATTTACAATGATGCTATATTCTTCTCTTTATTTTTCTATTCTTTTAAATCTATTAATTAAGACTTGATCAGAACCCACATTTAATTAAAGTAAATTAATTAATTTCAATGAATTCTGATTTTATCTCAATAAAGTTTTATCTATTCCAGAATTATAAAATCTTAATTAAGAAATGGTAATATTAAAAAAGAAATCAAGCTGGACTTTTAAATTCTAAACTAAAACTGAACAAAATAACAAAAATTATTTATAAAATAAAATAAATCAAATAATAGAAAAACACTGTTTATCTAAAAAAATGAGTGGAAAAAAATATTCCCACATTATTAAAGGAAAAATTGAGGAACTTTTTTATGCAAGATAATTAACTAATGGATGGAAGATTTAAAAAAAAGGAGAGATTTTTACTCACTCTACTATCAAGTATCATTAACTTGAACTACCTTTAAATAAAATTGAAGGTATTTTACCTACAAATTACGATAAGACTGTTAATTATCTCCAAAATTGCTATTAAAACAAAGAAAGAAATGAAATGTGTGGTTCGTTTGAATTAACATAATAAGTAGATGAAAATACTATTGTTGGACATTTACTAAATAAGGGAAAATTTATATTTAGTCCAAGAGAATTAATTGTAGTTTAAAATAGACATAATATTTCAGAGAGTGAAACCCTAATTACAAGAGCAAGCATAGAAAGTCATGAGAACATAATCCCAAACACTGATGCTGTTAGAGCTGAAGCTAAAGTTTATGGAATTTTCCTAAAAAAGCTTAATGAATATTAAACATAGTTTGAAGCTTATCTCATTATAGATTTAAAAGGAAATATACCAAACTTTGGCAACAATATGATGATAGATAAATATTTAGAAGTATTTGAAAAAGATATAAACTATATTAAATCACATTGATTTATAAATTATTTGCAATATTAAGTGTTTATTTATGTTAGTTGATCTTCTAATTACTTAATTATTATAAACCGAATTCTATCTTCATATTAAATTCTAATCTCTAGAAAAGTATTTTTCTATTAAATAAGATGTTTCTAAAAACATAAATAATTATTATAAAAAAATTTTAAAATTATAAAAATAAATTTTAATTTAATGATAAATAGAGGAAAATTTTAGATGCCTTTAATATATTTTTTAAATATTTGAACAGTGTTAAAATATTGTTCTTTTAGTAAGTACTATGAAATTTAATTATGCTTCGTCAATTTTATTGTAGTTGAAGCATTAGAATAAAATTTTTTATTTATTTTATTAATTTTTAATGTTCTTGTTTATAATAAAAATTTTACAAATCCATTTAATTAAAAAGGAGATAATAAATAATTTAAAATCATTTTTTATTTAAATAAAGCTTTTGTTATTTTAAAAATAATTTGAATAAAATTTAATATCTTTAAATTGTTTATAAAATTTTAATCCTTTACTTTTTTCACCTTAATTTTAATAATCAAATTTAATCAGAAATTTTTTCTTTACTCTGATTATTTTAAAAAATCAATAAATTCTTATATGATTTAAATTTATCTATTTTTAAAAATATATGAAGCAAATAGAAAAATCACAGTGTCTGAAATGTACGCAAACAGATAAGCTTTTAGATAGGAAATTATTTTATTTTATTAATTATTTTCATAGTAATATTTGAATAAATATATTAGTTATGTAATAATTTATCCAAAATGTCTTTTATCCATTTATGAATGTAGCTATCTTTTTAGATATAGATTAAAAATAATATTTTCTTTCAATTTTTAGATTAATCTAATAAATGAAATAGAAAAAAAGTCTAATTCTTATTTACGAGTTTTTTTCAAATGAGCAAAAAAATAATTAATAAATCAATAAAAAAATTACTATAATATCACAAATAAAAATAAGATGTTCTCTAATATTTACTCAAAAATTATTGGTAATAAGATTTAAGAATTACTTGAAATTAAAAATAATTTACAAGGTTGGAAGTTAGAAAAATAAGGAAACATTTTATCTTACTTCTCATCAAAGTATCATAATAACTAAGTAAATCTAGCAAAATTCTAAGGTGTGATTCCTGTAAAATTTGAAAATGCTGTTGAATACTATCAAGATGGTTTATAAAATCAGTGCAGATAGAAAAATTGTGGTGATTTAGAGTATCTTGAAAAAGTAGATGATAACACTCTCGTGACTCTAGGTAAATTGAGGGGAAACTTTTTGTTTGATCCAAGAGATTTATTGACTGTATAAAATAAACATTAATTAAACAAAGACGAAGTGCTTATTACAAGATCTGATATTAATTCCCATCATTTTTATGTCTAAAATCCTCATACTATTAGAGCAGATACTAAAGTATATGGAATTTTTTTAAAAAGATTAGACCCTGTGAATACATACTTAGAAGCTTACTTTTTATATGATTTAAAAGGAAGAATTCCTGCCTTCATTCAAACTTCAATGATGAAATATAATTATGAGGTTTTATTGAATGATATAGGATAAATGAAATAATTATGAAAAATAAGCAAAAAGATAATATAATATTAATTTAGAAGAAATATCAATTAATTAAATATAAATAAATATATGTGTGCACTCAATTTATAAAATTTATAATTTAAAAAAAAAATAACTCCTAAAATAACTTACATTTAATTTAAAATATATCTACAAAATATAATTTAAAATATGAAAACAAATTGGAAAAATAAATGAAATAATTTAGTCAATCTATATTTTTTAAATCAAATTATTATGATTTCATATTTTATTAATTTTAACTTTGATTATTATCAAATAATTTAAATTAATACTGTTTTATAAAGGTATTTTTATTTAAACTTTAGGTTAATATATCATTTTAACTGATAGTATTTTCTTATATTAGATTTTATTTAACATTTATCTACTTTTTCTTTTATTTTTCTTTTTCTTACAGTTTGTTTTTTAAGAAAAAGAATGCTTCTACTGCTAAGACGATAATAATATGCAGCGTTAAGTATAACATTATAAATTGAAAATTAATTAAGAAAGAGTAGCTGATTTTATCTAATATTAAAGCATAATCATTTATATTAGTCTTGTTTCCATAGTAATTCAATAAAAAGAATTATATGTATAGCCCTAACCAAAGTAAAGAGTCAATAAAAAAGTAAAAATTAGTTAACTTAGGATTAAATGGCATTAATTTGATAATTATTATGAATTGTGTCAATTATAAGATTATAGCTAAAATATTTGATACCATCCAATTAAAGCCAAATTATATAAAGCAAATTGGTACAAGGAAGCACTCATAAAATAAATAAAATATCATAAAATTTCTTCTGAATCTACATTCGAAAATAGCCTCGTTTTATATTTTCTCTCTAGTAATCTCAAAAAAATTGTACTTTTTATCTTTAGATATAGGATTGTTAAGAAATTTATACTAATAAAACAGTATTAATATTGCTATAGGCAAAAAAAATAGAAGTAAAGTAATTTATATTCCTATATGATTACTGTCAAAACTATAGTAAAATTATTTAATTTACTAGTTAATTCCAATCATAAACATAGCTAATGCAAGTTAAAAATATTAAATAATGAAACCTGAAAATAATTTATTATAAACCAAACTCAGGATAGGTTTAATTCTTTCATTTTTTACTTTTTAGAACAAGAAATAAAAGCTAATAAAAGCAAAAAAGCATATCAAAAATAAAACTAAAGCTTAGCCACTCGTTTACAGAATATTGTAAGAGATATCTAACTGTTAATATCTTAAATTTTAGTATTCACTGCTATTTTAATTTATTAAAGCAAATAAATTCAATTTTTAGAACTAACTAGATGGACATTAATCTAAATATTAATAAATTAAATTAAAAATAATTCAAAAATTAAAATCAAAAATTTAATTACCTTTAATTGCACTTAGTGGGCCATATATTTATTATGGAAGAACCGTGTTTACCAGAAGAAGATAACTTAACTTAAAGCAAGTTATACCATTAATAGATATTCCTATACTTGATGTTGATATTAGATTTTACACAGAACTTAAGAAGGTTGTGCTAGCAAAAGCTGCCTTAGATGAGGTTTGAGCTTACTAAGTGACTTGAGTAACAACACTTTAACTAAAAGTACCAGAGTTATATGATAGGTATAGCTGAACGCATTTTTAGTTATCTAGTTTATATCCATCTTAGCAAATACAACTTTAACTATCTATCATATATCCATTGTTTGTATCACAAACTTTGCATAAATTATCCTAATGGAAATATAAACCATCTTAACAAATTAAGCAATTTGTGGGTAGAGTTCCGTTGCAAGTTTAGCAAGATTAATCACATTAAATACAGATACCATCTCTTTATTTTTGAAATTATAAATTTATTTTTTAATTTTTTTAAATATTTACTTCTCAAAGTATCCGAGACCACAAGTAACTATGCAGATTCTATTTGACAATTAATAATTAGGATTGCAAACTTTGCAACTTTATTTAGTAGAATCTAAATATTCAGAACATCCAGGTATAAAATTGAATAATTATTAAAAAGAATTCAACTGATAAATACAATTTGGAGAGCAAATGGTTGCAATATATGTTAATCCCTATTAAATAAAAAATAAATTAAAAATATCTATATTATTTTGGCAATTTACTTACATAACTAAAGCGAAATCTCTACTAGAATCTTAAATTATAAATAGTATAAATTTGACCTAATTAGCTTTATTTCATGTCTAATTATCCAGATTTATGATTGTATGTAAATTCGAATAAGGAATCACTATTAATGATAAAATTCTATTTGATAGTAAAAATAAATTTATTTAAATTAATGTAAATAAATAAATAATCCATAATAAATACCTTATGCTAAAAAAGATTTTATTAACTAAATGATGTATGTGCTATATTTTAAACTAAATTTAAAGTCTCAACATCATAAACCATAAAACTGTCTTTCATAATTACTATGATAAATGATTTCTATTATTAATTTATAATTTATTTAAAGATTTGCTTTAATTTTAATAAAAAGACATAATTAAATTTATGAAGTTAAAAATTTTAATCAATTTTTATAAATTTATTTTTTTTATTTAAAAAATATTAAAATCATTATTGAATAATTCTTAAAATAATAAAAATTTATATTTTTTATTTCAATAATTTAAAATAAACTGATGATATTAAATATTACTTCAAAAATATATGAAAAATAAAAAATAAATCTTTGAAAAATCAATAATATTTTTAAAAAATAATCAAAAAAACTTTTTAATATTATTTAAAAAATATTTTACATTTTAAAAGTCGATAATATCTGAGTAGTTAACTCCAAACTAACCTGCTTATTAAACATTGACTTTTTGTAAGACTTTAATTTAATTGTTTGCTATTTGAATTTTTACTATTTAAACTCTCCCAAAAACATAAATTGACCATTTTCTCTAGATTAAAAAAATAAATAATTAATATTTTTTCTATTTAAAATTTATTAATATTACACTAATTATCTGAATATTTACATTTAATTATTGCATATCTATTGTATAATAATTTCCATCATCCAATAACATCAAATCACCCATTATTATGAAGTAATTACTGTTACAGTAGGTATTTAAATTAGGAATATTTTAACTAATACGAGTTATATTATTAGAATTAAATAAGTCTGAAAATGTTGGTGAAGATACTATATAGTTATTTTTTTAGTTATTTATTTCAGAACACATCAAGTAAAACATTTATCCCTTTTATTTATTCAAATTTTAATAACATAAAAGATGAAATAGTTTTGGCTTTAAAATTGGTTGTAAGAAAAGTTATTGTAAATGCACGTAAAAAATCAAAATATTATTACTATTTTTAAGACTTGGTAACTTATACATGGGAATTTCAAAGCTGGATAAGAATTTTATTAAATAGATCCAGAAGAGATTTGCTCTAAGAGTGCCAAATCAATTATAAAGTAAGTAGTTTAACCTTATTACGTTAAGTATAGTTTGTTCTGTTTTAAAAAAAATTTAGATTTTTCAAATGACTATTTAAAATAATATTATTTACATCAATAAAAAAGTATCCTACAAAGCTGTAATCTGTAATTAATACCGAGCTTAAGCTATAGCTATGCATAATTCTACCTTATTCATCTATCGTACTGTAAATAGTAGATTTAGAAGAATCTACGTATATTATCGAGCTTGTTTCCTTTTTATTACATATATTATTTAAAGAATAGTTTAAATGAAAAAATAATTTTACCTAAATAAATAAGACATACATGTTGGCTAGATTTATTGGAAGTTGTTCAAAACTTAAGCAACTGTAAATAATAGTTTATAAAATAAAAAATACATATTTTATTTTCATCGCTAATTTTAGAAATCAATCTTATTATTTTTTTGTTTTTGAATTATTTAGAAATAAAATTATCATATGCCTTCCTACTTCTTAATTAATTATTTATTTTTTCTTTTATTTTAAATCAAAATCAGTAATTAATGTGAATATAACATAATCAATTAATTAATTAATCATTCAACCATTCACTCATCGAAAGTAAATCTTGATTATTAAGCTGAAAGCTAATTCAACCTCATAATTAAGCACTTTATACATCTACTCTATATTGATAACACTTATTTTTATTAATTTTTTATGTTACAATGTTACACTGTAAAAGAAAAACCAATATTTTCATAATAATTTACTAATCTCATAATTATTAAATCTTCTAGTCAACTTCTATGGGATAAATATATTATTTACTGTATTAGAAATTTATTAATTTGATCTGGATATAGTACAAAATTTATTAAGGACTAAATAATCTTACAATATCCAAAGAAAAATAATAAATAATACTAAAGCGAAATAGAAAAAATTTTTTACATCTTTATAAAAAGGTTTTTTAAAAAGCAAAGTTCATAAAAATTTATTTTACATAGAAGATTTTAAAATTTTATAAATTTGATTTAAAAATTTAATATATCTTTAAAAAAGTAAATAATAATAGTATATCGAAGTATAAAATATATTCATTTCAAAAATATTGTTCATTTTCTAAATCAAATTTAGTTTTGAAAAGTAGTTTAATATATAAAATTAATTTGGATAACAAATTTGAAAAATACTAACTTGAACTAAATAAAATTAATATAAGAAATTTTTTTTGAAAGCACTATTAAGATTTATTTGTCAAAGATATTAGTTTATATCAATTACCTAAAAATCTGATTTTAGCTTTTAAAATTAAAACTATAAAGTTTCTTTTACTTATTTTGACTTAATGCTTAAATTAAAAAATATAAATAGATATATTGAATATTAAAAACAATACTAAAAAATGATAATGGATTTATATTTTTTTAAAACTATTTTAATCTAATTCGATTATTGTTTTAAATAATATAAATTTATTTAATAATAAATAAATTATTGGTAAGAATAACAAATAAATTTTATAGAACTAAATTTGACTCATAATTATTATTTATATACAAAATTTTAGTCATTAGATAATTTATCTTAATTTTATATTAATTTATATGATGTTTAGGTTATCAAATTTTACTTCTTAGATTTGCTAATAAGTAGAAGGATCATTTAGGATTTTTAGTAAATATGAAGAATAAGTACAAAATACAAAATTAAAATTCTCCTTAATTAACACCATCTCAAAAAAAAAAAAAATTTTTCTACAAATTTTTGTGTGTACTCAATTTATAAAATTTATAATTTAAAAAAAATAAGGTATCTTAAATTTAATTTAAAATATATCTTACAAAATATAGTTTAAAATATTAAAACTGGAAAAATTTAATAATTTAGTCAATCAATATTTGTTAATTCAAATTATTATGCTCTCATTTTATTAATGTTACTTTGATTATTATCAAATAATTTAAATTAATACTGTTTTATAAAGGTATTTTTATTTAAGCTTTAGGTTAAAATGTCATTTTAACAGATAGTATTTTCTTATATTAGATTTTATTTAACATTTATCTACTTTTTCTTTTATTTTTATTTTTCTTTGAGTTTATTTTTTAAGAAAAAGAATGCTTCTACTGCTAAGACGATAATAATATGCAGCGTTAAGTATAACATTATAAATTGAAAATTAATTAAGAAAGAGTAGCTGATTTTATCTAATGTTAAAGCATAGTCCTTTATATTATTCTTGCTTCCATAGTAATTCAACAAAAAGAATTATATGTATAGCCCTAACCAAAGCAAAGAGTCAATAAAAAAGTAAAAATTAGTTAACTTAGGATTAAATGGCATTAATTTGACAATTATTATGAATTGTGTCAATTATAAGATTATAGCTAAAATATTTGATACCATCCAATTAAAGCCAAATTATATAAAGCAAATTGGTACAAGGAAGCACTCGTAAAATAAATAAAATATCATAAAATTTCTTCTGTATTTACATTAAAAAATAGCCTCATTTTATATTTTCTATCTAGTTATCTCAAAAAAATTATACATTTTTTCTTTAGATAAAGGATTGTTTAGAAATTTATACTAATAAAATAGTATTAATATGGCTATAGGCAAAAAAAATAGAAGTAAAGTAATTTATATTCCTATCTGATTACTGTCAAAACTATAGTAAAATTATTTAATTTACTAGTTAATTCCAATCATAAACATAGCTAATGCAAGTTAAAAATATTAAATAATGAAACCTGAAAATAATTTATTATAAACCAAACTCAGGATAGGTTTAATTCTTTCATTTTTTACTTTTTAGAACAAGAAATAAAAGCTAATAAAAGCAAAAAAGCATATCAAAAATAAAACTAAAGCTTAGCCACTCGTTTGCAGTATATTGTAAGAGATATCTAACTGTTAATATCTTAAATTTTAGTATTCACTTCTATTTTAATTTATAAAAGCAAACAAATTCAATTTTTAGAACTAACTAGATGGACATTAATCTAAATATTAATAAATTAAATTAAAAACAATTCAAAAATCAAAAATTTAATTACCTTTAATTGCACTTAGTGGACCATATATTTATTATGGAAGAACTGTGTTTACAAGAAGAAGATAACTTAGCTTAAAGCAAGTTATACCATTAATAGTTATTCCTATACTTGATGTTGATAATAAATTTTACACAGAACTTAAGAAGGTTGTGCTAGCAAAAGCTACCTTAGATGAGATTTGAGCTTACTAAGTGACTTGATTAACTACACTTTAACTAAAAGTACCAGAGTTATATGATAGGTATAGTTGAACGCATTTTTAGTCATCTAGTTAATAGCCATCTTAGCAAATACAGCTTTAACTAACTACCATATACCCATTCCTAGTATCACAAACTTTGCATAAATTATCCTGATGGTAATATAACCCATCTTAACAAATTAAGCAGTTTGTAGGTAGAGTTCCGTTGCAAGTTTAGCAAGATTAATCACATTGAATACAGACACCATCTCTTTATTTTCAAATCATTATAAATTTATTATTTAATTTTTTAAATATTTACTTTTCATAGTATCCGAGACCACAAGTAACTATGCAGATTCCATTTGACAATTAATAATTAGAATTACATGCCTTGCAATTTTATTTATTAGAATCTAAATATTCAGAGCATCCAGGTATAAAATTGAATAATTATTAAATAGAATTTAACTGATTAATACAATTTTAAGTGCAAATGGTTGCAATATATGTTAATCCCTATTAGATAAAAAACAAATTAAAAGTATCTATTTTATTTTGGCAATTTTCTTACATAACCAAAGCGATATCTATACTAGAATTTGAAATTATAAATAGAATAACTTTGATCTAATTAGCTATATTTCATGTCTAATTATCCAGATTTATGATTGTATGTAAATTCATATAAGGAATCCCCATAAATGATAAAATTCTATTTTATGATATAAATAAATACATTTAAATAAAATTAATAAAATTATTCATAATAAATACCTTATGTTAAAAATAATTTAATTAATTAAAAGATATATGTTCTATATTTTTAATTAAATTTAGAGTCTCAACATCATAAACAATAAAACTGTCTTTCTTAACTATAATGATAAATGATTTCTATTATTAATTTATAATTTATTTAATTATTTGCTTTAATTTTAATAAAAAGACATAATTAAATTTATGAAGTTAAAAATTTTATTTAATTTTATATATAATAAATTTATCTTTTTTTTATTTAAAAAATATTATAAAATAATTTTGAATAATTCGAAAATATTAAAAATTTATATTTTTATTCTAGTAATTTAAAATAAATTGGTGTTATTGCAAAATAATAAATAAATAAATAAATCTTTGAAAAATAAACTACAAATTTAAAAAATAATCAAAAAAAAATTTGTGATTTTTTAATTTTTATCAAAAATATTTTACATTTTAAAAGTCGATTATATCTGAGTAGTTAATTCCAAGTTAATTATTGATTTTTTGTAAGACTTTAATTTAATTGTTTGCTATTTGAATTTTTACTATTTAAACTCTCCCCAAAGCATAAATTTACCATTTTTTCTTGTTTAAAAAAATAAATTATTACTATTTTTCTATTTAATATTTATTAATATTACACTAATAAGCTGCATATTTTAATTTAGTTCTGGTGTATCTATTGCATAATAATTTCCATCATCCAATAACATCAAATTACCCAATATTATGAAGTAATTACTGTTACAGTAGGTATTTAAAGTAGGTATGTTTTAAGTAATTCGAGTTATACTATTAGAATTAAATAAGTCTGAAAATGTAGGTGAAGATACTATATAATTATTTTTTGAGTCATTAACCTCAGAGCACATCAAATAAAACATTTATCCCTGTTATTTATTCAATTTTTAGTGATATAAAAGATGAAATAGTTTTGACTATAAAATTGCTAGTCAGTATAATTATTGCAAAAGTAAGAAAAAAATCAAAATATAATTACTATTTTTAAGACTTGATATCTTACACATGGGAATTTCAAAGTTGGATAAGAATTTTATTAAATAAACCCAGATGAACTTTGGTCTAAGAGTGCTAAATCAATTATAAAGTAATTAGTTTAACCAAATTAAGTTAAGTATAACTTATTCTGTTTTAAAAAAATAATTTAGATTTTCCAAATGCCTATTTAAAATAATATTATTTACATCTATAATAAAGTAACCTATAAAGCTCCCCTCTGTGATATAAAATGCGTTTAAACTATAGCTTTTCATAATTCTACCTTATTCATCCATCATACTGTATTATGTAGAGTTAGAAGAATTTATATATAGTATAGAGTTTGTTTCCTTTTAATCACATATATTATTTAAAGAGTAGTATAAATGAAAAAATAATTTTACCTTAATAAATAAGACAGACATATTCATTAGATTTATTGGAAGTTGTTCAAAACTTAAGCAACTATAAATAATAGTTTATAAAAAAAAAAATACTTATTTTATTTTCATTGCTAATTTTAGAAATCAATTATTATTTTTTTCTTTTTAAATTATTTAGAAATAAAATCATCATATGACTCCTTACCTCATAATTAATTAATTATTAATTTTTTCTTTTTATTTTAAATCATACTCAATAGTTAATGTGAATATAAGATAATAAATTAATAGATAATTCAACCATTTCCTAATCTAAATTAAATTTTCATTTTTAAGCTATAAGGTAATTCAACCACATAATTAAGTACTTGATACATCTACTCTATATTTTTATTTTCATTAATTTTTTATGTTACATTGATAAAGAAAAACCAATATTTTAATATTAATTTACTAATATCATAATTATTAAATCTTCTTGTCAATTTTTATAGGATAAATATATTATTTATTGTATTTGAAATTTGTTAATTTGATCTGGTTCTAATACAAAATTTATTAAATACTGACATTTCTTACAATATCCAATAAAGAAAAATCAAAATGGAAAAATTTTTTAATTTCTTTGTAAAAAGGTTTTTTAAAAAGCAAAGTTTATAAAAAAGTTATTTTACATAGAAGATTTTAAATTTAAATTTTACTTTAAAAAGTAGTTTAATACTAAAATAAATTTGGATATCAAAATTAAAAAATATTAACTTGAACCAAATAAAATTAACATAAGATGTTCTTTTTTTTTAGGCATTATTAAGATTTATTTGTCAAAGATATTAGTTTAAATGACAAACTAAAAATTTAATTTTAGCTTTTAAAATTAAAACTGTATAGTTATACAGACTTAATAATGAAAATCAAAAATATAAATTGATAGATTGAAAATATTTAAAACAAAACTAAAAAATGATAATGGGTAAATATATTTTAAAAACTATTTAAATCTAATTCAAATAATCATTTAAATAATATAAATATATTAAATAAATAATTGTTCAAAATATAAATAAATTTTATAGAACCAAATTCGCCTCATATGAATTTATCTAAAAAATTTTAGTCAAAAATAATATCTTAATTGTATATTATTAAACTCTATGATTTTTTGTTTATTAAATTTTCTTTCTTAAATTTAATAATATGTAGTGACAGACCTCTTTTAGGATTTTTAGTAAATGTGAAGAATAAGCACAAAATACAAAATGTATGAATAATTTTTATTTTTAGAGAAAGTTTTAAGAAATATTTAGAGGATATAGGTTAGAATAAACAAAGATTTTTAAAGCAAACAATATCAAATAAAATTTAATTTCAAAAAATATTGGTTTTTATTTTATAAGATGAAATTTGATTAAAAAAATATTCTTTTAAAATTACTATTCATCTTACTTAGTTTACAGTGTGTTAAATTAATTTTATTGTACGAATCTATAAATAATTTATAAAATAAGTATTATTATGATATCTAAAAATAAGTTATTCTAAAATTAATAATAAATGAAATCAAAATTACTTCATTTAGAATATTTTTGTCTAAAATAAAACTTTTTTGTAGGGTAAGTGATAATAAAAATAAATGACAAAGTTAGAAAAAAGTAAAATTTTTTTAATTTCAAGATAGATTAAATCTATATTATTAGTTGTTTTAAATAAAAATTTAATATTTTAAAAAAGTATATTTCAAATAAAACAATTTTTTTTATATGGATAACTAATTATATATAATATCACTTTTTTGTTTTATGATGTTTTTTTTAATTACTATTATTTTGATTTGAAAGGTTTAGAAATTAATATTCATTAATCTTATTTTTATTGGAAGATACACTTTTATTTTTTTATAAAATAGTAGCTTTATCCATTGATATCAAATTATCTTTTTGAATTAGAATTTAATTAAATTATTTGATAAACATCTAATGCATTTGAATAAAGAAAAATTTTTGTTTACTGCAAATTTATTATTTAAAAAAAATTTTCAATTTATTTTTAAAATATTTGCTGCACAACAAAATATCTGATCTCGTAATTAGTAAATGATTTTTAATCTTACAATAGCTCATTTTTCAAAAATATATTTTTATTAAAACACCAAAATTTAAAACATATGTTCAATTAATTAAATAGGGTTTTGAGAATTTGTAATTATTAAATAATTTTTATATTAATAAATGAATCAAATATCAATTTTAATATGAAATCTAATACAAATTAAAAAAATAAACAAATAAAGCACCTAAAAAAAACGTAAATCATAATTAAAATAAATGAGTGAAGAATAAAAAGAAGAGGAAATACAATTAAATCTCATAAAGTTTCCTAAAGCAAAGAAGGGAACAGAAATAACTTATCAATAATTAAAAAGTTAATATCCTCTTTATAAAGGGTACATCCAAAAAAATTTGGAAAGAGTTAAATTAGACTTTACTGATAGCACCATTTCTCAAGAAATAGCAAATCATGTTATAGAAGATTTATTTTCACAAGAAAAAGGTATTTGTAAGAATTTAATAAAAAATGTTGAAAGATTAAAAATAAATGCATTTAATACACAGCTGTCAAATTTGAATTTTCTTCTCCATTTTTCTGATTTGAATAAAAAACCTCCAATTACTATCCACTGCGATTATAATCTTGCTACAAATTTTCTAAAGAAAAGCATCTAATTCTAATGCGATATCAAATGTAAAGGTCACTTTGATAAAAGGGATAATTTATATTATATCTATTGTCCACACATCTTATTAGACTCAAGTGCAAGTATTGAGTTGAACATCATTGAATTATCACTAAGAGTTAATAATGAAAATGTATAAAATTGTATTGATTGCATAAAAAAGCTAAGAATACTCTAAACATTAAATTTAGAAATCCATTCACTTAATCACATTAAAGAAGATTATATGCATATAGTTGAGACATTAAGTCAAATTGAGAAATTATAAACTCTTAATGTTAAGTTTTTCTTAGAAACGTATTTGCCTCATATCAATAAATCAAAACTAAAAAATCTTAGATAATTAAAATATAACTATTAGGCTTATGACAAAAATGAGAATATGGAAGTTGCTCTAAAACTACTACATACTTTTTAGCAGCACGATGATGACTTAATTATAGAACCATATTATTCGTTATAAAATTCAGAGATTAATTTCAGCTTTTAAAAAAGAATGCTCACTGATCATGAGTTTTAAGTGATTTAGTCTTTTCTACTAAATTTAGAAAATAGAATTGTAAAAATCTCAATAAATTTTGATGAAAATTAACATATGTCTCTAAAAAATTGGGTAGGAATGATGAACAATTTAAGAAATCATGACAATTTATAAACTATAAATGTTTAATGTCCTAATATCGCTACATCAGTATCTGCTCTCTGCGTAGCTAAGTTATACAAATGCAGAAAAGCTTATATAAAGATAAATTAATCATCATTTATTGGTAATGTATTGAATTTATACTTTTACTAAATGTATGATCATATCTTGGAAGTAATTACAAAAAACTTATTTGAACTTAAAGAAGCTAAAGACGAGTTTCAAATTTAAACAGTTATTTTACAAGCTAATTCGATATTGGGATTGAAAAAAGGATTTAGCTCATTCTTCAAAAAAACAGAAAAACTATTTAACTCAATAAGTGTTAAAGTATATTCTAAATTTGATTTGCATTTATATTATTATACTGTTTTGAAAGATATTTCAGAGATTCAAAAATATTGTGAAACTTTCTATTTTGAGTAAGAAAGTTGTATTAATCTTCGTTATAACGCTGCACAAATATCTAGTGTTATGAGCTCAATTTATAACTATATTCCAATTATAGACTCTCTATAAATTCCTAATCCAAGTTTGATAAAGCCCTTTCTTAGCTTATCCTTAAATTATTGTTCTGGAGTAAATTTAGGTTCTAACTTCAGTCAATTTTTAGAGGCTTATTAAGTTTTCATGGAGTTTAGAAAACTAGTATAATTAAAATATTATTAATAATCACAACCTTCTGTAATGCTTGCTTTCTACACTCTCATAGGACCTGAATTGCCAATCAATCCTTATCAAGTATATACAGATTTATATTTTGAATGAAAATATTATTCATATTAAAAATAAATAAATAAATTGTATATTAATAATCACAACCTACTGTAATGCTTGCTTTCTACACTCTCATAGGACCTGAATTGCCAATCAATCCTTATCAAGTATATACAGATTTATATTTTGAATGAAAATATTATTCATATTAAAAATAAATAAATTGTAGATTTATACCTAAATAAAATCTAACTGTTTGAAAACTAAAAATTATATTTTTTTATGATAATAATTTTTCTTCCTTTATACTAAACTTCTTGTTTAATCTTGCTATGAAACTTTAACAATTTAAAAAATGTTTAATTTTTATCCAAAAATATTTATGAAAAATAATTAAGTTTATTAAATCAGATTAAATATAATTTATTTATGAGCAGAAAGCAGAAATAACTTAAAAATTTAAATTGTTTTATATTTTAAAAAATTAAATTGAATTAAATTTTTTTGTTTAAACTTTAGAAAACAATATTTTATATAATGTTTGTAATTTTAAAAGACCAAAATTCTGAATACTTAAAACTAATCTTTAATTACATATTTTTGGATTAAATAAGATAAAAAAATAATTTCATAAAATAATGATTAGATTCTACTCTTTAGTAACATAACTAGCGTTAGGATATGTATTTAGTTATAAAATGAATTAATTTTTCATTATGAACCGTTTTTAATGCATTCATTTAATAAAGAAGTGAAGAGAGTAAATCAAGTGTTTTTATGCGTTTTAGTACTTTTAATTAAGAGTTTGATAAAAATCAAAGAAAACAAAAAGTAAACTCTTGTATAAGAAAGAGAGGAGAGTTTTAGGGAATAATAGTTTACAATCATGCATTAAGTTGATTGTAATACATAAGCAAATGTAGGTCAAGGGTAAAGTAAAGATGGAGACAGTGGATGTATTTAATGCTGTGCAAAATCGAAAGGGAATAGGGATTGGAGACCTAATCCAAAATTAGAAACATATTATAAATTAGGATCTTTAATACCTCAAGTCATACTATGTAGCATCTTCATATATATTTACTATAGCATTCTATCCGTAAATAAATTTTCTACAACTTAAGAAGCATAATAGCTTTCTTTGAATTTGTAAATAAGAAATCAAAAGGCCATTTTAATAATTAAAAAGCACTTATAAATGATGGGTGATCTATTTTATTAATATAGCCTTTACAAAATTAAGACAAATTTATTTAGTGTATCAAACGCAAATATGGTGTTTAATTATTTTATTATATAATGAAATATAGAATTATATTGTGCCTCTTATGCTGGGAGATTATAAGTTAGAAAATTTTAATGAGGAAGGTTTGTAAAAGCTATTTATGTAAATGAATTCTTCTCATAATAAAGATAATATTGATTTCAGTAATTCCATATTGATTTAAATCCTTGCTTTCCAAGAGAAGTTTTATCACTTCTTTTTAGACGATGCTGATTTAAAAGATAGCTAAATTAAAGGAACTGTTATATTCATTATTTTGCATATATTACTCATTTTTGAACTTTGGTCTTTATATAAAACTTCTACAACTCCTCCTGGAAATGTTAAAAGTGTAATATAAATAAATCAATATATTGTTTGTTTGTTCTTGCTATTAATGATAATTCAAAAATGAATACTTACTCACAAATAGTAAAAATGAATTAACTAACTTTCTTTAAATAATTTAGTCAATAAAATGGCAAGAAGAAATAAGATAATTCTAGGATAACCTAAGAGAATAAGAATTGGGTTTTTTGTAAATGTTTGAGCAAAAATATTCAATGATGTATTTAAAAAATTAAAGATGTAAGCTATTTATTTGCTATTAAATTTAAATTTTTATCTTCAACAAATGAATAATCAATAGATCATCCAATTAATTTAAAAAATTATTTTTCAACAATTTTACTTTTTTACTCAAGCAATTCTAAAAATTAAATTTAAAAGATTCAAAAATCATTCCAGTTCATGAATCTGATTTGGAACACAATGCCCATCCAAACTAAGAATATAAGATGGTATTTAGCGAAAAGAATGACTCGGATAACGAGGCTTAGGATATGATAGATGATTAAGAAGATTAAAATTTAATAAAAGTTGATGAGAAAATGGAACAATAACCTGATGTAGTCTAGACAGCAAGCTAAGAATAATTAGAGGAAAATAAAGAAAAAGAAAGCTAAAACCAGGAAAGGAAATCTACTAAGCAGTAGTAAATTAATCAGTAATAAGCTGGATATCAGCCTTAAGTAAGAAAAATTGATGTTATGAGTATACACAGTGAGTCAGAAGTTGTTTATGACGACAAAGATGAAAGGCAAGAAGATGTTGAATTCCTTTAATAAGGAAGAAGAGATTAAGAATTAGGGGATGTGCCTCTAGGTTAATATTATGGAATTCATGACTAAGAAGAATACGATAGACTTCTTCAATAGTTGTATAAAATGCATATAGAATAAGAAATAGATAAAAAAAACTATCGTCCTTGTAAAAAGTGTTACCAGTAAACAAAATTAACAATACTTAATTCTTAATTTTATTCTCTTCAATCTATTTAAATTAAAACAAAATAGATATCAAAGATTAAACATAATAATAATAAAATGAAATACCTAGTTTAAATTTATCATTTTTTTATCTTCAAAATTTAGAAAATTAATTTTTTTTTCATCTTTAATTATTCAAATATTTATTTTAATTAGAGTAATAAAACCTGTTAGAACTCATCACTGTACATAATGTAAAGAATGCATATTAAAAATGGATCACCATTGCTAATGGGTAGATAATTGCATAGGATACTATAATTATAAATATTTTATAAATATGCTGTGCTTTTCAAGTAAAAATATAATTTAACTTTAATATTTATAATAATTTTTACTTAAATATCAAATAGCTATTATATTATTCTTTTGCTCATTCACATATTTATAGTGTTACCTTGATGCATGTGTAACGGAAAATCTATCAGATTGGAATATGTTTAAAATAGCTCTTTCATTCTTTTTTATAGTTACAATGAATTTCTTCATCTGTTGCTTTACTTTTTTCCATATTTGGTATAGCATTTCAGTTTAAAAACAAATACTTAACTTATTAATTTTAAATAATATAAAGGTTAATCATTTAAAATAAAACAACAATAGAATTCTGTGAAAAGAAATCTGATTCTTCTGTAAATATATTAAATGATTTTTTTCTGAAAAAATAAAATACCAATTAAAATCAATAAATTTTTAAAAACAGTTTTCCCTTTGATTTTAAAATAAATTTGTTATATTTCTTATGAAGAAAGGCAAAATTTATCCTTTGATATTTTATATTTAAAAATTTAACTTTTCAATAATAATTATTATTCTAAAAATAAGAAATACGATATTGGATTGATATAAAATCTTAGAGAAGTATTTGGAAGAAATATGCTAACAATGTGTATTCCAACTTGTAAAAATATTATATAAATTATAAATATAAGACTAAATTAAATTACATAAAATAGAACCTTAATTAGAAGGGGATGGAGCATATTTTAGAACAAAAGAATAGATTTGAATTAGTTTGCTAGATTTTAGTTTGATTCAACTTAATATAAAAATATTTATAAAAAGAGGATAATAATAGATAGTTCCTTAAGACTTAGTTAGTCAATAAATAAAATGGATTTGACTTTTAGAGGTTATTATCATTAAGAATAATTCAATAGTAATCTAACATAAAATTAAAAATATCTTTTAAAATATTAAAAAATTTATGTTTTAAAAATTACCATAGCTAACAAATATCTTAATCTTCTTAATTAATTTTTCTGATAGTTTAATTTATGAAAAATAAATTTTTTCTTTTTAGTAGATTGGATTTAATATTTCATTAAGCAATTAGAGGTGTTTTTTGTGAATTTATCTTGATAAATTGTAAAATCATTATCACATGCTTTTAAGATATTTTTTTATTTCATAAATTCTAACTATTAAATTGCTTGTTTTGTCTAATTAAATTAAAAATTATTCAAATAGTTGAAAAAATGCAATCGTTTTGTTTAATTTTATTGAAATTATTATAAAATAATGTCAAAACATTTTTTTCTCTTTCAATTTATACATTTAAATATTTAAAACATACTGAGTGATGCCTTTTCTATTGCACAAAAGATATTGCCAACATTTTATGAATATCTTTGCCTTCCTTTTTAGCTATGTGAATTTTTGATATTGATTGCAATAATTTATTGAGAAAATTAATTTGAGGATTTAAGATAACAAAATGATTCGAAATTTTTTGAAACAACACAAATACATGCGAAAGAAAAATGTGAAATCGGTACGTATAAATTAAGATAAGATAGTCAATTCGTATGGATATTAATTCCTAAGTAAGTGCAAAAATGATTTTATGGCATTATTAATATCTAATTGTAGCTTTACTAGTGTATCTTTTAGATTTAATTTATATCAAATTTTGATTTTGTTAATTATATTTTATGTCTGCCATTCAACCATGAGTTTTAGTAAAAACTCTACGCTCAGCTAAATATCCTTAAAATACTATTGCTTTTATATTATCTATAATTCCCCTAAATTCTCATTTGCATGCATTTTTGACCTAATTTTGTTTATTGATTTCTCTAAACTAAAGTATCTCAGAAATCTTCTACATTAAGGATCTTGTTGCATTCACGAAGAATTTTATTTCTTTCTCTACCAAGGTAGTATTCTTCACCAACATTGCACATATCGAAGAATCTTTTGTTAGACTTTTGGAAGAAGACAGGTTGGAAGTAAAGGTAACCAAGGGCACCAACGATGGGGATAGGCCAGAAGACCATCTTTTTATTAGCATAGATTCTCCATAAAAGAACAGCGTTAGCAAGGGCTCCACCGTAACCAATACTCTTCAATTAAACTTCATAACGATATTCTCTCTTAGCAATATAAGCCCAATCTCTTTCGACTTGGGTCTTGTATAATGTAGTATCGAAATCAACAATATACTTTTTAACAAAGTCCTTTCTTAATTTAGAGGCTTCTAATTCTTATTAGTTGTAGCCTCTGCTATATTCTAACTTTTCCTTTTCGTCAATAAATCTACGAGTTGTGCAAGACATCTTCTATTACTTTTTCTTACTTTATCTTTATTAATATTTTTATCTTTTCTTCTTGCTTTTTTATTTCTTATTTCTTCTAATCTAAGTTATTAGATTAAGATATCCCAAACACTTACTAAATATCAAGCTGCTATAAACATCCTTCAATTTATTAATTTATTTATTTATTTCTTTAATCACTCACTCATGAAACAAGTAAAAAAAATTCTTTTGTTTTAATGAATGAGAAGCTACTCTTCTCTTTTAAATTTACAATAATAAATTATCATTGTGCTTCCTTCCAATTTATTTATTTATTTTACTTTTATTTATCATTTTAAAGGATTTTCCTTCTTCTCTCAAATATGCATGCATAAATACATACATACAGTTTGTTATTTATATTTTAAATTAAATTTTAAAAAATTCGAAATAGAGTTGCAAACATATTCGTTTAAAATTATTTTAAAAGCACTTTTAATTTCAATCTAAAATGTTAGTTTGATATTTTAAGCAATTATTTTTTTGTATAACATATTTTTTTATTAAAATGAAGTTAATTTTATAATAAAAGAAAGCTTAAAGAATCTTAATATTTGATTGAAAGATATAATTAACATTCCAATATTCAAATAAATAAAGTTATCATTTATTTCTATTAATATTTCTATTAATCAAAGCAAAGTTTTGTGAACAGCAATATATTTGTTTGTTTGTTTCTAAATATCTAAAATTTTTTGCGCTTTTTTGAAAGTTAAACAAATTAAATATAATAATAAATTCAGCATTCATCAAAATTTTCAGAATTTTTTAATTTTGTGATTTTTAGTTTGCAAAAATTCTAAATTTATTATCTAAAAAATTGCAGATATTATTTTTTGCTAAATTTATAAAATGGAGGAAATTTACTAAGGCTAAGAAATCTATGAAGATGAAGATAGGGATGTTATACAAGAAGCCATAAAGGCAAAGAAAGAGAAATTTAGGATATAGATTAGGTAATCTAAGAATAAACAGCTGATATAGCAAAAGAGAATGAAATTATTAAATGGTTAGTAGCATTAACCAAAAAATTATTATGAAGTAGATAAATAAGATAATCAAGGATTTAAAAATAACAATAAAGAATATGAAATTTAACTATCACTAGTAAATTTTTAGTATTATGAAAAAATTATTTATTTAATCTCTATATAAAGTTAAAGGAAAATATCAAAATTTTGCTTTCGCTCAATTAGCATTCAAAACAATAAGCCCAAGTAGCTGTTGATAGTTTGATAGCTTATTTATTAGATGGATCTTATAACTAAGATATTGAATAGCTAACACAAATATCAAGTACAATATAATATTTAATAGTCTTAGGATAATAGCCAAATTGTGATTTTAATGACTAAGAGCTTGCTAAAAGTGCATTAGCTCTTCTCCTTAATATTACATATTATTGCGATTAACAGCAAATGAAATACTTTTCTAATTAAGACATTATGAATTCCTTACTTTAGCTATTATACTCAGAAAGCATGCAGATAAGAGAATATGTATTTATAAATTAATAAATATTTATATGAAATAATATTTTTTAAATTGCTATTATTAAAAGTGTTTAACAACAATTAACAATATTATCCAAGAAGATGTAGATAATATCAAGTTTCTAATGGAAAGATTTATTGCACAAGAAATTATAAGCCTTGTTACTACATATCCAATCTCAAATGAAATTGTTTTAGATCTTTCTTCAATAATAAAATAAATTGTCATTCAAAGCAGTATTGTATATTCTGAGGTAAATCAATTAAAATTTATTCAAAAAATAAAATATTAAATTAAAAAATATTTAGGCCACTGAATTTTTAATCCCTATTGATGAGTTAATTGAGATTCATTTGTCTTCATAATTAAATGAAGAATCAGATAACACAGCTTTAAATAATTTATTAGAAAGTATTTATACTATTTTGAACAAAGAAGATTCTGAAGATATTTATGAGAATTTCGTTTTAGAATATTAAAGATTATTAGCAAATATGATTGAAATAGTTAAACAGATATAGTTAAATTAAAAATTTAATAGCATTGCTATTAATATATCATAAATATTTGGCTTACTTTTATCAGGAAACATCAAAACTACATAAGTAATTTTTTAAAGTAAAAATAATAATAAAATATATTTATTTATTTATTTTAAATTTTATTCAGATTTTAGTGCAAAATGATATTTTTGAGTCTTTAAAAATATTAATCAAGCATCCAAAAAAAGAGGTTAGATCAGAATCTATGTGGGCTGTTTCAAATTTATTTGTTTTTTCTAATGTTGAAGGGCTAAAAGAGTATTTAAGTGATTTAATTTTCTGGGAATCTATTTTAGATTCTGCTTTCTAAGATCATAAAAGTGTAATTCTTAAATAAACTATTTATTTTTTAATTTTATCTATTTAAATAGGTAAGAAAATGGGCTTACGTTTCTATATTAAATGCATTAATAATAAACGACATAGAGTTCATAGAAATTATTTTGGAAAGATTTCCTGAATCAGATTTAATAAAATTTATATTTGAAAAAATTGAAGATAAAGATTATCAAAATGTTTTGGTATCTTTACTTGAAGCAGTTAAATCTTTAATAAGTTATGGTGAATATTGTTAAAATTAAAACAATTACGAAGAAAACCACATATTATCTCTTATATAAAGAATTAACTCAAAACAAATTATTTAGTAGATTCAAAATAACCCAGATAACGACTTGTATAGTGTTTCTTCATATTTGCTGGATAAAATTTAATGAATTATAAATATAAAAATTTAGTTAGAATAAATTAAAAATTAGAGATATTAAACTCATATTTATTAATATAAAGTTAAAATAATAATCTAAAGTTTTATTTAATGGTATTCTCACTCAATTATTAAGCATATTTTGGTTTTTTTGTTTGTTTATATATTAAAAAAATGATTTTATTATTAAAATTATTAATTTTCAAATAAAAATTATATTTAAAAAGTAAATTCATACTAAATTTTAAATACAATGAAATAAATTATAATTCAAAACACAGTTTTTATTAATTATTTTTAATATTGAACATGAACAAATTTAAAAATAAATTAGCTATTTATTTTATCGAAAGAAATTTTAAAATTAAAATTATAAAATAATTTTCAAAATTAAACAATTTTTATAAAAATATTTATTTACAATAATAATTAAAATTTATATGTGAGATTAAATTATAATCAAATTAATTTTTTATTTCAGTAAATATTACAATTATTTTCATCTTCCTTCTCTTTTTGTTATTGAAGCTGCTGTTATTTTATTTATTGTAAAGTTAAAAGGTTTCCTTAACTTTGTTCAATTTCTACTTCTCCTTCATCTGTATTTTCATTTTTACAACAGCTAAGGAAAGTTCTTGTTTTTGTTTTCTACTATATTTTCTCAACTTTAGTAAAAAAAAAATATTAATTCATGCATATTAAAGATTATGTAAATTTACTTTCTTTGAGGTTTTTCTTTTCTGGGCTTGCAGTATGAAGTCTTTCAGAACGGAACATTTGTTGCTTTATAATTAAAAAAATAATTTAGAAAAAAAAAAAAATTATATTATGCTAATTTACCTTTTATGGAGTATAGAATTTTATAAATTCAAGTGGAGTCTTTGAAACTTATGGACTGTTTCCATTAGCAATACTTGAACTTAGAGGATTTATGTTAGGAGATAAAGGAATTTATCTTGACATTGCTAAACTATGATACATATAATTATCGCGAATAGGAGAAATTATTATATGTTATCCTGTTCCAGGTACTGGGGATACTATGCTTTAGCTTAAGTTAAAACCTTTAGATTATTTCATTACAAAGCTATCATCTTATTAGGGATTTCTAAGTGGAGAAATACCTTATGAAACAACTGTTTAGTTTAAATTATTTACACTTTGATTTATTACTTCTGTTGCTAATCTATTTGCTGATATAGACCTTTATTAGTGATCAGAAATAATTATTGGAGATTGTGTTTTATAAATAACTTCTTTTTAAACTAATCTGATTGGAGTGTTATTTTAATTGTTAGATAATCCAGAATGACCTTAGTTATTTAAAAAATATTTGTTAATAAATAAAATTTTTATTTTTGAAATTAAATTAAAAAGCTAAAATTATTTTATAAAATTACTTGATTGTATTGGTGAAAGTTATTTCTTTTAGTTATTTCCATAAGGAGATGTTGATTATACTACTTGACGTATTTATCCTGGTATTTGGTAACTTTGCTAAATAGGAGATGTTTGTTATTACACTGGAGTTCTTATTAGAACTTATTATCTGTAAGGAGAAGCTGAAGTGCTTTATTGTAGTTTAATAGGGCTATAAATATGGGATTAATGCTACTATGGAACGTACTATATTTAAGCATTCTATCTTTGATATTAAGTGCCTTATTAAGGTGCTTAGTTGTGATATTATGTTGAGTTACTTAAGTTAATGTTTTGCATTTAGTGAGGTTGGGAATGGTATCTATGATCGCCAGGAACTAAGGGAGCTGATTTTGTTTTCTATTATACATATGACAAGGGAATATTGTTTTAAGAATTAGGATATAAAGAGAACTAGTTAGAATCATTAGGGAAGATTAAAGGAGATATTTAATTAGGACTATTAAAAGGTATGTAAGTTGTTGAATTGTCAGAATGCCCAAACATTTGTGAATAAGGTGAGTGACGATGAGATTATTTTGCATTATCGTAAACAAGACTTCCTTCAACATCTTAATTATACCTGCTTTAGTTTCCTCTATTTTAGACAGATTCATTCTAATAAGGTTATTTTTGTTATGCCCTAGATTTCTTATAACTTTCTTTGAAATCTTGATTGCGGAAAGTTGTTTCTTCATAGTTTTCAGGAACTTGATCTTTGCTTTCTTCTCTCACGCTGTCATATGACTGCTCACCCAACTTGATTTACTATTATGATTCATTAACTGCAGTCATAATGTTTTCACTTAACTATTTAATTTTGCTTTCAATATTCCTGATATTATCTAGTCTTTCCCTAATCTGATTTGGTTGACCACTATTTCCTTAATTTATTCTACGAATATTCTTGCTAGGTGAGTCATTAAATGATTAATTCTATGAGATATCTCCTTATCTTTGAGATTAGTATTACTTTTAAGCACTCAAACCTTAGGTGCTGACAGATCCATGAGAGACTATAGTTCTATAATTTACTTCATCTTCATTGTTAATAGAGTTATATTAAGGACCTGGATAATACTAATTCTATTTAGGCAGGGGAGATAAGCCTTAATTTTATTGTTTTCCTTATTCTTCTATATCAGATGCACGAATTTTTTATTCTACGTATGAATTCTTTAAAGAATCATTTTATTTCTATTAATTTTGAGATTAATTTGACTACTGTTAAATATTTTAATTTGAAATCCTATCATCTTCAAATCCTTTTACTAAATAAGAAGTATTTTATTGTTAATATGGGAACTCAGAAACTCTTGAGAATAATTATGCATTTTTGCTAGGTTTTGTAATAAAGTTATGCTAATCTTGTTATTGCTATTGTTGAACACTAGAAGAGGATTAATTTTATTATGGACTCTAGAAAGTTTGATAATTTGAGTCGTTGTTTTATGAATACCATTGAGATGTGTTGTCATTAGTTTTATTTTTACTCATTTAATTTTTGGTATTTGCTGACATTAAAGGGTTAAATAAAGAAGATGATTAAGGTTCTCTACCATCATTCTGTGAAACGGTTCTATATGAATCATCTAAAGGATTTTGCTAATTCAAGCTCTTATTATCCATACTAAAACTATTAAGTCCTTATTGGCTATTTTATTTGTTATTATTTACTGTTCCTGGTAAAGGTGTAACTCCAAGATTATGATATTAATATTTAGATTATTTTTTGAACTCCTCTGGCAATTCAGAGATATCTTGCATATCTTTTTAAGATGAGGAAGGAATAGACATTTATTATTAGTTGCTTACAGGAACTTACTCTCTTTCAGATAATTAATTCAAAGTACCTTGATTTTATGATTTCAATGGTGAATTTTATCTTTAAGTTTTTTATTGACTATTTCCTAATTATGAAAATGACATATTGTCATTATTAATTTTTTATTCCTGCTTTCTGCTCGCATCACTTAGCTCATCAAAACTTTAGCTATTAAACTAAGCAGTTTACATAGGAGTAGTATATCTATTATTTGACTAGCTACTTTAGCTATTAAGCATCTTAGGAGCTTGCAAGCCTTAGAAATTCTAATCTAGAGACCACTAGTCAGTATTTAATCTGTGCTAAGCTTCATTTATTTAATAATTATCCTTTTGCTATCCTGTTCTTTCATTTTCGCTGCTTTAAGTTAGAGCTTATTTACTTACTTCTTTCTGACCAATATTTCCAACATTTGCAACTGGAATTTACATTTATTCTTATAAGGTTGAAACTTATTATTTTGGAGGAAGGGATGATTGTCTCTCTTATAAATCATTCTAAAATTAACTTTAAATATTTTTTTAAGGTGAACTCTATGATCTTAAACTATTCTCTAAATTTTATTAATTTTAAACACTAGCTTATGGGTATTAATTTACAGATCCAGCTGAATAGTATTCAACTGATTGGTTAGGCTAGTTAAGTAAATATTTTTCTCTATTTTTAGCATCCTCTGAATTTAAGGGAATAATATACTTTAATTGGTTACCTGAGCTAATATCTTAACTTATGTTAATACTAGCTTACTATTTATTTGGGGGTGAAGATTGGTAAGAAGCAGAAGATATAGATTAGGTATTTTAATATTTAGGAGCTCCAAAAGAACCCTCATTTAAAGCATTACTTTTTACTTGAGGGTTATTTACATAAGAGATATTATCAAAGGCAGATGATTTACTTTAATATGTTTTTGGTATGGAGTAATTTCCTAATGGAGCCTTTTCTCCAAACAAAGATTAACTCTCCTCAAATTTATTTGGACTCTTAGACTTCTTCTTATCAGACTATTCGGTCTTATTTAAATCAGATGGTATATCTATTACATAATTTTATTTGCTTTCAATTTAATTGTTAGAATTCGTAGGGAAATAGGGTTAATTATAGGGCTAAGTTTGATAAATTTAATTCGTTTATTATTTATTCATTTGATCAGCAATATTTTAAGGGATTTAATCTTTATTTTCTAAAGAGCTAGTTAAGTGTTACCCAGATTTGTTTAAAAATTCCATTGATTTATTATATGAGCTTCTATTAAAGGGATCTTATGCTTAAAATGAGCTACTCATATTTATTGATTATTATTTATTATCAGGAGATTAGTTTGGTCTAGATTAATAGGAAGAGTATTACAAACCTTGTATTTGACTAGAAGGATAACTTAAATTATCATTTATAATTCCCATATTACTTTTATATGGTAGGTCATTATTTTCGTTAATTCCTTATTCCTTTTATTCAGAAATAAATTATCTATTAGCAAATGAATCATTAGAGGTAATTTAATCCTTTCTTTTCTCTTAGCTTTAATTTATCTAAATTATTCCTTATCCTTGAGATCTGTTTATTTCTTAATAACTGCTTTTCTATTAAACCAACTATGCTTCAGTTAATTAAGAACCGCGAGAATAATTTTAAGGTTAGTTTTGTGTATTTAACTATTCATTTTTTACTGAATCAGTGAGTTTTTATGCAGATTAAATATCTTTTGACTCATATCCAAATTATTTATCAGGCATATATATATCTTTATTATCCTATTAATATGCAAATTCCTTACTAGCTTGTTATTAAATTTTATTTTACTATCTATCATCTTATTAATAGAATATTTAAGCAGTTTATTTTTCTTAATTTTAAGGATTTGTTAGCTATTTTTATTTTGATTCCTAGAAATTTCCTAAAGGAATTTATTATTAGTAATTAGCATGCTTAGTAGGTTCATCAATTTATTGATGAGGTTATTTGATATCTTTTGATTAATTAATACTTATCTATTCATTCATTTCTACTTAAGAGGGATAGTAATTTTAAACATTTCCTTAGCTTAAATTAGAAATTTATTTTTTATCTGAAGAAGAAATAATTGAATATTCATTTTACGTAGGGAATCTTTATTAGAATGTTTAATCGGACACTTCAAGCTGACTTTGTAAAGATACTTTATCTTTTTTATCTGTACTTACTTAATTCTAAAAGCTGTTTTATGAATCATTTTATTGTTATCCTATTGCTGATGAGTGTTTATCTCTAGAGGATAAATCAAATTTGTTATCTGATTTTAAATTTTTATCATATTTACTCTATGAATTTTTAAGAATTTATTCAATTGATTGTCTCTCAATTGGCTATCTAGATGAAAAACTCATTTCCTAATTAAATTCACCTTAGATTTATGGATAATACTCTTATTATGGAAGGTTACTTAACTATTATTAAGAATATTAGGATTGGGGGTTATTTGAAACGAATTAGTTTTATTTTTGTTATTCATGTATTCTTGACTCAAGTTAATTTTAATATTTACTTTATTCATTACTTAAAATTTTTTAAGCATCATTTTATATATTAGTTGAAATTCCACTCTCTAATTATTTTATTTAAAACTCTTATTAAGATTATTAATGAGGGTTACTTATTTATTATTAAGAAGACTAGGATTGAGAGTTATTTTATATGAATTAGCTTTATTTTTACTATTCAGGTATTCTTTACTCAAACTAATTTTAATATTTACTTTATTCATTATTTGTAATTAGTTAAGCATCCTTTTATCTATTAGTTGAAATTCCTCTCTCTTTTTCTTATTATTATTGTTCGAATTAATATTATTTATTTTGTCCTTAAAATTATTATTTCTCTTCTATATTTGATGAATTTTCAATATATGGTATTTATGATTATGCTTATTAAATATTCTATTTTTTTTCTGCTTCAGAACGAAGAGGACTATTTCTAAATAATTCTTCTTAACTTTATCTTGAAATTTATTCAGAGCTTTTTTCATTTAAAATGTCTGTAACAGGAATATCCATTTTCTTTGGAATATAATAACCTTAATACTATGATGAAGTGGAAGTTTAATTTTAAGTATTTTTATCTTTTTATTCATTTTAATTTTAATTGCTAGAATTTTATCTATTACCTTAATACTATTATTGCTCTTTCTTTTCAAACTAATTTCTACTATCTCTCAAACTTTTTAATGAAGCATTGTCTTCTATGATTGGGGACTTTATAGTAGAACTTTTGATAGCGTTCTATGAGTAAGGATACTAATCATTTGAATCTCTTACCTATACTGTATAACTAAATGGAACTTAATTTAGTTAATTTCCACTATTGTAAAGCTAAGATTATCTATCCATATATAATTCATCCTTTTACTAAACTTAGTTAGCTCTACTTTAATCGCTCATGTCTTATCTAGACGGCTGTTTTTGATATCCTTGCTAATCTGAATAAGGATTTGATTTAAAATTACTTTATGACTCAATTGAGTAGGGCTCTATTATTTTATTTTATTAAGAAGATACTTACATATTATTAGAGCTTTCTATTTTTGGAATACTCTATCCGTATTAATCTTAGCTCTTTGATGATGGGTATATAGGCTTTTCCCTACTTTTTTAGCTTTAGAAGTATGGTACCTAGCGCTTTTACTATTAATCACCTTCTGTTTACTACTGTTATTGATCGAAAAATAGTGGGGATGTTGGTAGCAGTGTTTATTATGAAAATGGATTTTACTGTTATCTTTATTATGTAAAATTACCTTGAGAATTACTTAATGGAGAGAGTATAGGTTAGAATGAAGGAAGATTTGATTACAAATTAAATTAACTACCTTGTTAAAAGTCTAATTACATATCATTTATAGATTTCGCATTATTTGAAAAAAGTCCACTTACATTTGGTGAAATCTTTGTTTTAGTTGTCATAGATTATATTTATTATTATTGTTTTTACTCATTAAACTAGTTATAATTTGAATCGTAATTTTATGAAGGCTCAAATTAATATTAATTATCTGGTTAATAGCTATTTTTTGCTTAGAAATTAGCTTATTATTAAAATACAAAATCAGAATGTGAAAAAGAAGGAGGTCTTTGCTGGTTTTTATAATTAGTAAGATCAGTATCAACTGCATAAGGTGGTTATACTAATTAATTATTTTGAGAGCTGGTGAGATTTTCATAACTTTATCTGCGAGAACTACTACTAAGGTATTTTTCTGAGTTTAATTTTTTGCCACTAAATTATCCCTATTTCTGTTAAGGAGATTATAAATATTCTGGTAAATTTTAGAAATTAGGACGGGGAATTTCTTCAGTTTACAAAATTGGGTTAGAGAATTTTCTTTAGCTTTACTAAATTTATTTTGATTCAGAATTACTTTTATAAGCTAAGGTAGGAATACTTGAATAAGAATTACTATAGGTTGTTTAAAATCTTTAGTCCTATTACTGAGGAATGGTTTAGAATTATTAGGAAATATTAAAAGAAGAAGTAGGTCTATTTTTATTATTCGATTCTTACTTGATTAATTCATCTTAACTTTATCTGCGAGAAGTACTTACAGGAGAGATATATCCTTTCTTCTGAATGATTTGTTATTAAATATTTCCTTCGCTTGATTACCTACTTCTTTATCCCTAAAATGGTTTTTATTACATTTAGCTTTAAGAAAAAATTATATTTTTATTGTTATTCGATCTGGGACTGTCTTCTCTAAAAGGTTTACTACTTTCTAAATTTTAGCTTTATCTTAGATTTTAAAGCTACTTTTATATAATTTATCTGGAGTTATGAGATTCATTTGGTGATAGAGTTTAATAGTAAATAGGGCTACTACTTCTTTATTCATGAGAAGATTGTTGCTTATCAACTAAATCTGGAATTTTTTCTTAAGAATAGCTTTAAGATTATTATTTTTTATGATTATTAGCATACTATTCAAAACCTATTGGATACTCTGAGCTATAAGCACCTATATTAGCTTTAGTATTTGGTTAAGTATCTATTGAACCTATCCTTTAAGAGGCATAAATATTACTTGAAGGAATTTAATTAGATGTTAAGGACTATGAGACTTTACCTTAGCTTTAAGCTGTTGAATGAACATTTGGGATTAAGGATATATTTCCTTAACTGGACTTCTTTTGTAAATTTTAAATTTCTTATCCTCCCTAATGTTATGGTTCAAATTATTTGTATGCAGATCCTTAGTTTTGATATATTCCAGTTACTAATTGAATGGGACTTTAAATATTATATAAAGGATTTGCAAATAATTCTTATTTGCTAACATCTTCTGGCAAAAACATTTGATTACCATCTTAGCTAACTCCTTTTTTTAATTGAGAATATATATTTGAAGATCTTGTTTGTTCACCGTAAGTGCGTGCGCTATAAGGCTAGTTAATCTAACCAATAGGAGCATTTGAACTCTTCATATTAGGACTTAAATTAGGTGAAACAGGAGGAGATTAAAGACTACCTACTTTCTTATAGATAGTTTTATTTGGGGATTTAACAAATTCTTCTTATGATTTTTTGATTGATTGGCTAAGAGGAAGTGCCTGAACATCTTCTCTAACAACAACGCTAGAGTATTATTTATCTGATAAATATCTACTTGCACTTGCATCTATAGAAGGGTCAAGTTATTTTGCCAAGCTTTAAGTGCGTGGAGTATTCACTGGAGAAATTGACTATCTTGATTGTCTCTTGCTCTCTTTTCTCAACTCTTCATTTAAATTTTTTGATGAATCTACATATGCTTCTCTATTAATGTTTTGACTATAAGGAGAGTTTAATAATTCTTAATTCCTCTAATTGCTCTCATAATAAGGACTAATTTACTATGATTCTTAGAAAATATCTTATGATTTATTTAGTTATTTACTACTACTAGGCTTAAAGTTAGTTGTTTAGTCTTCCTATAAATTAAATTGGCTTTAGTTTGTTTAGTTTAACTTTTATTTTAAACTTTCACTTTATTATGGTGATTAATCGCTTTTTTCCCCATATTAAGATGATTTCTACACTTAATTCTTTAATTTTTCAGGAGTTTAGAGTTCTTATTAATAGCTTTATTTTACAGGAGAACCTTTAGATATTTAACTTATTTATGAATGAGAAATTGGAGATAATTGCTATTCATAGATATAATTATCTTATGATTTGTTAAACATTTATTAGTTGTTATCAATTGGTTGATTTTAATTTTAAGAGTCTAGCCTATTAAATTCTTGAGATTTTTATTTATTTTCAGAAGAACCTTATCTTTTTTGTTAGATATTTATAGCTTATTCTTGTTGATCTGATCTTTAATAAGAATAAGGGGATGAAGAGTGTCTTGACTTAGACAAATATTCTTACTAGCCTTAAGAATTCTGTTTAATTTATAAACCTTTTATTTAAGGAGATTGTTCGTTGTATTATTCAAAATATCCTTAATCTGATTCACCTTTATTTTATAAGTTAGCTTCTTAAGGTAATTCTTAAATTTATGATTGATTACCAGATATTTTTTAAGATTCAAATTATCGTTGTTAATGATATGGAGACGAAGGATTTTTCATCTAATTAAGTGTATCTTTTTATTCAGAAAGCTAATCTTTACTATACAAAATAGAGCTTTAAGGAGAGCTAATTTTTTGTTAATTAACAGGGCTATTACTTATTCTTTACTAAATTTATTAAGGATTGTAAACAATATTTTGTTGTTATTAAACATTTTACTCTTCTTATCTGAATTTTGGGCTTAAATTAGAGTCAGTTATTTGAGAACTAATTACATTCTACTATGAAATAGGATGTATATCATGGATATTTGAAGATTAGTTTTAGGGTGATTTCGTGTATTAAGAGATATTTTATGCACTTATTTATGATCTAGAGGGAGTTAAATTTATTTAAGAAGATTCTAAACCCTAATTTTCTAAATAATTATTTTACTCATCCTAATTTTGATTTAATATTCCTTATTAACTTTGCAATATTTATTGATCTCTGGATTATATAGGTGATTTTTGGCTATAAGGAGATTATAAACTTTATTTTTAATTAGCAGACTATTAATTGCTTAATGACTAAGGGCTTCTTGAGGAGATATAAGGTTATTATTTGTGGATTGATCTTTCTAATGATTACTAATCTTCTAAGTTTTGTTTTGAAGTACCTTATATTAAACCTTATTCTTGTGGTTAATATTTATTAAAATCTTTATTTTAATCTTCAACTTAATTTGTTGATACAGGAGTATTGGTTACTTATGATTTCTATAAATTAGATTTTACTACAGGTTCATTTTCAAAATATAAATTGTCTTCATATTCATCTTCATTTTATTCATAATTATCTTAATCATTTTATTATCTCGTTTTATCACTACTCATTAATTATTTATTGCTTAAAGGAGATTGCGAATTTTATATTTGATTTTTGATTGATTAGTTCAAATCTGATTAAGGGCTTTTAGAAGAACTATAAGGCTATTATTATCTTATTATTTATCTTTCTAATTAGAACTATTTATCTTCTTAATAATTAGGACTGTTTTGTCTTTCCACCTATTCTTAAAGAGTTTAATCTTAGTTAACATTCTCTGAATAAGGACTTTTATTTAATGTTGAAGAAGAGTCTTTTTAAGAGTATTGATTATTTTAGACTTAATTTGAATTTTTAACTTCTTATTCTCTTGAAAAAGGGCTTTATTACATAGACTAACTGCTTTTGTTTTACTAATCTTCTACATAAGGTGATTTAATTTAAGATTTCATATTAAAATCATTTGAGATAGGACTTTACTACCTTTAATCGTAAGATATTTATAATTATTAATTAGGTATGTTACTTTTTTAAGGACTACTTAATTGTCTATCATTATTAGATGCTCCAGATTATTATGAAATGAAATGTTATTGTGCTTCGTTTAAATTATTTGATTATGTATTTTATTATCTAAAAGGACTATTTGCTTATTACTATTATTCTTAATTCAAACTTTTTTATGATTAAATTTAAGAATCTCCTTAACTCTTTTCATTACTCAATATTTATTAATTAAAGTATTATTATTCTCTTTCTTAATTATAAGGACTTTATCTAAATTACTTTTGCTAGAAATCGCTGCTTATTGGTGATTATTTAAAATCACTTTATAAAACATTTTATCTCTATGATGAATTACTTACAGGATTTTCATCTTATTATTAGAGTTAATCAGAACTTACTTCTTGCTAATTGTAAACAATTGGTCTTTAAGAGTTTTAAGGATAATCGTATTTTTATTAATCCTAGAAACTATCATTTTATCTAATTTAGAAGTTACTCTAGTCATTTAGATTTTATGTTTTATTTGAGTTTTATGGTTAACGATTAGGTGAAGATAATCCAGAAGCAGAATAATATTAGTTATCATTTGAAAAATTACTTTCCTTAGCATCAACTATTTGAGCTTATTATCCTGTTGAGAAGTTTTATTTTTCAGATGATTTCATTTAAATTTAATTAGATTATTGCTATTATTCATTTTCTTAAAATCCAGAAGTCCCTTTGTTTATTTAATTATTTATCTATGGAGTGTTAATCATATTTTATGAATAGTTTTAATCGTACCCTGGAGTATTCAATTTTTGTAGTGAAGGATTGAAAGACTATTGATAAGGACTTTATTATGTAATATTGAATTAGCTTTAAGATTAATCATTAATATGAATTTTTCTTTGCTAAGACTAGGGGCTTTAATATTGAGAATCATCCTATTATGATTAATTATGTGATTATTGAATATGTCTAGTTTATTAGGCTTCTTAAAATCCATCTAAATTATTTTTTGATAAACTTTAAGGTGATTGACCTTACGATTTATTTGTTGATAAATTTTATGCCAATTCTTTATTAGATTATCTTGAAGCGTATTAGCCTTAAGAATGGGAAGGAGATTATTAATTTAGCTCTTAACTTTAATTATTCCTTATTAAATCAATTTATGATTGATTTTGTTGTTTTTAACTAAATTACAAATTTTAAGGAGATAAATTACTTCTTTACGATGATAATTGCTAGCTTGAAAACTATCCTTGTTATTAAAATTGCTAAGATATTTCTTACCCTTACTACTGACTAATGTTAATAGATTCTTGATTTTTGTTTTAGGAAAATCTGCTAGGAGAAATATCTTTTTCATTTAAATTTGTTTACTAATTTTAAACTGATTTTTTAGATATATCAGATTGTGGTGTATAATGTTGTTATGGAGACTGGCTAATTTAATATTATTACTACTAATATTCTTATTGATGAACTTAATTTATAGGTTTTTAACTATCCAATTAATTATTAGAATAATATTTTTAAGGTGAAACACTACTTTGACTTAATATGACATTTTCTTAAGATTTATGTGTGGAATAGTTATCTTAATTTGTAAAATTCTAACTTTGGCCCTCGTCAACATTTTAAGAAATACTTTTACTTTAGTTAAAAGGCGAAGATTTTTTTATTTAAGGATTTGAATCTTCGTCTTCTTAAAATTATTAGTTTTCAAAATATTATTTAGATTATCCAATCTATTAGTTTTTCAAATTTTACGATTTTAAGCTTTAACTTGAAGCAGAAAAACCCCCTTAATCTTTTTGATTATCTACACTAATATTTTATTATTAAAATTAATAATCTCCACCACTTTAAGAAGAATATTATTAATTTTGAATATCTCTACTTTAAGAAGTATACGGACTTTATTACTATTTTTAATTAATTTAAACTTAATCATCTTATTAATATATTTGTTATTGATCTGTAATATTATGTCTTTCCTAACTTGAATATTAGCTTTAATGAGAAATTCTTGGAGAAATAGATTTTTAGATTTAGTTTTAACTGTTAGTCACTCCTCTTTCATTCTATGAACTTAAATTTTGAGATTTTTCTTATTAATACACAGAATTTTAGTTAGTAAAACTTCTTTCTTACATTGGTTCTTATTTTTATTACTATTATTAATAATAATGTTATTCTTAAAATTGATGATCTCCAGCATTCATATTTTACAAAGTACGTGGACTTGATTAATCTTTAAATATAATTTAATCATTACTCTATATTAATTAATTTTAGTTAATTTAGGATTAATCTATAGTAATCTATCTTCCTTATCTCTGCTGTATACTTTTTTCAGTTATTATTGGAGAATCAAATTATTAAGGTTAATATTTATTTTAATTTTAGCTATTACTTAAAAATTCTTAACTTTAAATATTCTAAGACTAAAAATTTCCTTCACTAACAGGAGAATGTTTAGATTTAATTTTATTTTCCATTTATTATTATTATTGATATTAGTGCTAATCTTCTTTTTAACTAAAATTTTATTAAGAATATGGGCTTTATTAGTCTTTAAAGTTATCTTAACTTTATAAAAATGATCTGTCTTAACTTTTATATTAGCTTTTTTGGGTAATTATAGGAGAATTCTAAAGCTCAGAATCTTATTAATTTAGATTTTTATGACTAGTTAAATTCTTTTCGCTTACATTTTACCCTGAAAATACTTTTTCTTCCTAAAAAGGAGAGTCTTAATCTTACAGATTTTTTTCTGAAATAAATTTCTACTGTTATTATATCTATTAAGCATATTATATATCTTTAATATTTTATGAAGAGTAAGGACTTAACTCTTGTTTTCCCTGAATTAAATTTTAATTGTTTTCAGGTTATCTCTAGGGATTTTATTTTTAATATATTGTATCAGGATATTCTGATGATGCTTATATTTACTCATTTCCTTTTTGTTAAGGGGACTATTGTCTTTTAGAATTATCATTGATCAATTAGCTTTATATTTCACCCTAATTTTATTTGTTTTTAATTTAATATTCCTCTTGATTTTTATTATTTTATTTCATTTATGGTGAAATTTGCTCTTTATCACTTTGTTTAATAGAGTTATTTTAGCTTTGTTAATTAGGCGATAATTATTAATTCTACATTTATGGATTTTAATTATAAAATTATTAAACATTTTCATAATGTTCTAAATTATCTTTAGAAAATGGTATTTGTTATTATTTTCTCCTTTCCTCATAAATATCTTGATCTTAATTTTAAGGAATACCCATTTAACTATTTTATTTTTATTAATTGTTTTGGTTTTATTCTTATTATGGATATTGCTGTGATTAAGGATTTAAATGCTTTTAAGATTAATTTTGGCCTTAGTTTTCTAAATCTTAATGAAGGTGAGAGGGAGTGCTTTAGATACTTTAATTTTATAGATATTAATCATTATTTTTTTCTATGAAATTGCTTAAATCTTAAGGCGAATCTTCATATTTACTACCTATCTTTTATAAACTTTATTCTTATCTTTACTGGTATTCTTAAAATTTATTTATTTGATTATTTGCTTAATTAGGAAGATTTTGTTAAAGTTTTTAGTTTAAAGCTTATTGATGCTCTGTATTTACTATTTGTGGTCTATCTGGAGTTGATTAATAGCTACTTCTATCAATAACACGAATATTTTCTCCTATAAAACTTTATTGTCCTTATTAATCATTATATTGGCTTTACTTTTCTTCAGAGTTCCTTTCAGTAAAGTTTCCTATGTTGATATTTTCAAAATCTTCACAAACTTCATCTGGTAGTGTTTAATCAAACTAATTTTTACTATTATAACTCTTATCTTGTATATTACTTTAATTAATAATTTATTCATTTTGAGGTATATTTTATTAATCGTATTGTTGCTGAAGTGAAATTAGACGTTAATTACTTTAGTTATTTGAGGCAATCGATTATCTAAAAGAATTATTGTTTGAATTAGTATTTTACTGATCATTAGTTGTTAATCTTATTTATTCAGGTGATTAACTATAGTTTAGATTAGACTGTGAGTACTAACAGCTTTCAATAGCACTTAAATTATTTTATAAGCCTGGACTAGTTTAGTTCATAACCTAAGATCCTTACTTTTCTAAAGGAGTACTTCCTTATATTATGTATTAAGATTCTCCCTAGTTAGTTTATTTAGTGTCAGGAGAATAGTAACTTCCTTGTTATATTATACCCTAATTGCTATTAGGGTTAAATGTTATAGTATTAGCAGGAGTTCTTTAAGGAAATTATCTTACGCTATCATTTTAATCAAATTAACTAGAATACTAGAGTTCTGTAGAATCTATATTATCTTAGTTATTTCTATCAACATAAAATTCACTTTTCTTTTAATTGGGTGATTATCTTTGAACTTATTGTTAATTTTAAATTGAGCCTTAATGCATGTTTGTCCTCTAAAAGGGTTCATTTTAATTCTATTTCTCTCTTTACTAATCAATTTAACCTCCTTAATTACTTGTAAAATCTCCACTCTATTATCTTGATATAATTTAACTTTGCTCATTAGTATTTTTAGGAGAGATAATTGTTGAGTATACTTCTCTGAAACGATGAATTGGGGGCTTTTAATCATTTCCTGTTGTTTGCTGAGTATTACTTTAATTGAAATTGTAATTATTATCTTAGTTATTTTAATTATTTTGGCTTCTATTTTCACTAGATAAAGATGAAGATCTGCTGTGTAAGTGCTATAAATTTTTCAATTAATTTTACTGATTTCTTTACTACTAATTCGTAGGATCATTATAGTATTCATATTGAATCTGTGACTCTGCTTAGCGTGTAACCTACTTTTAAATATACTCCTGTCTTTATTCTTAAGGGAGAGAAGAAAAAGTTTATAATATTTATTAGCTTTCAGGGGAGTTATTTCTAAGTTTTGTTATAAAATCTTTAGCCTTAGGATCTATTTGAGCTTAATCATCGCTTTGTCTGCTAAAGAAGCTTTCAACTTATCTTATCAGTTATTTTGGATTAGAAATTTAGCTATTTTAAGAAATATATGAAGCTTGATGTTGAAGTAAATCTTTAACTTTATTTAGCTGTGGGTTGAGTTTCTATGGGGTATCAGGCATAAAGTTAGCAATTTATTCAAATTCATTCTTTTAATTCTATTATTAATTTGGACTCTAAGGAAGGACTATTTAAGGTACATTATCATTATTTTTTTATTGTTAGAATGTCATTTCTGTAACTTTAGTGGAATTTTATTTTTAGTCTTCTTAATTTTCTTCACTTTCTTAAGTGTGTTGAGTATAAGCTTGCTAGTTCTAAATTTCTTATGAAAATCTCACAGATTTAGGTGATACTCCTTTACGTGGAGTAGAAGGATCTTTAATAATTCCTTATTTAGGAGTAAGAGGAGATCCATCTCTTTTCATTTAGAATTACTAGCTAACTTAATTTTAATTTTGTATTGCTTTATCATTTTTTTATTAAACATCTTTTTACTTGTTCTATTCAGCTTGAGTGCTAGGAGATTAAGTGTATTATTATACAGATGGAGAAGTAGATTAATAATGCATTTGTTAGTCCTTAAATTGGGTGTAATTGCTATTAGGTCCTCTTACAGATTGTAAAGTGTCAAGAATAATATTCTATTGCTAGCTTGATTGTGAAGCATGACTCTAAATGCTTGCTTAATGTCCATAATTTTATTAAGAATAATTGGATTTACCTGAAAGTGGTGGGCAATTTTATAAAATATTATACTAATCTTAGGGTGTTTGAGAAGTGAGATTTAATCTTTGAAGATTGGGTTGAGAAGAGTAACGAACATTTTAACCTCCTAAATTCAATCCAGCTGCTGGGTTATTAGTATTAAAGTTCGAGTTCGACACCAATTATTAGCTATTTTAACTTATAAATTTATTATCTCTCTAAGAATCTAGGTTTGTCCTATAAGTAGACTCATACTATGATTAAATATCTACTCCTGATGCAACTGGACTGTGTAAATTTCCTCCTTATAGTGAACTCATTAAAGATTTTGACCTCTTTTACTTTGAAATAAATTAATCTTATAAACCTATTATAGAAGTTTAAAATGAAATCAGATCATCTTGATGAGAAGCAGCTTATTCTAAGCTAAAGAGTTTATTTTATTCAATTTTATTCAGAATAATTTTATTTCTAGCACTAACTAAATCTTAGTAATCTGAGAATGTGCTTTTTGGGTCATCTTCAAAAAGAACATTTCTATATTTTTAAAGAAACTCTGAGTTATTATCCGTTTCTATTGCCTTTTTGACTAGTTATTTAATTGGTTCTTCTACATTATTAGCAATATACTAAGAAAGTCTTAACTTTCTAGGATTTTAATCGATTGATTAAGAAGATGAAATCTATTATGATAGTCTTGTTTCACTTGGTATTTTTTAATTAAATAACTCCTTTTATTCAGTCTTTTATAAACCAGAATGCAGACTTTAAGATAAAGGTCTTCTATTATATTAAGACTATTAATTTAAAAACTATTATTATTCAGCTGGATTATTAAATTAAGAGACAGATTATAAAAATTGATCTTTGTTTTAAGATTTTTGAGACTAATATTCTGATTAGAATGGCTATTCATTAATTGTAGAGTAGACTGTAGGAGATAAAGAATAACCAATAGTATCAATTGGACGAGATGCTTAATTATGCATAGAATTTGATTTAAATGGTTTTTAGTCAGGTAAATCCTAATTCATTTCTTCACCGAAAGTGTTCTTTCTAAATTAAGTTTAAGGGTTGTTGCTAGATATTAAATGAGTACTGCTAGGTTAGTTTTTTTATCCCATTTGATTTTTTGTATCAAATTATGTAAAATTGGTTCCTTGGTTATTTTAATATACTTACTAGTCTCCACTACTATTTCCACTTTCAATAGATTAGAATTTTTTTTCGCTTGATATTTTCTAATCTTATAATTCTTTTTCGCCTGTTGGATGAAGCTACTATTACATTTACTAGAGATGCTTTTAAGCTTGTTCCTAAGTTAATAACTGTTACTGATTGAAAGTAGGTGAACTAAAGCTCTACACTTAAGCAGGATTCTGATCAATTATTATAAATTTGTTATCTTATCCACTTGATTATGATGGTATTTTATTAATTTGTTGTTATGACAATTTACTTTTTTTTTGTCTTTCCTCTTTTTCATATGGAATACCCTCTATGCTCATATCATAAGAGTCTTAAATATTAATATAGTTTTAATTAGGATCACTTTATACCTTTGAAGCTTAGAGTGGCTAAGCTGTTTATTAGCCTTTTTAAGTATTCTGATTTCCTTTCTTTTAATTATTAATTGAGGAGGATAGAGAAGAATTCATCATCTGTTTTAGCTAATCAGGAGTCTTTTATGGTGAATAATATTGGCTTGGCTTTTAATCTGATTTGTTAAAAGGGCTAATTTATCTTCCTCTATTATTGATTTAGTTTGGATACATTTAATTTTGCATAGGAGATGATCTCTTATCTCTTTCACCATCTTTTTTATTACCAGATCTTTTTACTATATTTTCATCTTATTCACTGTTAGCAGACTTTTGTAAGTAATGCTAGTAAAGTTTGGAGTTAGGAGAAGCTGTCATTGCTTTTTCAGATTAAATCATTCTCATTTTTTATCTTTGGCTGAGATCATCATAATCTTTGAAAACTTATTCATGAACGTATAAGCTACGAATTAACTTAGGAGATTTTCTATGACTGAAAGTTTTTTCTCTCATTTATTCTATTTTTTAAGGCTACCACTCTGTTTCTTTTGTTTATTTTTGATTTCTATTATAACCTGTAGGAACATAAAAAACATTAGGAGCTACTATCTAATCAACGTAACGATTTGATTTTTTATGGTGCTAAGCTCTAATTTACTCAACTATTTGTAAAGGATACTTTCCTTATCCCTATTTAGATATTTTTTTACATTCTCCATTTTCAAAGTGTCCATAAAACCAGCTCTTATCTTTAGGATTATAATACATACCTCTTCCATTGAATTTTCCATTTTTAAGAAGCCCATCATAAAGTCCTCCATCTTTCAGATTTATGCGTCCTACATCTACGAATCTTCCATCATCACAAAACCCTATGTCGCATTTTCCATCTAATCTTCTTAAAATACCTAACCCACAAGTTTTATTTTTATTTGCAGCACCTAAGAATTACTATCCATCCTTAAAATCTAAAATTTTAACCCTTGGATTCTCAGGTGTTTTGTGCTTATCGCTTATAGACTTCATTTCACTTAAATTTGCTAAAACATCTTTTTAAAAAATTAAAAACTTTATTTTCTATTATGAAAATAAATTTAATTAATATTTAATTAGAAATAGTCATTATATACTTGTATGCATACATTTAAGTTAAAGTAATTATTTAATAAATCTACATTCATAATGAAAAAATAAATGTTTTTTGATATTCAAAATTTATTTTGAGATTCAAATTTCTTTTAAAGTATTTACTTGATGGAGCTCTTCCTTCTCCTTCTTCTAGGAGGTTTTAAAATTTACCATTCGAATATTAGCACTTTAGCCATAAGTTTTCATCTATAAAGTAGTTATATGCCTCACCATCTATAAGACCATTGTTCCAGTAACCTTCGTAAATTTCACCGTTTGAAAATTTTAAAAAAGCAGGTCCATGTAACTTGCTTTTTTCAAAAAACCCATGCACAAATCCTCCAAATGCAAAAAATAAAATTCCTTCTCCTTGGAGCTAATCATTTTCCCATTCACCAAAGTAAAAATCTCCATTATCAAAAGCGAAAACTCCTAATCCGTTTTTTTTTAATGGATAACCAGACATTTGGCCCTAAAATATGCCATTAGTGTATTCAAGCAATTATGTTGTTCTAATTTCTCCCTCTAATAAACAAAGTTTTATAATTACTTAAAAGTTTAAGAAATTGCTAAATAATTTTTGAGATCTATCTCTCATAAATTAAAATTTATTATTTAACATCCAGTAAAAAAGAATCATACATTTTGGAAGCGCTGCAACTGATAAAGTTTAATGCCTTAAATTTGAGTTGTTCATAATCTTTAATATCTTTTTTAGCTAGTGTTAATTATTTATAAATGCAATCCTTTTAATTAATGAGACTCTTATTATAGAATTTCTCTTTTTATTTTTATAATAAATGTTTTATCTCTCGATTGATATGCTTACTATCTTAGCTTCTTAGCTATAAAACTATTAATTAATAATTCAAGATACTCTCTTAATTTTTTTTTCAAATTTCTTTTTACTGAAAAAATACAAACAGCTTTATAGCCTCTTGATAAAGTACCAATGATTTTTTTTAGTAAAAAATCTTATTTAAAAATTGCCTAGCTATTTTTTTTAACTAGCTTTTACCCATTTTACAGTCATATTCAAATCAATTCATAAATAAACTTTTTACTGTAAAATTTAAATTATAAAGAGATTTCAAAAATTAAAAGTAAAAGAAATAAATATTGAAATTACTAACAGACTTGTTAAATTTAAAATCGTAAAAATAAACAAATGCTCAACACTAATACAATGCTATGTAGAAATGCAAATCTATAGAATAAATAATACAAAATAAAATTACATTTAAAAGCAATAAATGCCATTAATTTATATTAAATTTATTAAATTAGGTTTTTATTTTTGCGAGAAAAAAATTGTGTGAAATAATTTAAATCAAAATCAAATATTTAATATTCAAGGAGATTTTTTTCGTCAAATTAATTTTGCTTTTGGAAAATATCCAGCCAGTTCAATTATTATTTCTTTGTTTATATCTTAATCACTTTTTCATGACAGAATTATTTTTAGGACTTTAGCTAACTTCCTGTACAGAATTCGAAAGATATATAGAATTTCCTTAAAGATCTTTGATTTTCCTAAATTTAATTATTAATGAGATCAATATATAAAAGTATTATTTAAAATTAAATACTGTAAGGCTTTATCCTTATCCTTCATTTTTATTAAATGAGTAAGTTCCTCATTTAAATTTTCATTTTCAATAGCATATTAACGCCTTTTTTCTCTTTATAAAAAAATTTTTTAAATATTATATAATATTTTAAATTTAGTTACATATTCTTTTTTTCAATTTCTTCTCTTAATTATTTTTGCTTTAGCAATTTATTGTGTAACTTTTTCTCTTCATCCATAAGAACATCTGCCTTTTGTTAATGAGCAAATTATATTTCCATATATTGGCTTTAATTTTTCTCCATTAAGTCACTCTTTCTCATCATCTTTTATCTAATTTTCTATTGTAGTTCTTCCTTTTGCTTTTATAACTTTCTTTGCTCTTCTTTAAATTTCTCTTCTAATTTTCTTCTATGCTCTCTTAATTAAAAAAATTAAATTTAAAATATATTTTATTAAAAAAATATACTCTTAAGCAAATTAAAGACTCTCCAATCTTTCTTTAATTTCTTATTCTTTTTCTATTTTAACTTTTAATTTATTCTAAATCTTCAAACTCTAATTCTATTTAAAACTATTCTATTATTTTAAATAATAAATATATTTATTTTATAGAAAAAATTTTTTTATTAATAAACTGATTACCAATGCAGTTTCCTTTTTCTCATTTCTCTCCATAAAGCTTTAAAACATAAATTCTTCTTACTTTTGCTTGAATGTATCTGCTTTCTACTTTTTCGAAGTATAACTTTATCTTTTTTCAGATATACTTCTGTGCTTAGAACTTATTTAGCTATCATTTTCATAAAACATACTCTTTTCTCGTTCTTCTATCAAAAGTAGTTAATTTGAATCCTTAATTTCTCTGTTTTTTTACACCTTTTCAGCTTTCAATCTATCTTTTTCATGTTACTTTTATATTTATTTTTTTTTCTCAACCAAAAACTTGTCTTCATAATGAATACTTTCTTCCCTTTATAAATCAAAAAAATTAAAATCTTTTATTATATTTTTTTATTAAAATTAATTCTTTTATGCATTCAGAACACTTTTTTATTTTTTGCAATTAAAAATCATGAAAAATATAATGAGAATAAGCAATATACTTGGATTGTTCAATAGATTCTTTAAATCTTTTGTAAAAGTTTTAAACTTGCCTTCTTTACTAATCTCTTTTAAACTCATTAAATTTTTCTTAACTCTGTTTATAAAGCTCTTGCTACTATTTGACCTTGTTGTCAATAATATTTTTTCTTATCTATTCAGCTTTCTTTATTTTTTCTTCATATCTATCTAATAACTCTTTACCCTTTATATCATCTTCTATGAATTTTTAAGCTAAATACTATAACAAACAATTAAAATTACAAAAAAAAAATAATATAATAAATACCTTCTTAAATTAATTTTCTTTTTCAACATTTGATGGAGAGTTTTGAAGATAAGAGCTATCACTATTTAAAGGCTATTTTAATCTTGCATGACTACTTTTTGCTCTGAAATTTGTCGAAGTACTATTTAACAAATAATATATCCTGTTATATAGCTATAAATTAGAAAATATTACATTGGATTGCTTGGTATGTAAGCCCCTAAACTCTTTTTTTGTTGAAACATAAAAGGATTAGCAGAAGCTAATCTTTTATATTTATTTCTTTCAACAATAATACTCTTTTTAATTTCTATTATATATTTGTATGTTAACAAAAACTTAGTTTTGATAATTTCATAGTATAATTATATTTTACCAAAAAGCTAATTTAGATGATAGAAGTATCTTTTTTCGCAAATCTCATTTGGCTCGCCTGGTAAGGCAAAATCTTGCTTTTTTCTAAATTAATATCAAAATTTTTAATATAAATGAGTATTAGTCTAAATAATGTTTTTTAATATCAAATATACCTCCTAAGGCAGTCTTAAACTGTGAAGCCATAATTTATCATAACTTATTTTGTTCGTGGAGAGTCGAAATCTATTTATTACTAAATTATAGTATCTTTTTTTTTATCATAAATAATATCAATATCTTCGAAAAATGATCTCTTAATCAGCCTATTTATTTTAAAAGAATTTATTTTCGTAAAATATATTTTTTTTACGCTGGATCTTTTTTAAGTTCTTTATATGATTCCTAGTTTAACTAAAATAAAGAATCGTGCATTTTGTATTTTTCAACTTTAACTCCTACTATAATAACTTGAACTATCTAAAATTTATTAATTGATTTCCTTTAGTTCTAATTTTTGATAAGTATCAATAATAAAAATTATAAAATTAAAAGACTAAATTATTTATTGGTTATGATTAGCTAATTTAATTTACATTACAATAGCACCAATATTCTTGATTTTATTTTTCAACTAAAGTAAAATACAGTTTATATTAAAATACATGAAAAATATCAAAAATAAAATTTTTTAAATTTTTCTTATTGGATCTTAAGACTTTCTAATTTATATGGTTAAAAATTATTTCATTGAATACTTTCAAAAAAATATTATCTTTTAGTTAAATTTAATTGTTATTAATAATGTCTTTAAAACAAATTTAAAATAAATTGCTTAAAAATAAATTAAAAAATATTATTAAATAAATTTAACTATGTTGATATAAATAGTTTTTATAATGATAGAATTTATATTAAAATTTATTTTTATTAATATTTAAATTTTTAATTAAAAATGTATTTTTATATATGGCTTTAATTTTTAAATTATTATAAAATGTTAAAATTATATTTATAAAATCAATTTTTTAAACTTAAATCAAAATAAAAATAGAAAAGTGAAATTACAATTAACTTTTAAATAATTAATCAAATTAAAATAGTTCAAACTTTTCAATTAGATAAGTTATTATTCTAGGATTCATTTGTTTTTTCGTTATCATTTTAGTTTATCATTAATTTATCATATAATTACCCTATTGTCATTTCAGGATTTTCTTTAATCAGTTTAATAACATCATTTTACTTTTGATCTGTAATTTTACATAACTTTTTAAGTTTATCTTTTTGTATTTCAGATAATTATTCACTCTCAATAGAATCTTTATTGTCTTCTTTAGTACCTTGGATAATTTGAGGAAGTTCACCTTATCTTTTAATAATTTTATAGCATTACTTAGGGTCTGTGCTATCATATTATTCTTCTATTTCTATTTGAGGAGTTTAATAGAAAATTCTCTTGAACACTTTTGTTTTACTATGATCATTTTTTTCATTTTATTCAGAATATTAGTTAGCCTTTTCTATTTATTTCATTAATTTATCATTTTACTAATTAATTTATTTTTTACTATCTTCTAAATCATCTAGTTATTGTTAAAATTCATCAATCTTTTTCTGAATCTCATTCTCAAGTTATTATGTTTTCTTTAATTATTTTTTTAATCTTTTTTCCTTAGAAATGTACAAGCCTTTATCGAAATTCAAATTTTCAGTAAAAATGTCATATTAATCATTGAAAAAGTCATCAAATTCTTCAAATATATCAAAGTACCCAGGGTTAAGCACACTAAAAGGTCTCTTTCTTAATATGCTCATGAAAATTTATTGTTTTTGATTTTCCTTTTTTAATTTAATTTTTTTTTAGTTTATTGAAATAATTTAATTAAAACTTATTAAAAATTAGAGCTTTTAAATAATGCAAGAAATTTCTATTTTTCTCTTATTTTTTAATTAATTTTTCAAAGAAAAAATGAATTCAACTAATTTATGTAAATTATTAAAATATGGAATTTTATATTAATTTCTTTGATACTTATCTATTTTATAAATAATAATATTTTCAAATTTTCCTAAAATTTATAATATATTCTAAAAAAAAATTGATCAAAATTCTAAATATTTAATTATTTGAATTCTTCTGTTTACAATTATTTATAAAATTCTAAATTTTAGAAATTTTTAAATAAAAATAATTAAAATAAACAAAAATCAAAATTTTATGATGACCTTGTATCTTCATGCTAAATAATTTTATATAAATTAGTTTATTTTTTAAATATATATAGATTATTTTTTATTTAAAATGTCTTACATAAAAAAGGTTTCTGAATGACAATTCAATTAAAATATAGAAATTTCAACCATTTTTAAAATTATTATGAATTATTTATTTGAAATTTAAGGTTTATTTAGATAAAAGTATTTATAAAAAATTTAATACACTCTATTGAGAAAATTTACCAATAATTAAATCAACCAAAGTTATCTCCATTCTAAAAATTTGTTTGACATTAGCTCTATATTTTATAGATATTATTTATTGAATATGATAATAAATAGTAAAAATCAATAAATATTCTTCCTTGAAGTATCAAAATCTTTTATTATAAGTAAAGGATTATTTTCTATTAAATATTAAATAAAATATGGCCAAAAATTTGTTATTTAAATTTTAAAACTTTGTCTAATTTATAAACATTTGATTTTTGAAATTTATTTTATTGAGTTTTATTTTGATAAGATAATATAAATACAATAGATCTTATATAAAAGATATAAAAATATTACATAGAAAGTTTAATAAATATGTATTAATTATATAACTATATAATAATAATAATTGAAATTCTTTTTTAGTATTTGCTTTTGTTGATTCACTTTCTATGAGAGATTTACTTTTGTGACTATCAATTGCACATTTTCATTTCACACATTTTGTCAAATAACTAACCAACACTCATTTCCTTGTGTTACATTACAAAATCTCTCATATCTTTGGTTCTTTTGCCAGTCATCATACAAAGTCTGTCAAATTTTTCATCCATACCTTCACCCATAGGTTCCCACTTGTCGCAACAATCAGTACCCATGGTACCCATCATAGTGGTCATTGGATTACCTGTTAACATTCCAGGCATCATGCAAGGTGTCTCTCCTGCTTTTTTGAAGACAGTGTAACATTTTTTAGGATCCATGCTATCCCAACATTCTTCCATTTCCATATCAGGAGTTCTCATGTATGTTTTTCTGAATACTGAATCACATCTAGGTTCTGTTGAGCTCTTTTTCATATCATCACTTGTACATTCCATTTTTTTGGAACATTCTGTTCTCATATTTTAGCACATCATCATATTCATTCTCATTTATTCCATCATTACTTAGCAATTTTTCATAGCTTGGCTGTATTAAGACTCCATCATAGTCCACATATCCATCATTCTTCTATTAACTTCTTCCTTTCTCATACCCATGTTCATCATTTAAGTAGTCATCATTTACATCATAGGAGAAAGCATCATTTCATTCATCATACCCATATTTGGCATCATGTTCATCATATTCATCATACCCATATTAGGCATCATATTCATCATGCCCATGCTTGGCATCATGTTCATCATACTCATATCCATATTTGGCATCATATTCATCATACCTGGCATCATGTTCATCATCATTCTCATCATATTCATCATACCCATATTATCAGGCATCATATTGGTCATGTTAGGCATCATATTCATCATGCTAGGCATCATATTCATCATGTTTGGCATCATGTTCATCATGTTAGGCATCATAGTCATCATGCTCATCATGTTAGGCATCATAGTCATCATGTTAGGCATCATATTCATCATGCTAGGCATCATAGTCATCATGTTAGGCATCATAGTCATCATATTTGGCATCATAGTTCTCATCATATTCATCATGCCCATATTTTCAGGCATCATATTCATCATATTTGGCATCATGTTCATCATACCCATATCCATATTTGGCATCATATTCATCATATTTGGCATCATGTTCATCATACCCATCATGGGCATCATCATTCTCATCATATTCATCATGCCCATATCCATATTTGGCATCATGTTCATCATACCCATCATGGGCATCATCATTCTCATCATGCTCATATTATCAGGCATCATATTCATCATCATAGAAGGAGAGCAGGTATTTCCCATCATTCCATGCATTAACATTTTTCTAAGCATATTAGTCATCCAAGGCATCATTGGCATCATTGGCATCATTAAAGGATGCATCATTCCTCTAGTATTCTAAGTTGTCATATTCATAAGCATCATGTTCATCATCATAGGAATCATTTATGGGGGTACACCTAAACTAGTCATCCAAGTTCTAATAGGGCAAGTAGTCATATTTCCATTACAGGTTAAGGGGAGTCCTAATGTATTAAACATTGTGTTCATCATAGGAGGGCAACACATGGTAGGACCCATCATAGTAGGACCCATCATATTAGGACCCATCATAGTAGGGCCCATCATTGTTGGCATCTAGTTAAACATATTAGGCATTCCTGTCATAGGGCAAGTTCCAGCTGTTGTTGGCATAGTACCAGTAGTGTTAGTAGGCATAAAAGTCATAGGGCAAGTTCCAGTAGTAGTTGTAGGCATGCCAGTAGTTGTAGGCATACCAGTTGTTGTATTAGTCATTCCGCAAGTGTTCATTGTTGGGTCTGCCATACCCATCATGTTGAAAGTAGGAGTGTTCATCATTCTATTTTATCCGAACATCATTTAATTTTTTGCTATTATTTTTTTGTTTTTGATTAAGATTGTTTTTTGTTTGTTTAAATTATTATAAAATTTGTGAATTGGAGTCTGTCTATTTAAATTCATCAACTGTTTAGATATTATTTTTTTACAATTGTTGCACTTGAAGTTGACTGATAAATTTTGATATCAAAAACAAATTGTTATTATTATTATAGCTGGTTTGTTTGATGGGGGCAATAATATTGCGTATTCATCCTTTTATTTTTACAAATTATATAATAATAATGCTAACAAGCTAATTCATCATCATTCATTGATTCTACTCACCTTTATAATAACTTGATTTATGTCTTATCTTGATAAAATCTAAAGAGCTTGTCTGAAATACAGAATTTAGAAATAAAAATTGTTAATCGTTTTCAAATTAATACCCATATTGATAATTGTCTTAATTTTTTTACCATCTAAAATGATATCGTTATTTTTATTTACATATATTTGATAATTTATCATTAAAAAGGTTCAAATGACATACCTTTTATGTCTACATTTTGTATTTCATAAAATTAATCTTTATAAAAAACGCAAACATTACGAATAAATTTCAAGTAGTTTTAAGTAAAATTCTCAACATTTGGTGATATTGGTATTAAATCTAACAAATATTTATAATTATATATAAATTTATCACAATGATTACCTCTCAAGCTCTATTATTTATTGGTTAGTCATTTTATCATAAACAAATTTTAAAGAAAAAAATTAAAAGAAATCAATTCTGTTTTTTAATTAAATTGTTAAGAATAGAAAGTTTTTTGCCTAATTTTTACTTTTTTTGAAATTAGATTGGTGAGTAATATTCTTATTAAGAAAATACCTAGGATTTGACAAAAGAAAATTTAAAAAAAACTGACCATAAAGAATAATATTGAATTTTTTAAATACATATTTATAAATAAGACGTTAAGAATATTTATGTTTTAATGAAAATGTTAAGCTCTTTAAAATTATTGTATTCAAATATTTTAAAATTAGAATTGAAATGAAGTAGAACAATATTAAGTTAATCAAACTAATAGCGAGATTCATCTATTTAAATATAGTATTAATTTAAGTAAATCAGAGAAGTAATAAAAAAATATTATTTCTAAACACTGTCAAATTGAAAAAAATAATAATATGGGTAAAATGTAATTTGCAAACTATGGCATCTATATTCAATATAAAATAAAAAATAGCAAAGAATATTTATTTTTTTAATCTGACGTACAAAGGCCCTATTAATTGCATATAAAGTATTATTGAATGCATAATATCTGATCAATAGTGATGAAATATTGAATAATTAATTTTTTTTAATTATGACGCATTCACATTTTTAAATTTTTATAATAAAAGTAAAAATATAGAAACTTCTTAATTTGACTTCCATTCATTTTGAGAGGAATATTATATGGTTTTTTCTAATCTAATTACTGTTTTTTAGTTTTCGTATAAATCTTAGAATAAAATGTTCTATGTATGTTAAAACAAATTGCTAAATTTAAAATATATACATCTTGGAATAAAAGTATTTATTCTTAAATAAACTAAATACTTATAATACTAAAAATTTTATATAGCCAATCTCTTCTTCTTCTTCAATTAATAAAAACGAATAAAAGAAATTGAGATTAGAAAAAATCTGATTTAATTTATCTAAAAGCAATTCATCATCTAAATTAATGATATAAAATTGAATGAATTTTTAGAAACAATTTTTTATTATTATAACAAAGAAAATCTGATCTTCAAGTAGTTCACTAGTGAATTTTTAATTTCTGTGGAATTTTTAAACAACTTTACTAAAAACACAATTGTTAATATTCAAACGAATAGGACTGGATTAATTTTTCAGAAAAGATAAAAAGTTTTCATTTCCCTTACTTTTCTGTTTATTACCGTTTATTTGCACTTCATATATTCCATGATATTTTGGGAAATAAAAAGAAAATTTGAATACAAATCTATTTTAAAAAGCAATATATTTATTTATTTCCAAAGTATTTTGCATGTAATTTTAATATATTTTTAACTATTTTGTAAATGAAAACTAAAAAAACGTTATAATTTGATTACTTTCCAATATTTTATTGGTAGGTCAGTTTTTTTAAAATATGCTTTTGAACTTAAACCCATTGATTTTCCCCTAACTAAAAAATGTTTAGGTGAGTCTAATAGCAAGAATTGTATGAAGAAATATAAATAAAAATAAATTTTTATCTCTATTTTAGAAATCTAAATACGTCACAAGTAAAATTAAATATTATCTTTAATTTAACAACAGATGATTAAATAAGACACTTTATGACATTCTAATTTACTGAATTTTAAAAGCTATTTCTTATATATAAAGCATGGCAAAGTATTCTGAAAATAAAAAAATATTATTACTATATATATTTTGGTATTTTTTGTTTTTTCTACAAGTTCATTTAAAATGTTTTTAATTATAGAATTAATAAAACAAATAATATGTACCTATAAAATGTTTAATAATATATATATGTATTTAAATAATCAGTAAAATTTACAAAAATATCCATAAACTAATCACTAAAATTTGAGAAAAAATCCTTTTTATTTAAAAAAAGACTTAGCTTTATAAAAAGATACCATAAATTTTTTCATTTCAGTATAAACAATAAACTATTAGTGTGAGAAATAAATTTTATTTTTTAATATAAAATTTTAATTAAAATTTATAATAAAATTAAAATTAAAAATTAAATACCATAAAATAAATATTAATAAATCATATTAAATTTTAACAATCAATATAGAGTTATCAATAGATAAATACTAACCTCTTTTTATTAAAATTTAAATAATATTTTTTAGTAAAGTATTGTATAAATCATATTTTACTAATAATAAAGTAATAATTTTTAGAATCTTAGATTATACTAATCATAAATTAATCTGATTTTTGTATCTAAAATAAAATTATTTGTAATAAAAAGTAAAACATTTTTTCTCAAATTTTAAATAAAGCTGATTTTCAATTAGTAAAAGTAAGTTATATAATGTGTATAATTTAATGTAATATTTATTTATTTTAAGTATAAAATCACCACTAAAATTTCCTTAAAAAATTATAACTTAAATTTTATGTAAATAAATTAAATACTCTTTATTCAGATTCAAATAATAAATTAATTGCTATTTAATTTTAAAAATTATCTCATCTGCTATCTAATTAAAAAGAATCCATCTAATTTTTCATTTTATAAATAGAAATATTTACTTTAAATAATACTTGATATTATTGAAATCTCAAATTATAAATTAAAATTAATTCTATTAAGGAAAGAAAGATGATAAAGCATACATTTTATAAATATTTATTTACAAAAAATTTGAAGCAAATAATTAGCAACTTATAGTTAAAATACAAAAAATTATTTGAATATGATTTACTTATAATTTTTGATTTAAATAAAAAATTATTTTCATTATTAATTTTGATTTTAAGTTATTGGTTTTTTTCTTTGTGATCTATTTAGTTTAGATAGCAAGCTGTTACTAGTTGATAATAATTAAATAATATTTTTTAAGTTAAAACATTTTAAATAATTTTAATTTTTGTAAATCTTTTAAAATGAATTTAAAACAATAAACTTCATCTTATATATAAATAAAAAATATTACTATATTTAAAGTATTTGTTTTTAAATATTTTAAAATTATAAAAGGATTTACAGTACACCAAATATAATGCTAAAATAACAATTTTTAATATATACTATAGTTATATTATATATAGTTTATAAACAAAGAAGTTTTTCATATCATGCTGCTTTTATATTAGCAACAATATTCCTAACTTACTTTAGCAACTATCTTCTGTAATCAACTTATCTCCTAACAAAATCTTCTGTGTAAAGTAAAATGAATTCAGTTTTATAAATTCCCATGCAGACATTATCTTAAAAAACCTCTTTTAAGCATAAGCATGTTCATTATCATCACTGAGTAACTATCCCAAGAGGTTCTTTTACAGAATTGTTATGACAAACCATTTCTTACCTCTAAGCTAAGTTTATCATCAAAAGCTCTAATTTTATTATTCTACCACAATTAAATTAAAAGTGAATTCTATTTAAGTGGTGAAAGCCTAGCAGGAAGTATATTGTTTCTATTTTATGGTTTCAAAACCTCTTAATTTTTGTTAATCAAATTACTTCAGACCATAGATAAATAACATATTCATTTATTTTATGCCTTAAATACTGATTTTTACTACTTTTTGCAATCTTTTATTGATTAAATTATTACAAAATCAAGCAGCTGATAGCTATTTCATAGTTGGAGACATAAATCTATAGTCTTTTGTTCTGATTTTTATGTCAAATTATAGAATAGATATTAGTAAAATGCTATTAATTAATAAAAAAAAACTCATTTTTTTATGAATTGAATGAAAATAATGTAGACATTTTATTATTAGCAAGTAGATAATTAATTTTTTTAATAGTTTGATAATTAATTTGTGATTAACTTAAAAAATTTTTAAAGTATAGAATCAATCTATCTAGAATTGTATAATAAAATAGTAAAATAATAAAATAGTAGAGCTATTGTTAAAGACAAAAAAAGTTTTTGCGATTTTTTTTACTAATCATGATGCCGATGTAAAAAATATAGATAAATGAAATAAATCTATAACAAGTTTTTTTCTTATCTTAATTTCAAAATATAAAATATAGATTATAAAACAGTTTTAATTAATAAATAAAGATTTTTTTTATTAATTGAAAAGAATGTAGACACTTTATTATTTGGTGATATTTTAATTACAGGATTAGCAATATTTTTTAATTTATAAGGTAATTAATTATCAGATTTGGAGATTAATTTTTTGGTGAAAAAAAATTTTCTCGTCAAAGATTATAAAAAATTAGGTGAATAATTTATGATTAATTCAGTGAATAAATAATTTGGAAAATAAAATATTTTTTAACTCACTCTTTAATATGCTTATAAATTATGAAATTTTTATTCTCCAAAAATTTCATTACTTTTTTATTTAATTATTTCTTCTAATTAAATTTATTTAATTTTAAGAAAGTTTAAGTTTTTTTTTTAATTTAAAACAAAAATATTATCAATATATTTATCAATCGATGTTTTTTTCTAATTCATATTCAATTTTAATTGTTTGAAATATCTTAAAATCATTATTTTACTTGTAAAAAGTTAAATAACAAACTAATCCATAAAAAATATTTTTGATCTAAAATTTAACAAAAAAATATTTTTTAAATTAATTAGTTATTAGAAATAAGAATAGATATCACCATTAATTTATTAGAATAAATTATTAATCTTAAATCTACTTTTTTAAAATTTAATTCTTAATTTTATAATTATTAAGAACTTTCTTTTTATTGATATTTCTAATTCAAAACTTTTATTTAATTTTATTAATTAAATCTAATTTAATTTACTATTTATCTTTTTAATTTCAATTTTATATATTAATTTAAAAAATGTATTTTTGAGTTAGTTAATTTTAAAGGGAATATCAAAAATTAAAATTTATTATTTTTTATTAAAGAAATTAATAAATACTTTATTTTTTCTAAATTTTATTTTTATTTTTGCTGATAAAATAAACCATATTTACTTATCTATCTATCAACCTAATTTTTAGAAATAGAAATTTTTATCTTCAATATAAACTTCGAACTTGTTTTAATTATAAGTAAATTTTATTTTTAAATAAGATAATAAAATTTAAGTTAACAAATCTTCAAATTAAAAAATAAATATTATTAATTTAATAAAAAAATAAATATTATTAATTTAATAAAAAATAATAATTAATATTTTATTTCTAAGTTATTAATTAAACAAAACTTTCAATTTATTAATTAAGACATGATTATGGTTAAAACATTAATTAATCTTTTAAGGAGTCTCATTTAAATTTTTAAATATTAAAAATATTTTTACTGTTAAATTAAAATAGTATTTATGAAAGCTATTCTCTAAAAACTTATCAAAAATATTAATAAATAATATCCATCAAAAATTTTGCTATTCACATCACATAACTTTTATTATTATCATTAATTATTATTTTAGATGGCAAAAAGTAAAACAGTGTTTATAAAATTAAGAGTTTTCTATTTATTCTGCTTCCAAGATTCTTAATTAATCATTAACAAATTAAGTTATTAAAATTAATAATTTGATTATAAGTTGTTTATTTTTTATAAATTTTAATCAAGTATAGTTTATTACTTATTTAGATCTAAAAATCGCATAAATTTGATTTTGATATCTTTTACATTCTGAATTTATAATAAAAATGGCTATTAGAGTTGGTGAGAGATATAGAGTTGGGAGAGTAATTGGTTAAGGAAGCTTTTGCAATGTTAAATTAGGTAATTTTTAAATACGAAAATAAATTTTAGCAATAATGAATTTAATAGGTTATGATACTTAAAATGAAGATAAGGAAGTGACAATTAAATTAGTAAAATTTTATTTTAATGCATTAGATTTATAAATTTTTTTAATTTTAAGGAAGAAAAAAAATCTCCTCATTTACAGTTGCTATTTGAAGCTAAGGTTTACAGAATTTTATAAGGCGGATGTAAATATTCTAAATGATTTTTATATTTATAATTTGGTTATATTTTATTATTAGTAGGAATACCAAATGTCCACTGGTTTGGATAAGAAGGTGATTTTAATATTATGGTGATGGATAACTTAGGTCCTAGTTTAGAAGATTTATTTAATTATTGCAATAGAAAGTTTTCTTTAAAGACTGTGCTAATGATTGCTGATTAAATGATTGAAAGAATCGAATATTTACATACAAACAATTTTATACATAGAGATTTAAAGCCATCTGATTTTTTAATTGGATTAGGGAAATAAGCAGATATTATATATTTAATTGATTATGGATTAGCTAAAAAATTTAGAGATGCTCGTACTACTCTTCATATTCCTTACTAATCTGCAAAATCACTTACTGGAACTGCCAGATTCAGTTCTATCAATACACATCTTGAAATAGGTAATAAAGACCTTTATAACCACAATAAAATTATTCTTATAATAAAGAGTAAAGCAGAAGAGATGATTTAGAAAGCATTGGCTACTGTCTTGTTTATTTTTTGAAAGGAAGTCTTCCTTGGATAGGAATTAAGGCAGAGAGTAGAATAGAGAAATATTAAAAAATAGCCGATAAAAAGATATCTACTCCTATTGAGGTGCTTTGCGAAGATCTACCAGGTAAATTTAGTATTTAGAATTAAAAATAAATCCAAAAAAACTAATAAATAAAATAGAGGAGTTTATAACCTATCTTAAATACTGCAGAAGTCTCAAATTTGAAGAAAAACCTGACTACGTTTTGATCAGAAGAATATTTAAAGACCTCTTCTTTAGATGTGAATATAAATGGAATACAATTTTTGATTGGGCAGAAGTTGCAGTTGTAAAATAATTAAATTTAATTATTTTTGATAAAAAATGAATATAAATTTTCTAAATAAAACAGAATTAAGAAAAAGAAGAATACGAAGCACTCAGACAGGACGTTTTATTAAAGGAGCATGAAGATTAATAAAATTAATGAATTATAATATTATATTAAGATATATAAATATAGATCGATATCTACTTATGTTTTTTATTATAAATTTATTTTAAAATTTATATTTTATTTATTGGCTTAAAAGAATTGATTATGTTTATTTTCAAAAACATCAAGTTTTGTAGTTCACTGTTAAAAGTTCAAACAAACTAAAAAATTCGGAAATATATATATAAATAAATAAATAATAAATAGTCTGTCTGCTTGCTTGCTTTGTGATCTTTTAAAAATTTTTAAATTATAAAATTTCAAATTATATTATTTGCAAAAAAATAAGGATTAAATAAAATGATAATAAGAAAGCCAACAAAAATAGAATTAAAGCCAGAAGATGACTTTGAAGAATATGAAATGTATAAATAAGAGTAGCATGAATAACTAAGTAAGTATAATAAGAATCAAGATAATTGTATCGGATAATTTGGCTCTGATTTTGGAATAGGTATTCATACTAGTAATAGATATAATTAATAATTATCTTTAGGAGGGACAAATGATAGAAGTTTTATTGGCGGGTCATATTAATCTACCTTTTAAGGAGGATTGTAATTTTCTTAAAGCATTAAGATAATTTATTATCTTTAAATTATTTAAAAAGTAATCATAACTCCAGCATATCTGAAAGCTCAATTAACAATTTCAGCTCTAATAATTAAGCATCATTTGATAGATCTCAAACAGGTAGTAACAGTACTGAAGGAGGACAATACAATTAGCTTTTTTCAGCACTTATTGGAGGATAAAGTCTCATCAGACCCACACATACAGTAGGAAACAGTTAGTAAAATCCTAATCCATAAACTAGCCTAAATAACTCAAATTGAAAAAGTTATATACATAAAAGCTTTCTCTAAAATAAAATAAATAAATTAATTATTATTAAATTGCTTTATTATTTTAATAAAGCAGCAAAGAGTGTATTTAAAAAATCTATAAAATTGTTTAAGATTTATATAAAAATTGTAAATCAAATTTAATTGCTAAATAATAAATTACAGTGTAAGATTTGATAAAATTAACTTAAATTGCATGTAAGTGTTGTATTTTTATGATACTCATTAAGTATAAAGGTTTTATCTAATTTAAATAAGCATTTATTTATAAATAATATTTATAGAATTCAGATTCTAAATAATTATCTTTTATCAGATAAGGTAATTGAAAAGAAAAAAATCTTACTCTATAATTTTTTTGATATGATAAAGCTAATTATGATTTAATTATTTGATAAAATAGACCTTAACTTTCTAAGAAATAAGCTTTTTATCTTAAATAAATATAAAAAGTTATTTAATAAAAGTATTTGAACTATCATATATCATACATATATAAATATATAAATGGATAAAGAAAGAGAAGAAACTTATAATTAAGGAATAAAGGGCATGGAGGATAAATTAGAATTTTCATCATTTTTACGTGTATAATAGACTCCAATTATTAATCTAGAGATTAAGCAAATGTTGAACAAAGGTTAGATATTTTACAATAGTGCATAAAAAGCTTTCCTCTTTAGAGAAAAAGAAAATGTTTTTTATGTACAAGAGGCTTAAATAAATTAAGTTAGATAATCTTATCAATTTAGAATTCCTTACGAGTAATAAATTTACTTTTTTTTTAATGGAATTGAATTTGGTTTATTTTTAATAAAACTTGCGACATTTTTAAAATTATGATTTTACATAATAAATTAGTAAAAAGATATTCGCAATGAGTTTTCATAAATCGATGAACTATATTGCCTATCAAATAGCTGATAATACTCTAGTAAGAATTAAAAATAAAATTGCTTTTAATTTAAAACAATTAAGAAAATTAAATTCATTTTTGGTTGTTGGAAAAATTATTTTAAGCATTTTCATAATAAAAAAATTAGGTTATTGTGAATATAGCAGATGGTAGAAAAGAGTAGAGAATTAAATTTGATTCAACCTAAAATATTCTTCTGTTTTCATGGGTTTACTAGAATCCAAATGAAAAAAACATTGATTTTATACTCTGTGATAAATCTGGAGTTAGGCTATATAAAATTGATGAAAAAGGAATTTTAAAAGAAGAAAAGTATTATGAATTTTAGTGTACTGCTGCTTGGTATGAACCTACCAGTTAAGTACTGATTACTTCAAGCTTAAAAGAGTTTGGAAAATTGCATACTTTTTTCTTTGGAGAAAAGAAATCATAAAGAAAATACAGAGGACCCGAATTTTATTTAGAAGACAATAAAAAAGAGAAAAAAAGCATAGATGTGTTTTTGACATTATTATAAGCAATCAATCAAATGGAATAATCAGATAATGCTAATAGTTAGAGTTCTACATAAATTTCATAAGCAATGGATACTCTTTTGACTAAATCTTATAAGACTTAATACTATTTTGATGAATTTAGTTGTTAAATTTATTTATTAAATATGTATTCTAAAACATACTTGGTATTCGTCAACTAAATGGATGGTAAAATTGTGATTTATCACCTCCTTTATGAAAAGATTCTTTGTCTTGACTGGAAAATCTCTATCCCTTCAGATTCCTTCATATCCATTTGTGTTGTCGAAGATCTTTTGCTAGTAAATTCACATTAAAATTCTATATCTATGGCTTATGATATCAAAAGATAAGTCCCAACTAGTCCTTTAGGACCACCTTAGCCTATTTTTATCAAACCCTTCGCTAAATAAATATGTAATATTTTTCTCATTATTTAAATTTATAAATATTATTTTGCACTTAAAGATGACAAGTAGATCATATGTTTGTAAGATGAGTGGATGATTGATATCGAAGAAGTTGAAGTTTATAAATTTAAAGTTAAACTTGAAGTAATATAAAATTTAATAGAAGGAGATGTAAACATTTTAATTCATTAAAATAATTTTTTAATTTAATTTACTTAAACAAAAAAAAGGTTGAGTGTTTTAATATTTTATTAAGAAGAGGCAACCCCAAGTAAATAGCAATAGATTTTATAAAAAAAAGAATTAAAGAATAGAAAGAGATAAATATTATTTCAATTTACTTTAAGCATATCTTTGAAATTTATAAAGAAGCATATAAGAATACAAACGAAATAGATATTGAAAGCAAAAATTGCATTAAAGCTACCATAAATGAAGTTAATAAAACAAAAATCAAGTAAGGCTACACTATTATACTTCCATCAGAACTTCACAAGGATCTGCTAGTCCCCATAGTCTAGGATTAAAGTATACCTAGATAATATATTATTTATATCCTTTCAGAGTACTTGAGATTGGCCTACAGTAATTAATAAAAATTTAATTATTTAAGAAAAATTTGATTTAGAAATATTTTATTAATTAGATTATGTTTTTTTTTTGAAATTATTGTTTTTAAAAAAATAATTAAAATTAAAATAAAAAAGATAATGAAGTAAAATTCCTAAATAAAACTTAGGATCTCTTAATAGATGTTGTTTTTAAGTAATAAAACTACAACACATTACACTTCTTAATATAATATAAAATTTTATCAGATTCTACTGATTTAGCTAAAAAACTTATTGATATGAGTTGTCCTAAAAGAATAAGTAAATAACGATAAATTAAATTTAAATTAATTACTTTTTTCCAAAAAAAGAAAATTTAGGTCTGCCTTAAAAGGATTTATTATACAAACCAGGATTTTAACTAGGAATAGATATGCTTTTTAGGCTAAAAAATTACTATGAAATTATTGATGTCTTTTTTTAATTTGGAATGGTATTTTTTTTTTAAATTAAAAAAATATAACTTTTATTATTTTAATAAAGACTTTAGAAGCTCTAGATTTGATTTAAAGATACCACATTTATAATATTAAACCAAAGGATATAGCAATGAAAGCATTTTAATATGAAGGCAACTGCACATATAAAGAAATTTACAAATTTTATGAATACCTTTTATCAAGTTCTCAGTATTAAAATTACTTGTAAGCCTCAAGTAGCCAAACGAATTTTAAAAATAAGATCCCCTTTTCATTAAAGACATTAAATTAGGAATTTAAAAACGCTAAGGAAAAGCTTCATTTAGCTAAGTTTAATTCAGAGTAAATAAAAACTAAGTTTTCTAACTCAATAGATATTTTAAATTCTCCACTCAAGGAGCAAAGTAATAGAAGAATATAATCATCATAATCACCTATGAAAGGAGAAGAATTCACTATTAAAAATGAATCTGCTGATACCAATTTTATAATGAAATCCCTCACTTTAAAATGTGAAGAATAAACTACTGATAATTTATCATCAATCCAATAAAGTGTCTCATTGAATAACCAAATTAACATTTTCTAAAGTTAAAATATTTCAGAATTAGATCAAAAAGATAATATTTAGAGCTAATTATAAGATCAAGATAATGAATAATAATTAAAAGAAAATACAAACTTTATTTAAGAAGAAGAAGATAAATTAATTGACCAATAAAAATCTGCTTCTTTAGTGGATAAAGAAAATGAAGAAGATGTTAACTGATTTAATAACTAACAATTATTTATTTATTTAAATTAATATTGAAAATTTATAAAAAATACATTAAAATAAAAATACTTGTAATAAATTATTGTTTTCTTAAACAAACTATCAAAAAAATATCTAGTCAAATCAGAAAAAAAATCTGAGTTGTTATTATTTGAAGAAAAAAAAAATATTTATTTTACTAAATATAAATTTAATTAACTAAAAATAAATTTAATTTATCATTATTTTAAATCAGAAAAAATAAATTAATTTTGCGAATTGTCAATTTAAATTTTCTAGTTTATTAAAAAGTACCAAAAATGTTTACTTAATTTTATTTTGCTTTAAAGAAATATTTACAAATTAATTGTTCGTCATAAAAATAAAAAAATAAAAAAAAATATATTTCAGTAATTTTTTATTAAACAATTAATTAATTTTAATTATATTAGCTAAAATATTTAAAAAGTTATTTCATTTTTTCTTTTTTGATTTATCATTTGAAGCTTCTTCTTCTGCAGCAACATTATTGCTGAATAGCCATAAGCAAGCTTCTAACTTTTTTGCCAGAGGAGTATTTGGATTTATTGGAGGCTTAGAATCGAATCTAAGAAATTTAATTGCACTGTAAAATAATTAGTTTTATTTAAGATAGGATATCAAATCGTTTCTATCTTAGCATAGTGTTATAATTAAGGAGAGAGATCTATCTAGCAAAAGTCCATTTACTAGATTTAGGATTAAATCTATACTGTATGCTAATATGCTATGGTATTCACCATTTCTTTTGGCTATTTTGTCTTTTATAGTTTAATCAACATTTGCTAATTATACAAAAATACCTAATGTTTCCTCTTGTAGTTCTTAATCACAAAAGTAATCATCTTATTACCTATTTAGAGAAGGTAGCATAATTTTGTGAAATAAATCAGCAGAATCTCTGATTTTAATAAATTCATTTTCATTTGAATTTAATAGCTTTCTTATTAATGAAAGTGCTGTACACATAACTTCTATATTATACCTATAATCTTTCATACCTTTATAGCCTTTAATGATTTACAAAATTTTATCTTAAAGCACGCTCATGTTAAAAATTTAAGAGGTATTCATTCCATCAAAAAGATTATATATAAATTTCAAGGAATAATTAACCATTTTTTAGTTTGAAGATTCTAGCTTAGAGTAAATTATTTCAATGCAATTATTCTATATCATGGTTTATTTTGAATCGCTAACTTAAACGAGGATATTTTACAAAGTTATACATGAATAAAGCTACAAATTAGTATCATCAGATTTAGAATACAAATATATCAGAGGCGCTACTAGCTCATTTAATATTTACCCTGCCTAACTTGGAATAGCTTAATCCTCTGATTTCTTATTTAATTTATCTATAATATGATAGCATACAGCTTTTTTAAGCTCTATAGAATTATGTTCCATTAGGAAGTATATCATGAGTTGTTGATAAATATTACTCTATGACACATCTTGCTCAACATAGTAGTTATAAAAGTAATGATTCTTAATTAACTAAATCATAACTCTTTCATTAAAATTATTAAGGTTTTGAATGCTCTTTTCTACTGATTTAGTAATACCTGTATAGTTCAGCTATCCGTCTTCACTAAACATAAACAAGCAATATTCTAATAAATCTTAGCAGTCTCTTTTGCATTGCTAAATAAAAAAATTAATTTTTATTTTAATATTTAACTAAAAAGCATAATCTTACTGAATCAGAAATTCCTTCAATCACATCTACTAATGAGAATCTATCACCAAATATACCACCATCGACGCAAAAGGTAATAAACCTAATTTATAATAACTTTTAGAGTTTATTAATTATATGATTTTGTAAGTTACCTGGAAACCTTTTTTTTCCAGTTGTATGAATCGAATGAGAATTTTTGCATTTGTTTACTTAACATATTGACACTATTTCTTTCAACATCAAAGTTTCCACTAACATTGTTTCTATTTTATCTAAAGTCTTCAATTACCTAGTCCTACTATTCTAAAATATTTTGATTATCTTAATCTTAGAAATCAAATTGCTTAGCTATTTCGTCTTAAATATACAATATTAATTGTTAAATACTATTAAATTAAAGACTTTTAAATTTATTTAAATTATCGCTCGCATTGAACACATGTAATCTTGTCATTCTACTAATTATCTAATCTTCTTTAATTTTTAATCTTTTTTGTTAGCTAACAGAGTTAGATAGCTTATTATGAATGTACTTTATCACCAAAAAACTATAATAAATGGCATTAGGATAAAGTGGTGCTTTTTTAATAATAATATTTTTTAAATTTATTTTGAATAATTTAATTCAAAATATTTTACGGTCATGACTGAGTAAAAATTCATAGTTTATTTCTTAAAGAGAAAGAGAGTTACACTTATCCTAAATGAGCAAAGAATAAATAGGAAGAACCATATTAAAAGGATAAATACTGTCAGCAATCTATCTTGCCTCTATTTTACCTTTCTTATTATAAGCAGCACTATTAGAAAAAAGAACTATTATAATATCATTAAAATTTTCGAGAAGTGGTGGAAGAAATGATCTTCTCAAAATAATAACATTCACTTATCTTATTTTAGATTAATTAGTTACTATACTAATTTCCCATCCTTTCCACTAGCTCTTATCTTCTGTCAAGTTATGACGTCTAATATAAGGATTGGAATACTCAATGTAGTATTTTTATATTCCGTATTCAGCTACAATTTAATCAATATATTTTAAGGCATACTAATCTAAATAAGAGTATACTCCCATCTTTTGAATAGTGTGTAATGGTAGAGGGTTTGTTACCTAAATAAAAAGCTGATAATCTAAAGGTGCAGCCTGGATAAATTTAAAAATAATATTAAACAAGCTAATATTTTTAAATGTTTAAAAAAGTTATAAAGACTAAATTGTTACCTTATATTCGTAAATGCCTGTTTATATATTTTTAAACTGAGCATTCAATTAAAATACATAATTATTAATTGTAAATTTAACTCCATCATCTTTCTATTAAAACATAAATTCAGGCGGTCCTTTTTGATTTAAAATAAATAAATATTTTTCAAAAAACTAGTTTGATAGCTAGTTGTTGTTGTTGCTATTATTACTTTTTAGAGATATATCTAAAAACGAATAATTAAAATAATAAATTTATCAAACTGATAAAATAAATAAGTTTTAGTAAAATATATTAAACTTCAAAATAAGCATTTTGTAAGGATTACCTATTGTTTTTTTATTAGCTTTATTCTAAAATTTTATATCTTGCTAGTATATAGGGAGATCCTTAACTTCTAGTGAATAATACATCTAATATGTTTTCCATGCATAATTTAAATAATAAATCAGATTCTTTCTATCATAACATATTAAATTCATTTTTAGGGGCATATTCTGATCTTTGCTCTCTTTAAAATGAATTTACAGAATTGTTTCTATTTTTTAGTCTACTATAATTCTTAGTAGATTGTTATATTCAGATTTTCCTCTTACTTTATCGAAAAACTCATCTATGAAATAAAAACAGTTTTCGCCAACGCAAATATAATAATCCTTCTCAGACTCTACTAAATGAAGAGCTTTGCAAACAAATAAAATTTCTGTATTTAAAGCACCACCAATAGCTTTAAGTGTCATTTCACATTAAGCCATTTTTACTTATAAATTTGTATATTATGAAATAAAGGGGATTCTTTTGATATTTATTAAAAAGATTTAGAGTTTTTAAATTTGCAAAAATTTATTGCATAATAAATTAAGATATATATTTAGGAATAAAATGTAATATTAGTCATTCAATAAATAAAATTATAATAAAAAACGATTTTTAGAAATTTCAACAAATATTTATTATTCTAATTTTTTAATTATATAAAAATACTCTTTTCTAAAAATAGAATAGAAAGAATATTTTTGTTAAAAATTTATATAACTCATTCAGTTGAATCACAGTGAGTAAATTGACAGGATAGAATAAATCCAAAACCCAGGTTCATAACAAGAAGATCAATTTTTATTTATTTGTGTTATAAATTGTTAAAATATGTAGATACTTAAGTAATGAACTCATTTTTAATTAGACAACAAAACATAGATTTAAACTTTTAAATTCATTTTTTTTACTATCAAGTGTTATTATAAAAATTTAAATTACTCAAATTTTATTGTAACTCATATTATTTTAAAAATACTAAGAAGAATTTATCATTTATTTTCTTTCTTATTTAATTTTTACTTTTGTAGTATTAGATTTAATTTAATTTTAAAATAAATTATTTAAATTTATAAAATAAAAATAAAAAAATATTTATTAATAATAAACAATTTAGATTTTTAACATATTTTACAATAAATCTATCATTGATAATATCGAATATTTTATATAACCTAATTAATTAAACTCAAAAAGATTTACAATCAAACAAACAAATAAATATTACTAACAACTTTGAAAATAGTTATTATTTTAAATAGCCTTGATAGATAGATAGACAGATATATTAGGAAAAATATTTTAAAGAAAATGTCAAGTGATTAAGATTGTAATTTATCAAATGATTTAATATTAAATTAGCTTGATAATCTTTCTCAAACTTAAAAATAGTTTTATAACAAAATGCCAATAAGTTTTTGTCAGAAGTCAACAATTTTCATCTCGCAGATAATGATCCAGCGAATAAATAAGTTTTAAAAGCTGCTCTTTTTGAAAAATTAAAAGAATATGATAATGAGTATTTTTATTTGAAAAAAAAGCATCTAATATACAGCTTAATTTCTTAACATGCTTCTATAAAAAATAGATTTTACAAGAGATTTAACAAGGTCCCTTTATCTGAACTTGCAAATCAATTCACACAGCAATAAAATTACAGAGATCTACCAGATTAATCAACTATTTAATAAAATTTAATGAAGAATACTTTTGTGAGTGATGCAGGGTAAATATTAAATAAGATTTATTCAGTCTAAAAGCATATATTTGTCTAAAGATTTTTTGTTGAAAGATAAATAAATTATTTTATTTTAATTACAGATTACTATAAATTTATAGCAATAGTGATAAAGAGATTTAAGCAACTAATTTAATGAAATTGATTAATTATTTTTAATTTTATTATGTTAAAATAAGAAGTTATTAATTTTTTATATGCAAACTGTTAAAATTTTTTTAAAAAATTTTATTTATTTAAATAATTTATAGATATTTAACTCGTTATTAAAGATTGCATAAAACAACTACTCAAAACCCAGTTACTTAACCTTTAAATGTCGTTGAATAGCCAATAGTATAAAGAAACTTCGAAAATGAATTCATAAATACAAAATTTAATTTTAAAGATACAAATCTAAATTAAAAATCATACCTTTCTAACCCTAATTTAAAGATCGAACAAAATAATTTTATGGGAAACTTAGAACTAAATGAACTGGACTCAAATAAATATTAATAAGATTTATTAGCTTTGATGAAGTAACCTTAAATAGTAGAAATATAAGATTAAGTAACTATTCAAAACCACAAGTCTAAAATAGAATAACTAGGTGGAATAGAAGATACAGTTGCAGGTAAATATAACCATTTATTTTAATATTGAATTCAAGTATAATTATATTTTATATATAGTGATGGAAAGGTCATTAAATGAGTTACAGAATTAAACACAGCAAACAAGATCTCGTAAATTCCAAATTAAATAAATGTATTTTTAATTAATTAAAACATATTTTAGATATAAATAACTAAGCATCAATTAGATAGCCTAATTACTAGTAAGCTGATGGTTAAAGTGATTATTTCTTAAAGGAATACACCTAAAGATAAGGAAATGTTAATTAAGTAATTGAAAAGAGTAAGCTGCTCAGGGAATAAATGCTTAGAAAAATTTAATAAATTTGAAAAAAATTATTTTAATAAAAAGATAAATAAATAATAACTGGTCGTGAAATATATTTTTATTAAGTGCTCACAGAAATAATCATTTTAATTTTTATACAAATCCTTTATTATAAGTATTTTTTATATTTCTTTTGTGCTTATTTTTCTATTTTTCTGTTTTCTAGATAAATTGATTATTTTTAATAATTTGATCTTCAAATACTTATCAAAAACAAATACCAAAATAGATTATTATTGGATATGCTTCAATTAAAATCTACCAAATATTTTATTTATTTGTTCATATTAGCTCAAAAAACATTTTGTTATTCTGTCTTAAAATATATCGAATTATATAACTAAAGATATGTTTTAATTAAATTATTATTATCATAGGAATATATGGTCTCAAAAGTAAATAAATTAATGATCCTAGTTTTTTTTTGCAAGAGTGTTCTCTGTTAGTCTATTACCAAATATTATACAAAATTATATATTAAATCAGTTTGATACCTCAAAAAAATCTTGATTTAATAATTTACTTTGTATTAAATTTTTGACGAAAAAATTTTTGATTTATAGAGTTTTTTCATCAATAAGCAACTCAAAAAACTAAGTTTTCAATAAGCATCATAACATTTTTAACAAGGCATAAATTAAATAAAGATGATTGTTGATGATTAGATTAGTTAATAGAAAGATACTTCAAGCAATATTTAAGGATCCAATATGAAAGAGAAAAGGTCAATCACGCCCAAAAAGAGGAAAAATTAAATATTTATCCATAATTAGTTTTTAGTTTAAGAATGCATTTATAAGGGCAATTTTTATAATACATACAAAGGTAGTATTTCCTTTAACGCAGTTTTTCAAATAATGATTAAACAATATGAACTAAATAGGATTTGATAAAGAGGCCAAGAAGAACGTAGTAATAAAAATGGTAAAAGTTTAATTGATATTTGGTTTTTTAAAATATTTTTAAATGCTACCAAATTTTTTGAAAAAATTCATTTCAGATTTATTTGAAGCTAAAATAGGATTAAGTTGCTATAAATTTAGATATTATTTCTATAAATATTAGTGCAATCAATACCATGATCATATTTCGCATGAACTGAAGATCATAAAGCATCTCGTATTAAATTGTAAAACAGATAAATATCTTTACAAACTTAAATATCAAAATATATATTTTATTTTTAAGAAACTCTCTTAACATTTGTTTTCAATTTATATATATTTTCTTTTCAAGTTAAGTAATGAAATATTTTTTATAGAAAACAATGTTACCTGCTTCGTTCCTCCTATTTGGTAAGGAGAAGAAAAGATAGCAGGTGTGAATTATCAAGTGAAAGTCTTAAAACAAATGGGACCAAGTCTAAAAATAGTATTTAGTCTATTAAATAAATAATTTATGCAACATACAGTTCTACTCATAGGATTAAATTTAGTAATTTATAGCTATTAAAAAATTTTTTATTTCTTTATTAACATAAATATTAAGATAAATTCAATAGAAAATCTTCACAAGCATGATATTGTCCATAGAAATTTAAGGCCAAGAAAAATAATTACTGATTTTAATCTTAAGTCTCTAAATTTATATTTCGTAGACTTCAAGAATGCAAAAAAGTTTAGGCATAAAAGTGGATAAACTGTTAAATACATAGAATCAAACAGGCAGTAGAATAAGGCTTTTGCAAATAAATTTTCTAGTTTAGGTGTTCATATGGGAATATGTAACTATTTTATTTATATTTTACACAGCTTTATTAAAATTCACAATAAATATTTTTTTTTAAACAGCCCCGAGCCAGAAAGATGATATGGAGAGCATTGGATATATTTTAATATACTTTTTAAAGAAAGGTAAGATATTTTTAATTTTAATAAAGAAATGTAAAGAATTCAGATTAATAGTAATTATAATTAAAAAATTTAATTTAGTAGCATCTAAAAATTAATTTTCTATTTTAATAACAATTAAGGAAAACTCTTTCATAAAAAAAAATCCTATTAAAACCATGAGGAAAAAATAAACCACTATGAAGAATAAAAATTAAATTTTGTGCCTGAAAACTACAAAGAAATTTTACCTGCAGAAGTCATTAGTTATATTAATTACATTAAAATGCTGAACTAATAAGATAGAATTGATTATGATTACTGTAAAAAGCTTTTTAAAACTGGCATATAAAGATTCAATATAAGTGCACATGAATAGAGATATGAATGGGTACGCACACACATTTAATTACCCTTTTTTTTATAGCATAATTTTATTATTTAAGTCAACTAGGATTAAAGAAGATCTAATTACATTCAGTAACTAATAAAATAATGGAAACATTTTAAACCAATAAATATATGAGCTATCCAGCAAAGTTCCTTTAAGTGAATAGAATCTCGATAATAGCTTCCTGAAAGATTACAACAATACCTAATTATAAAACAAGTAAGAACGTGAAAGAGAGGAACTCTAATTAAGAGATAAAGAAGTTTCTATAGAAGTCAGAAAAAATACCGAAGAAACGAATCATAAATTGGAATTAAATGCAAGTGTTGACTAAGGAATAAATGAAAATTCATAGAAATAAATAGTTGTTTAAAACGGTACAAACAGCTAAATTCAAATTACATAAACCACACAGCAGCAACTGAATTAGTCCTTTAATTCGGTATAAAATAAAGAATAGCAGATATACCCTTATTAGTAAGTAAGAGTTGTCATAGGCTCATAAATACATGTTATTGGTGACAATGAGCAAGATGTTGCAGAAATTGGTGAAAAATATGACTACTAAGCTTTTCTCAGAATGAATAGCACTGATGAAAAAAATCAGGGTGGCTTTGTAAGAATGAGTAGCCAAACTTTAGAATCTTAGTTTCTAAAAGACCCTTTCTAAAGATAGGCTTCTAATTTAAGCCGAAAAAGTGATAGGTCTCTTTTTTCCAGGTTTAACAGTAAATCTTTCGATGAGGGTATTTCAGATGAGACAAATACAGAGTTTCCTTCTTTGGAAAAATAGATTATGTCATTAGGTGGTGGAATCAACCCATTTAATATGTTTTCTGCTTCGAAAAGGAACAAATATTTTTCAAGTCATAATATTGAGAAGCCTTCCTTTTACTAATAAAGTAATAGCCAAATTGATGAAGTTGAAGAATTTTCGGAAGTTCAAGTGCATAATAACTAAAATTATTACAAAATTGAAAACGACTGAAAAAGACAAACTTAAATGGATTGGATTGGATGATAATAAATAAATTAATAAATAAATAATTTTGCTTTTTAAATAATAATTTTAAACTAAAATTTAGAATTTACTAAATAACTTTACTAACTCACTCACTCACAATTTAAATAAGAATACATTAACTTCCTATAATAAACAAAAATAAAAACTACTTTCTAGTTATCAATCAATCAATCGATCAATCGATCAATCGATCAATCAATCAAATAATCAACCTAATCTAATTTAGTTAAAAATATAAATATAAAAAATAAATATTTACTATTAATTAGTTACTAATTTTACTTGCTCTGTGTAATAATACTTTTTAAATTTATTTTATAAATTAATTTATTAAAACCTGTTAGTTATTTCCTTCAAACCTGTTAGTTAACTTATTTAAAAGAATTTTTTTATTCGTTATTACATTCAAATCTTTATTTTTTATACATTCAAAAAATATATAATCACCTTGCTTCAGAACAGTTAACAATAAAAAACTTAATTTACTCTTTTATCAAAATATAATATTTCTTTTTGCTTCCTGTGTTCAAGTATTCTATTTTATGATAATAAATAATAAAAGCCTTGAAAAGTAAGAATATGAAAGCTTTACAGACAAAATAAAACAATTTTATGACCTTGATCAGTATATAATAATATTCAAATATATATATATTTTTCAGTTTATACAATTTATTTCATCTGAAAAATTTTTGTCACCTTTGAAATATGTAAATTAATAATTTTGTTGTCATGAAAATTATAATTTGCAAAAAAAAATAGTTTAACTGTTAAAAAAATTTATTTTTGGGAATTGATAGTTATAAAAAATATAAATAATATTATTTTCTATGGATTTATAAATAATTCTATTACAAATATTCATTAAAAAATACTTTATTGTTTGTTAATCTAATCTGAGTTGTTTTCTTTATTAAAAAACTAAAATTTATTTCGTATTACAAAAATAAATTTCATTTTTAAATTAAACCACCTAGTCAAGCTTCATAGATAGTTAACTCGAATTAAAGAAAGAAAATAGAAATACTGTGGAACTAATACCTAATTTTTACATAAAAAAAATTGGGTAGCATAATTTTTTTTGCAAATGTTAGTGCAAGTTTTAACCATCATTAAATTAAAAACAAAAATAAAATTTAAAATAAGAAAAGTTAAATTTGGATTTATCAGAAATATTATAATAAATTCTTTTTCCTTTTATTTTATAAAATATATATAACTGCATTGATTTATTTTTAAATTAAAATTGAATTTATCAGAAATTTAATAATAAATTCTTCCTAATTTACTTTAGATGCAAATTTATTTTAAGATTATAACTAATTATTGTAAGAGGCAGAAAAGATAATATTACGAATAAAACATTCCCAAATCAATTCTCATAATTTTGGAATATTTATATCAATTTAACATACTTATTTTAATTTTCTAAAACGCTAATTAAATTAATTTTACTAAATCTCTAGAAAAAAATTAATGGATTGATAGATCTTTTCAGAATAGAAAAATGTTTAATAAAATTAGTCAAGTAATTATATGTAATTTAATAAAAAATCTTTTTGATATCAGATCACTTTCAAATTTTAACTATTTTTATAATAATAATTGAAAATTGTTAAAATTAGAGAGGGGGGACAGGAAAAAATTAATTAACAAGAAATTAATTGTCAAAGATTTAGCAACCTATTAATTAATCTTTAAAAATAAAAAATCTTAAGTACTTATCTCCCCCCTTTAAAAAAATGGAAAAAATGAGGAAAAAATTATAGGGAGCTAAGCGCGTGTATACAGATATGCATATAGTTAATTGCATTTAAAAATAAGTGAGATATTGAAAAATCAATAAAAAAATGTTTGTATTGTTTGTTTCAATTGCATAAATAGATATAAACCGTGGGGGAAAAAGCAATTTTAATAGAATTCGCGTAATAAGTTAGAATGGGTTGGAGAGATAGAAGACTAATAAATTAAGAGAGTGAAGGGTAAATAAAGAGATGTATAAAAAATAAAAGTTTATTAGAAGAAATGTGATTATGAAGATTTAAGAAGAATCTTCTAATAATTGAAATAATTAATAAAACTTTAAAAGGTTGAAAAAACTAAAAAAAAAGCAAATAAAAAAAGTAATATTTTGTAATAGAGATGGTTAACTTCACTGTTGAATAAATTAGATAGATTATGGATAACTAAGACAATATCCGTAATATGTCAGTTATTGCTCACGTCGATCACGGTAAATCCACCCTTACCGATTCCTTGATTTGCAAGGCCGGTATTATTTCTTCTAAGGCTGCTGGTGAAGCTAGATACACCGATACCAGAGATGATGAAAAGGAAAGAGGTATTACCATTAAGTCCACTGGTGTCTCTATGTATTACGAATATGATTTGAACGAAACTGGTAAGTAAGAACCTTACTTGTTGAACTTGATCGATTCTCCGGGACACGTCGATTTCTCCTCTGAAGTTACTGCTGCTTTGAGAGTTACTGATGGTGCTTTGGTCGTCGTCGATTGCGTTGAAGGTGTTTGCGTCCAAACCGAAACCGTCTTAAGACAAGCCATGCAAGAAAAGATTAAGCCCGTCCTTATCGTTAACAAGATTGATAGATCTATCTTGGAATTAAAGCACGATGGTGAAACCATGTATCAAAATTTCATTAGAGTTATTGATATGGTCAACGTTATCATCGATACTTACAACCAAGAAGATATGGGTCCCCTCCTCGTTCAACCCGATGAAGGTTCCGTCGCTTTCGGTTCTGGTAAGGAATGTTGGGCTTTCACTTTGACCAAGTTCTCCAGAATCTATGCCAAGAAGTTCGGTATTGATAAAAATAAAATGATGAAGAAGTTGTGGGGTGACAATTTCTTCGATGCTGCTTCCAAGAAGTGGACCAACAACAACGTTAGTGACAATGGTACTCCCTTGAAGAGAGCTTTCGCTTAATTCATTATGGATCCCATTTGCAAGCTTGCTAACGCCGTTATGGATAACGATATGGAATTGATGGACAAGATGCTCAAGACTCTCGAACTCACTCTTACTCAAGAAGACAGAGACCTCAAGGGTAAGCACCTCCTCAAGGCTGTCATGTCTAAGTGGTTGAACGCTGCTGATACTATCTTAGAAATGATGGTTATCCATTTACCCTCCCCCAGAAAAGCTTAATAATACAGAACTTCTTATCTTTACGAAGGTCCCCAAGATGATGATATCGCCAAGGCCATGAAGGCTTGCGATCCCAAGGGTCCTCTTATGATGTACGTCTCTAAGATGGTTCCCACCGCTGATAAGGGTAGATTCGTCGCTTTCGGTAGAGTTTTCTCTGGTACTATTGCTACCTCCCAAAAGGTTAGAATCCTTGGTCCCAACTATCAACCTGGTAAGAAGGAAGATCTCCACGAAAAGACCCTCCAAAGAACTCTTATTATGTAAGGTAGAACTACCGAATACATTCCCGATGTTCCTTGCGGTAACACCGTCGGTTTGGTTGGTGTCGATCAATTCATCTTGAAGACCGGTACCATTACTGATCACCCCGATGCTCACACCATCAGATCCATGAAATACTCCGTCTCTCCTGTCGTCAGAGTTGCCGTTAATGTTAAAAACGCTGGTGATCTTCCCAAGCTCGTCGATGGTTTGAAGAAGCTCTCCAAGTCTGATCCTTTAGTCATCTGTACCACTGAAGAATCTACTGGTCAACACATTATTGCTGGTTGCGGTGAATTGCACATTGAAATTTGCTTAAAGGATCTTGAAGAAGATTACGCTAACTGCCCCATCATTAAATCCGACCCCGTCGTCACCTATAAGGAAACTGTTACTGCTGAATCTAACATTACTTGTATGTCCAAGTCTGCTAACAAGCACAACAGAATCTACGCTAAGGGTGCTCCTCTTGAAGATGGTCTCGCTGAAGACATCGAAAAGGGTACCATTAACCCCAAGGACGATCCTAAGGACAGAGCTAAACTCTTAAACGAAAAATACAATTGGGACAGAACTGAAGCCGGTACTAAGCTCTGGTCTTTCGGTCCTGAAAACGTTGGTCCTAACTTGGTTGTTGATCAAACTAAGGGTATCCAATACGTCAACGAAATTAAGGACTCCGTTGAATCTGCCTGGTAATGGGCCTCCAAGGAAGCTGTCATGACTGAAGAAGGTATGAGAGGTGTCAGAATGAACCTCCTCGATTGCGTTCTCCACGCTGATGCTATCCACAGAGGTGCTGGTCAAATTCTCCCCACCGCTAGAAGACTCTTCTACGCTTGTGAACTTACTGCTGAACCCAGACTCCAAGAACCCATCTTCACTGCTGAAATTACTGCTCCTCAAGATGCTATGGGTGGTGTTTACAACTGTCTCAACTAGAGAAGAGGTATCATCAACGAAGAAGAATAAGTTTAGGGTACTCCTATGGCTATTGTAACAATTTATTTCCCTTTTCTATCAAAATTTTAAAAATTCAATTTACTCTCAATAAACAATTTATTTAAATATATTTTTTAATTCTATAGGTCAAGGCTTACTTACCTGTCGCTGAATCCTTCGGTTTCACCGCTCACTTAAGAGGTCTTACTCAAGGTCAAGCTTTCCCTCAATGTTTCTTCGATCATTGGGCCACCATTAGTGGTTCTCCCTTCGAAGCTAACTCCAAGGCTGCTGACATCGTTAATAACATCAGAAAGAGAAAGGGTCTTAAGGAAGGTATCCCTGATCTTAACAACTACTTGGATAAGCTATGATCAAACTTGCTTGCCATTAAAATAATTTAAATACAACATAAAAAGCTTAATAAATTTAAATCCTAATTATTCTTATTTTCACGTCACTGATCAAATGAAAAGTGGCGTTAAAATTTTTTATCTTGTTGTAGTTAGTTATCTAAAGTATTTTATCTATAATTTTTTACAATCCTTCAAATCAAAATCTCATAAATGTATGTATGTGTAAGACAATATTTTAAAAAAGGCAAGAATTATAATATGCCCACTACTAAAACTAAAATTGTATGATTTAAGCCAAAAATTTTATACAATTATTGCAAAACTCAATCAAAAAAGCCAAATCAGATATTTTTATTTTTTAAGATAATCAATCTGAGAGACAATAAAAAATCTAAATTTGTATCTTTAAAAACAATTTTTGTTTATCCTTTTTGTTCTTTTAGAAGAATTAATTTAAAAAACAAAAAAAAAAAGATACGCCCTTCAAAAAAGATTTTTTAACTGAAAAACTGAAATAATTTAATGTGATTAATTAAGCCTGATACACTAATTATTTTTAAAGCAATCAAGATCTAATAAATTCTATCAATTTTTATTTTTATAGACAGACTTAACTTGCATTCATTCGCTCATTAAATATTAAATGTATAATTTGCTTAAATTTACTTATAAAAAAATAAATAATCTTTCTACTTCTATTAATTAATTAAATGTTTTTTTATCATTTAGTTGTCATCATTACAGATTTCCTTCCTTGGCTTTTAATAAATTCTTAATTTGCTATTTTAAGTTTTGAAAAATTCAAAACTTCTTAAAACTTTAGTTGAATTCTAATTCTAATCAAAAAAAAATCAATAATTATATTTAAATAACATTCCAATTAATCAATCAATATTATTAAAAATTAGAAGTTTTTAAAAGCTAAATAAGACCTTAAAATAATTTAAAATCTCTTTATTATTTCTAGGCGTATTAATAAATATAAAATCATCAAGCAAAAGTTGAATTATTTATACTAAAATTGATTTAAGGTTATGAATTTCACTAGCAGTTAGAATAGTATAGCAAACTCTCATATGAATAATAATGCTCCTCAAGATTTAGAAGCAAAAAAATAACACATTTTAATGAAAATGAAAGAGTCTAAAATGTATTGGAAATTAAAATAGCATTTATTTAAAGAAATGAAAGCCAAATAATAATAAGACATATTTTCTGTTAAAAAGATATAGCAGGCTTCCTATTAGTCGGGAATAGAGGAATAATTAAAATAGTTGATTATTAATTGCGCAAATAGAAGTTTAAAATCAGAACCTATTAAATTTGATCCTTAAGATTTTATCAATTAAGCAAGAGTTAAATGGACTGAAATTTTGCTTAAAAACTATGATTACGCACAAGAAAAACTTAAAAATTATAAGCCAAATGGAGGCTAAAATAACGATGCAGACCAATCAGAAATTCTCTATGTCTATGATGAAAAGAATTTTTTCAATTTTATGATAACAATCAAGAATACTTCTGCTGTTAATCTAAATATGTCTCCAAATACTTGTATGAAAGTTAATTTTATAACGCCATCATTAAATGATTTAAGATAAAAATATGATCATTTGCTAAATTAAGATAACATTGAAAATAAAAATTCTAACGAATATAAACTTAGAGAAAAAAGGTGCAAAAACCTTGCTGAAAATGAAGCCTTGGAATCAGAAATTGAGACTGTTGCCTAAGGAGGTCTTTCTAATGGAGAAAGAGTTGAGTTATATATGAAATATTTTGGAATAGAATCATCTTCTTTTAAAGTAAAATTAAAATTATAAATTATTATAATAATACAATTTTATAAAAATTTAAGCACTTTGCAAAATTAGAAGAAGAAGTAGATAAAAAAGAACTGATGTTTGATGAAATTCTTTTAATGGACTCTGAAGTACATATTTTTTTTATATGATTTTATAAAATTCATATCTTTGTTTCAAAATATGAAATTAGGAAGTTGCTGATGATGACTCTTTTTTTATATTCCAAGAAACCGTAGAGAGAATTACTTAAGCATTTTTAAGAGATAAAGAAGTTAGAGATAAGTTAAAAGTAATTTAAAAAAAATAATCATAGATAAAACAATTTAAATTGTATTTTTAATTAAAAGATATACAGTATAGCTACAGAAAAGTTAAATGCAAATGATTTATAAAAAATACCTCCTTGTTTTATGATTCCTATGAAGTCAATGTCTATGCTTGTTGCTCCTTTAGGATTTTGTTCAAACAAAGTAACTTAATATTTTGTCATTTATTATAATTTTCTAAATTTAGTTAAAATTGATAAAAATAGGTTGATATTATGTATATGATTTTCAAAGAGTTTTATTGTAATTTTTATTGTCACTTGCACAGTATATCATCTCTACCTAATGGAATATTATTCCTTTGTTGCATATTTGAAGAATTAATGGCACATGCATGTAATAAAGTAATGAATCATCTCGCTTCTATAAGTATTTATTTGATAAATTATAAATTTTAATAGAATAAATACTTGTAAATATAATAGATATTGAACCATTAAGGATAGCTTTTCCATGGTTTTTTTATTGTTTTATTGGATTCACAACAGTAGAAAATATTTTCTTACTTTTGGATAGAATAATTGGTTACAGAAGCTTAGATATTTTACCTCTTTTTGCAGTTGGAGTTTTTAAGCTCTACCAAAACGAAATACTAAAGTGTAAAAATGCTGCTGATTTAGAAAAAATATTTTCATAGAAAATAGAATTTCCTTTTATAAATTGTGTAAGAGCTGCATTTTCATGATTTTTCTTTCTAGTCTTTAAAATTTTCAAATATAAATCTCACTTATTTTAAAATAATCTTAAAATTTTCTGAAAAAGCCCATTTAATAAATATTTAATTTATTTAATTGAAAATATATTTGTTTAAAATTATTATTACCTTTTATTCAATAATTTTTTTTAATTACAAATAAACAAATTTTAGAATTATGTTTGATTTTAAAAGTTCATTAAGGTTTTATTAGTGTTAAACCAATTTAAAAAATAATAATAATGCTCTTTAAAATATTCTGTGTTTTAATTTAATCTATCTTCTATTTTAATATTAATTTCTATGGAATTTTTTAATCTGATTCAGTTGATTTTAAAATCAAAAGATCATAATTCAAAAATTATATTAAATTATTAAAAATCAAATCAACAATTTCATCAATATTAATTATATATCACACTTACTTTAAAGTCTAAGTATAAGAAAGACCATGAGTCAAAATTAAAAGCAAAAAATGAGCTTTAATCATTAGGATAGTGATTTGAGTAAAGACGAACTTTTACTAGGAAGTTATGATCATGAAGATTAGTTATTTTAAAGTTAAGGAGATGATAAATTAAAATAATCGCATTTAAAAGATGAAAGAAATTTATCACCAAATAATATATCTAGCATGAAATCAAGCAATGTAAATGTTTAAAATGAAGGCTAAGGCAACTCTATTAAATGCTACATTTTTGCTTGGGGTAAAAATGAATCAGGAGAGCTTTCATTTGGCAATTAAAAGCAACCTTTTTATAATAAACCTGAAAATCCAAAAAACTTAGATAGAATTTACATAAAATAAATAAGTACTTCTTAAAATCACTCAGCATGCATTTCAGCTAATGGAGAACTCTATGTTTGTGGTTCTGCTCTTCATGGTAATTTTGATTTGAATTATTCTTTTTACTTTTAATTTATTACAAAATATCGAAAACCAATATTTTAATATTTAAAAGGAAAGCTTGGACTTGAAGAATTGACTATGGCAAATATAAATAAATTTTAAATGATTCCTATATTCAAAGGAATCAAAGTATTACAAGTTGCTTGCGGTGATTATCACACTCTAGCACTCACAGGTACTGAAAAAATACAAACAAAAAATATTTTATAACTTTTTAAATTGTATTTAATCTTTTTGTTTTTAATTACAGATACTGACTAAGTGTATTCTTGGGGTGGAACTCTCCATAAAAAAGTAGGTTAAAGATCTGGTAAACCTGCTCCTATTTAACAATTAAACAAAAAAGGTGTAATTCAAGTTGATTGTGGTGACTATCATTCAGCAGCTATCACACAAAATGGAGATATCTACACTTGGGGAGGTACTCCATTTATCAAGCTAATATATCTTTTAAGCATTTTAACATTATAAATAAATAGGCGGTGGATAAGATTATAATAAAGGACAGCTTGGTTTAGGACATGTAAAAGATATAGAAAATCCTGAAAAATTAAAATTTTTTGAAGGCAAAAAGATAGTAAAAGTCTCCTGTGGTTAATTTCACACAATGGCTCTTACTTCTGAAAATGAATTATTTGGGTGGGGTGCAGGTGAGTTTGGAGAGCTGGGAACATCAAAGGTATATTTATTTATTTAACTTTCCTTATTTATTAGCTCAAATATATTCATAAAATTTAGTTTAAGCATGAGTACACTCCTATTAGAGTAAAGGTTAACTTCAACTAATACAACATTCTTTATGAAAATATTCTCTTTGAAAACTCTATATAAAGTAAATAAATAATGAGATAATTATGTTAAATAAATATTTAATTGCTATTTAATGAATAGATCCTTAAATCATAGATATCAAATGTGGTGGTCATCACACACTATTGCTTACTAATAATGGTTATATTTATTCTTCAGGATATGGTAGATAGGGTCAATTAGGTTTGAGAAACTCTGAAAATTAGTGTGAATTTTAGTTGGTTTGGACTTTGACAAAGAAAAAGATAATTAAAATAGCTGCTGGATGGAACCATTCATTAGCATTATCTGATTAAAATGATATATTTGCTTGTGGCCATGGTGCAAGAGGCTAATTGTAACCAATTACTAAAAAAATAATGCAATTTAAAATTAAAATTAAATTTATAATAGAGGATTAGGTGATGAAGAAAGTAGAACAATTTTTACTCACGTTGTAAGCTTAGGAGGTAAAAATACAGCTACTATTAGTGCAGGAGGTGATCATTCTTGGGCTGTTCTAGATCAAAATTTTCCTGTCAAATAAAACTATAGACCCCCTTCTCCTTTAAGGTCTCTTGACACTAGACCACTTAATAAAAGTAGAGATGTTTCTCCTGATTTAAGCATGATGAAAGACAATCAGAGTAAATTTTTACCTGATGAATAAAAAATTATATTTGAAAAGATCCTTTAAGTAGTTTACGTGGAAGTAGATTTATGCCATAGATTTGTAAGATTTACTTTAATTGACCCTTCTAAGCCTTTTAAGAAGCGCTTAGATGAGTATCTTGAAGAAATAAAATAATTTGAAAATGGTGGCATCGTATTTACAAAATGGTAAAATGATGATTTGCTTATAGATGAAAATAATAATTAAATCAATAAAAAAGAAAACCTTGCTAAAAATATAACTTTAATGATGATTTGCCATCCAAATAGATCTGTTTCAAATCAAAATTAAAATGAATTGAACCAATAATATAATAATGTCAAGGATAGTAACACAGCTTTTAGCAATCTATTTAAAACTACTTCCGTTGGTGATATGACTCTTTATAAAGAGTCAGATGTATAAAAAGATCCAACTTAACAAAAATTAGGATACTGGTTTGTGCTTTTTTCTAAAAAGTTTAAAAGTATTGTAGAAAAAATGAAATTCTTTGAGTTAAGACCTTAAAGTTTAAATAACAATCCTTCTCAAAACTGAAAAAATAAAATAAAATAATAATATTGTATTTATTTATATTAAACTACTTATATGAATTAAAAATATGTTAAAAAGAGTTTTCTAATTAATTAATTTAAAAATAGTTTATTTGTAAATATTCCTGTAAAATAAAAATAGAATAATAATTCACAATAAATTATAAAATTAATAACATTTATTAATGCTTCTGAAAAATTATGCAATTCTTTATTTTTTTTGATAAAAGTATATTTCAAATATTTTATTAGAAAGTTCTACTAAAGAAAAGATTAAATTGTATTTTGATCTAACAAATTCATTTATTTATCTATGAAATAAATTTTGTTTTTCGAATATAAATAAATGACCAGCAAATAACAAATGCATGTTAAATTAACAAAAAATTAATTTCTAGAAAAAAGGTTATTTTATTATTAGATATTTATTATTTAATTAGAAATTAAGTATAGCAAAAAAATTGGAATTATAATCAGAAATTATTGAAATGTTTTAATACGGTTTAGTAGGAAATACCATTTTTTATGGTGGTATAGCAATAGCATTCGGATATATAGGTTTCATTTTATATTTATTAGAAAAGTGGTTAATTATCTTATTTTAAAAAATAGGTTGGGAATTACATAATATTACATAGTATGCAGCTAAAATCGATGAAAAGGTTAGATATTTTATCTTTAAAATATTTTTTCATATTGAGATTATAAACTGTATTAATTTAATATTCATATATGTTAATAGCAAGCAAAAGAGATTTTAGGTTTAATAAATGAAAATAAAACTCATATTCATAAGAAAAAAGAAATTACTGATAAAGAAATACAATAAATGGCAGCAAAATTGCGTTTAGAGGGTAAAAGTGTAGAAAGTATTTAAATATAGACATAAATTAAGGATGATTTCGATTCTGGAAAGCAAGCAGATATTTGAACTCTCTTTAAGCATAAATCATTTATATTATTTACATGCATGAGTCTAAATAGCATCATAAGTATATACAATTTAAAAATAAATTATATGTTCGTTCAAGTATTTATTGTGTTAAATTTAGTGTGATTTATTTATTTTATAGCAATCCAACTAAATTTGGTTTTTTTTTTTTAGAAAATCAATAAATTAAAAGATTCATAAATTCCTATTAAATTTTGCAAGGCCAGTTTGTTTTGAGTGAATTGTACATTTAAATTAAATTAAAAAATGTTTTATATGAAATTAAATAAATAACCTGTTATTTTATAATAAATTTATATTGGTTTAATTTTTTTTGCTTTTTCTTGAGATGCCAGCACTTAGCTCTATTGACTTAATTGATGTGAAATTTTTTGATACCAAATATCTTAGATTTTATATTTATATTAGCCTTTGTTTAGTGGCCGTTCAAATCTACTTATTTATAATTTGCAAAGAAAATAAAACTTAAGAAATTAAATAAAACAAGGAAATAAAGCAACATTTTAAGGTATTTTTTATAATAATTAAGTTTTGAGATAATAAATTTGTTAATTAGATAGTCAAGCATACACAAAAATAAATAAATAATAAATAAAATGAATAACACAGGATATTCTTAGTAAAATGGTTCTGCTTTCAGAACTCAAAGACCTGAATCTAAGGGTTTTGGCAATGATATAAATTACACTAGTTAAGGTTTAAACTCATTTAGCACAAACTCTAATCCTGCTAGTCTTAAAGGAAAGATATAATCATTAGAAGAAATGGCATTTTCAGTAAACAATGAATTATAATTACATAAGAAGGAGTTAGCAATATTAAATAGTGAAAAAGACTCCTTGAGCTCAGTATTAAATATGAAAGCATAAGATGTAAAAAAAACATTAATGAATGAATTGATAAGATTAGAAGATGAAATGAATAGGCACTTTAATAATTAAAAATCAGAAAATAATCGTATATAATCACAATTAAGCTTAATTAAGACAGATAAGGCTGCACTAGATGAGCTTATTGGAGAATTGGAAGGCAGAATTAAAGATTTGGAATATCATATAGGCAATAAAGAATCTAACTGATTTTATAATAGATATTATCAAACAAATCCCCTCCATCATCTATCTCTCTTCTTTTAAAAGCTTTCCTGAAAATATAGTTAAAACTTATTTTGTTGAAAAAAAAATACTTATTACCTTTAACAATAAGAATAAAATATTAAATTATTAAATGCTTAAAAATTATTTTAATTTAGGCCAGTTTCTATACTTATGATCGATTATTTGTATTCATTTGTAATATGATTTTATTTTAACTTATCTAGCTATTGAAAATTATTATTTCTATTAAAATCTTAAATTTTTATTTCGATATTTAGTTAATGTCACTGTCTAAAATAATTTTAAATCTTTTACTTTTATTTGTTTTAATTAAAATTTTAATTTATTTTCTACTCTTTCCTGTTTAATATAAACGTTTTTACAATATTATTTAGCTCTCACTTATTTAAAAGCTTTATTGAATATATGTCTGAATTTAATCTTTTGAAAAAAAATACATTTTAGTCTTAATTATAGTAATAAAGTGTTAAATTCATATTTAGATTTAAATTAATTTAATTTATGTCAGATTCTATAAATATGATTGAGTATTTTTAATTATTATTAATATGATTTTAATTTATCTAGTTATTTAATAATTTTTATCTCAGTTAACTTTTGAATTGTGTTTATCATTATATTTATTTTATTTTCTACTTTTTAAAAATTTTATTTCTTCATTATTTATAATTTTAATTAGTTTTTTATATTTATTTAATTGTTTTTATCTTATAATAATATAATTTTAATTTATCTAATTATTTCAAGTTTTTTCTTTTTTTTTCCTAAAAAAATTTTGTTTTTTTCATCATTGAGCTTATATCAATAAAACATAAAATTACTTTAAATTGTTTTTACTATTTTTAAACTCGGATAGATGCTTATGACCAAAGTATAGTTAATATTTGATATTAAATATTTTTTTTTTACAAATTTATTAAAAATAAATTTTTTATAATTTAAAAATATTTTTAAAAAGAAAGAAATATCATTCAAAAAAATAGTTTAAAATATAATTGAGAAATATAAAATTTCAATAATTTAAAATAACTATCTGCAAAAATAATAATTTTTTCTTTTTAAAAAATGGATAATAAATTATAAATAACTCTCAATTTAAAAATCTAATTTATTATTTTTCAGTAAGATATTTAATTCATATAAAAAATAATAAATAAAACTAATTATTGTAAAAAAGTTTAATTTCTAAGAAATTTAAAAACTTTTCAATAATAATTTTTTAAAGAAAATAGATTAAAAATTGTTAATTTTAAATAATTCACCTCATTTTATATTAAATTTAGAGGAACTTAAATTTACAAACGAAATTCAATTATATAAATGCTTTCATAAAAAAATGCTTGTACCTCAACTTAAAAGCTGTTTACAATATGTTACACGATATTTTATTTAGTAAAATGAATTAAAGATTAATTGAATTTAAAAAAAAGTTATTTATACAAATATTAACTATTAAGTTAATACACTAATTTATTTAAATTTTATATTTTGATTCTAACACTCTATTTTTAGCAAATAAAAAAAGAATTGATGAAAGAAAGTAATAATTAATTATTTGTTATTTTTTTAATCTCTACCAGAAGTAATACATCAAAATTAAAGTTATTTGAAGTAGAAAATAAACAAAAAAAATCTCAAAATGCAAAAAAATAGTAAAACTTATAATTCTGTTTTTTTTTAGCAAGATAAATAAAAAATAGATTTAGCTTAAACTGAATCTAATCTTGTATAAAGCCCAAGAATTTCAATGAAATAATGTATATAATAAGCCTATTTCGAATAGATAGATATTAATAAACCTAATAAATAAATTTAAAATTATTACTTTTAAGATAGTAAAAATTTAAGATTGTTTAATAGTCAAAGAAACTAAGATCGTACAATATAAGAGACTGAAGCTTTAAACACTTCTAATGAATAAATTTTAATAAATAAATAAGATAAATTCATTTTGAAGCCTAATAAGTTGTAGGATAGGTTAAACTTTAGTTCTTCGCAAAGTAATGATTTTAAATTGCAATCTTCTCCTATTTTGTAAACACAAATTTCAGAGAACTTAAAGATCAAGCTATTTTAAACTAATGGTTAATTAAAAAATCATGAAAAAATAAGTAATAAGCTCTATTATGTAACTTACAGAGATTCCTTTTCAAAATAAAAAAGTGCTCAGCTAAGTGAGAGCCAAGTAAATTCAAGTAGAACCAAAAAAAACTTATTATAATCCTAGTTTATTAATAAAAGCAAAACAACAGGCTTAGAATTTTATGAAAATAAAAAAAACAGTGATCGTAAACCTCCAATTGAAGGAAATCAACAAAGATCTTTAACTAAAATTCTGAAGATGTTTGGGGGTCAAAAAGAAGAATAAAACTCACCTTAATATGATGAATATAATTTATTATAAATTAATTCAAATACTAAGAAAACATTAGAATTTGAAAAAATTGATTATGGCAGTACAAATAAATTTAAATTCAAAGAAAATATAAGTAAGCCTTTAAGTAGAACAAATAAAAATATTACAACTTCTTCTTCTTCTCACAGGAGTTTTAGTTAATCATCAACCTAAATTAATTTTAATGGTAATAACTATGGAAAAAGTCCCTAACTAATTTGCAAATATAAAAATAATAGAGTAATCTAATTTCCAGTGCAAACTTTAAAGTAGCTAATTTCCCATAGAAAGTATGAAGAAAGCTTAAACAGTTATTTATAGTGTAACCAAAATGTGCCAGATTAGTAAGATTTTGCAATAAGAAAATTTTCCACTCCCATGAAGGCTGAGTTTAATAGAAACGAAAATAAATTTACTATAAAAGAATCCACAGATTTAAGCAATTCTGCCAATTGCATTCCTTCTTTTAATAATAAATTTGTAAAGCTTGACGAAATACGTTAGAAATACAAAAAACAAAGCTCTCTATGTGTAATTATGAATTAGCAGAATTCTAGTAAACAATAGAACCATGTTTCTAATATTACAATTCCTATTTGCAAGCAATCCTAAGAAAGCAGCTTAGCCAATACAGCCTTTTAAATATAAAAGCCAACCTCTCTACTAAATTCATTATTTAATGTAAAAAGTAAGAAATTAATTGAAGAAGAGTTTACTTAGATATTAGATCACACTAAAATTGAAGATGAGAAATAGGAGCTTATCTTGAATACAATTTAAAATAGAGAAAAAATCAGTAATATAATCAGACTTATTGAGGAATCACCTTTAGATTGTATTTAAGGTGACAATTTGCTGTTTTTAAATTAAATTTATGAATAAATTAGTTCTAATTAAAATCATGAATCTATTGAGAAATCAATATGCTCTAATGATGAATAAAGTCCTAAGTCTAACTAAACAAATAAAAATGAATAAAAATAATTTCTTCTAAATATTCTTGATGATTCTTACATGAAATTTACTTAATAGGTTCAGAGAGAAACAACTCAATATATAATAAGCAAAGACAAAATGCTTCATTTCTAATTGTTTCGTTCATAAAAAGAAAGAAGGAACTTAACAAAGAAGTAGCATAGAGCAAATCTAATAAAAATTTTAAATCAAATTAAGAACTTAAATTTAACACCAAAAGAAGTAATTTTTATTTGTAAAAGCGTAGTTAATAAATTTAAAATTAAATTTTTTGAATAAAATAGATTCTTCTAAATAATGTTTTCAGCACAAAACCGTTTGAAAAACAGTATTCGTATGAGTTCATTACTGCTGCAAAGCATAACAATCTTTTACTGTGTGATTTTTTGATTACGAAGAATAAATATCTTGTCTATGATTTTGACTATGTAATTTCTCATTCTTTAAGGCTTTTTAAAAAATTATTTTTATATTTGATAAAGTTTTATTTAACGGCTCTGCATTGGGCAAGCAAAAGAGGTCATTTGAAATTAGCTTAATTTCTAATTTAAAAAGGAGCTGATGTAAATGCCACAGATATTGTAATTTTTAAATTCATTTTCTTATGTTTTATATCCTTTTTAAACCTATAGCTTGGCAAAACACCTTTGTATTATGCTTGCCAGGCAGATCATATCGATATAGTCAAAGTAAGCGTTTTATTGTCATATTAAATTCGTTAAAATTAATTAAAAAAATAGATTTTGCTGTATAATAAAGCCTATCCTTGGTCAAACAAATATATAAGTTATGATTAATTTGTTAAACATAATCCTTAAATTTCTAATGCATTATTTAAAGCGAGAAAAGTAAATTTTTATTTATTTATAAATATAATTTATCTAAAGAATCTCATTTTAACAAAAACAAAGATATATTCTTTAATGAAGATGACTCCATTCAAATAAAGAAATTTGGTTTGGTAGTAAGAACTTGTAGCTTTTTCTTCGATTTTGGTATGAAAAAGATTGCAAAAATAATTTTAAACTAAATTTGTAAATTAATAAAAATATTTAAATAAAATTATTCTACTACAATATTAAATACTTATTTCAGCAATGCTTGCTTAAATAAACACGTACTTTATAAAATTGTATCGTTATAGAGTTACTTTGATTTGAAATAAAATCAGAAGATTTTATGTAAGAGTTTTCATATATATTATCAAGAAGATGCTTGTAAATTATGGTATTATATTTCATGTAGTTTTAATAAAGAAAAGAAATCTGTTTCTATCATAAAAATCTTATTTTATTATTAAATAATATAAATTAATCAAAAATTTAATATCAAAAATAAAAGCTTAGTATAGTTAGTTAGTTAGTTAACAAATAAAAGTAAAATGTAAGAAATCGCTCTTCTTTTAGCAAAGAATAGCGTACAGATAGCTATATTTTTATATTTCCATAGAGACAATGGATTTGACACTATAAGTTCTATAAATTTCATGACATTTTTTTTGATTTTGATGTCATATTTTTGCAAATAACAATTAGCAAGAGCTTTCAATTCACAAATGCTTGATTCTTAAATGGTAATTGATTGAAATATTATTATTAAATCCTTCCAAAATTAATTACCTGATTGTATTTAAATAGTTGTTAAGAATTGTGTTAACTGTAATCGTTACTTTGCTTAATCAGACATTCTTCGTTTATAATTTGATAACATATACTTTCTTAGTGTAAATTAAATACATATTTAATTATCTTGAAATGGTAGTTTAAAAATTCCTAAAAATAAAAAATCTAAAAATAGACACGATTTAGCTGATCATATTTTTACTATTTGTGAATACTATTATAAAAAGCACAATGAAGCAGATTTGATGATCATTCCAAATTATAAGAGCGTAAATAAAATAGATTTTTCTAAAATTATAAAAGCAAACAAAAATAATTTGATTCATACATACAATATACATTTGACATTAAAATATATTTTTGTAAAATAATAGAGCTTCCTCAGCATAGTTTAGATTATTATCGCATTTGTAGTTTTTGTTAAAGATGTCGGGACAAAGGAACTATTCATTGCCATTACTTTAGCATTTTTAGAAATAGCAACTAAATTGGGAAGAACTCAATTACTACAGCTCACTAGAGTAGATACAAAAGCATTTGACGGAATTACAATCTCACTCTGTGTTTTAGTTCATTTAGTTATTGCTATAATTAGAGTATTTAAATTACTTTTTTAAATGTTAAATTAAGATGATCAAGATTTAAAATTATTTAAAAACAGACCATTTATTATGGCAAATTCTAATTGTTGTCTGAAAGTAGTAAAGCAGAAAATCCATTTTAAGACTTTGGCCATCTTTTAATATTCATGCTGATTTCAATAGTTTTTTCATACTTTACTAATGAAGGCTTAAAGGGTCAATTGCATTTGTAAAAGAGAAATAGATATTAATCAGCAATTTTATGGGTTCTTTTGGTTATTAACAAACTTGTTATTGAATCAAAAGATATGGAATGGAACACACAATCTTTGATTATTATTTATGGCATATTAGCTCTTTGCGAACTCATTAATATGGAAAGCCCAAAAATTAATCACTTGATTGTATCTTCTGATTAAAATATAATTATGGGAAATGTAGTTTTAAACTCCTCAAATTTCTAAGGAGTAGAGATGTACGACAAAGTATCCTTAAGCAACTTTATATAACATATAAGGAGAAATCAGGATAGTAAAAAGCTTATTTTTATGCTCTCGTAAAATTAAAATTTTCTATTTTTTTTGAAGCTATCACTTAATCTAAATTATTTATTAACTTATTAAAATTAGCTTTAACTTCTCATTTATGTTTGTAGAGCTAATCTACGGCCTTTTGTCTAACTCTCTCAGTTTAATCTCTGATTCTGCTCACATGCTTTTTGACTCAAGTGCACTTGCAATTGGTTTGTATGCTTCTTTTATGTCAAAACTAAAACCTTCCCCAACGTACTCTTTTGGATTTGAAAGATTCTCAACTTTATCAGGATTCATTAATGGATTATTTTTAATTGTTGTTGCCTTTGATATTTTTACTGAATCAATTGAAAGAATATATTCTCCTTAAAAGGTTTTGTTTGATAAGATGATGGTTGTTAGTGTAATAGGTCTTATTATCAATTTAGTAGGGTTATGCTTCTTCCATGAGCATGCTCACGCTCATGGTGGCGATGATGATGAAGGTGGTGGATGTCCTCATTCTCATTCTCACAAAAAAACACAAAACTAAACAAAAACTACTTGTTCCACTCTCCCAAATACTAAAAAAAACACATCAGCAAGTCAACACTCTCATAAGGAAGAAGGTTGCCATGATCATGAGCATAACCACGACCATGATCACGATCACCATCATCATGACCACGATCACGATCACCACCATCATGACCATGACCATGATCACGATCATGAGCATAACCACGATCACGATCATGATCATCACCACGACCATGAACATGAACATGATCATTGTCATGACCATGATCACGACCACAATCATGACCATGAACACGATCACAATCACAATCATGATCATGGCCATGATCATGGACATAGCCACAGTCATGGCGAAGGCCATAATGAAAATTTAACTGGTAAATTTGTTTAAATATTAACAAACTAATTAAATTTTTAACAATTAGGTGTTTTTCTTCACATTTTAGCTGATGCTTTAGGAAGTGTTGGTGTTATTATATCATCTATTTTAATATACTATTATGGATGGTATATTTCTGATCCAATTACATCATGTATTATTTCGATATTTATCTTTATCAGTGTCTTTCCTTTACTCAAAGGTTCGTTTACGACATTACTTCAAGGATATAATATTAAGAAATACCATGTTTAACTCGAAGAAATAATATAAAAGGTATATTAAAAAATAAGATTAAAATTAAGCCAATTTATTTATTAACTCTTTAATAGTTAAGTGGTCATTAAGATATTGAGAGATACAGTGAAATTCACCTTTGGGCATACACGTCAAATAATCTTGTTTTTACTGTGAAAGTTCACATAAGAGACATTAGAAAAAGATTTAAAGTTCTTAAAGAAGTCAAAAAAATATTAAACTCTTATAAGAATATTAAGTACTAAACCATAGAAATAATTTGTGACAAGTAAGAAGAATTAAGTGAAATTAGCCATTTTTCGTAATCAAATGCAGAATAAGGATTGCTAAGTGAATAAAATAGTAATATTAGAGGAAAATCTAACAGCTATTAAGATAATGAAGTAAATTCAGACGAGGTTTAATTAATCTGATAATAATTAAAACTAAAATATTAAAGTCTAATCAAATATTAATTGTATATTTAACTAATTTTTTAATTTATTTTTTAATGTTTAAACTAAAAATAATCTTACTTTCATTTTATCATAAAAATAAATTTTTTTTTTTTTTTTAAAAACTAATATTTTATAAAAATTAATTTACTAATATTCTAATAATTATTGAAAAAATAGAAAAAATAATAATTAATTGATTTTAATTTAAATTTTAGATATTTATTATATTTTTATTTAAATAAACAATTTCAAATTCATTATTAATTCAAGCAAAAAGATTAAATTGTAATTAAAATATACCTTTTACTGTAATTGAAAATTTAACTAATAAATTAATAGCTTGCTTACTAGATTATCTCTAAATAAAATATTTATTTAATTGTTTTAAAAAAAATTATTATAGTTTTCTTAAAAGTTATTTAAAATTTAAAGTTTAAAGTTTATTTATAAAATCAATATATTTGGATTTGAATATACTTAGCAAGATAATACAAATAAACATAGCAATAAATAAATAAATACATATTGTGTTTGAGAAAATATAAATTTAATATCAAATAAATATAAGTGAATTTTCTAACAAATATCAATTATCGTTTGAAATAGATTAGTATTAAATTTGGAATTAAAAGAAATTATTCATTTTATAAAAATGAAATCAATCAATTTATACATACATCTTTATTTTATCAGTATATGGAGGGAATAAATATGTCTTTCTCTGAACTTTCTAAAAACTTAACTAAAACTGTCATCTCTATTTATTTTGAGGTTTTCCTATTTTCATCCAAAATTTTTTTTATTTGTGAGCATGTATCAATATTTTCGAAAATTAGTATAAAGTCATCATATTTTTCCTAATAAAAATAAATATAATTAACATTTGATTTTACTTACTGAAAATAATTTTACTTTTCCATTATATGTAATATTTTTAATAACTAACTCTAATTTTCGTGGGTCAGCACGATCTATTTAAGCTTCTACCTTTTTTAATCTTTCATTTTTATAGACTTTCACCTCATTCCTATTATTTTCATTATACTCTACTAAGATCATATTTTGTTAATCTTTTAAATAGTATAGCTACTTTACTTTCTTATCTTTTTCTATTAGTTCACAAGAATACATTTTACTTTACTCTGATTTATAAAATAACTCTTATTAATAAATTAATTATTTATTTATTAATTTTACATATTTCATAAAATTTGCCTTCTTCCCAATGTGGCAATTCATTATTTAGAAAGCTTTTGTATGATAAATCCAGATTGTTTTCAATTTCTTTAAGGCCTGTGTTTGCAATCAAAATATATCTTAGCTTTCTAACAATAAAAAATAGCATCAAGTCTCTTCTTGTAATATCTCTTTTAGTAGTAGGTTGTCTAAAGAGTAAATCCACACCTTTAATATTTATTATATATATATTTAAATCTTTTTTTAAATAAATTACTGTTTGGGCAGTTATCTAATGGCAAGAAGCAGAAATAATCTAACTATTTTGTTTACTTTAACAGATTTTATTCAATGTATTCAAACTCAACTTCATATAGATCAATGATAAAATCCCAAACTATTTGAGTTTTTATCAAAGCATTCATTTTCAATATTTACAATCTATAAGCATCATTAAATAAACATATTTAATCATTAGTTAAAAGAATATCGTGTGAGTGGTTTACACAAGCAAATTCATAAATTAATTTCGATATAATGAAATAGTTATTTAGTCTAAAAGGAGGATCGATTTACAAAATCTAATTTGATTAAAATTATAAAAGTCTAATAAACATTATAAAATGTTAAAAATTGCTTACTTTCATTAAATTGACCTAAAAACTTTTCAGACTATCTAAATTTTTTGGATTTTTGTAGTTTATTTTATTCTTTCTTTATGTTAGGAGACCACAATATTCTAGAATTTCATCACAAATGAATTTATTTTACACAATGCTATTTAAGAACTGCAGAGTTAACATGATTAAGTTGTCATCTTTTGACTTTAAATTAAATTTATGAATTACATATTTATTGAAAAAATATATTGAAACTTACTCTTAAATATGATAGAATTAAGTCTCTAAAAGGGTTTATTTCGTAATTTTAAGCTATTGCTTATTTTCTATCGTCTATAGACATTTCATCTTTTTCTTGTTGTTTTTAAATACCAAGTTCTCTTATTGTATTATAGTAAATATCATATGGAGATTCACCAAGATATTCTTAAAACTGCTGCTGATTTTGCTGATTTTGTGGGTCTTCAATTTACATTTCTTCATTAGTTTGAACTAATTTTACTCCGAGTGCTCTTGTTAACCTTCTTATTTCTGACTCAAGACGTCCTTGTGAATCCCAGCCAAAGTAACTTCTAACATCTAGATAAGAATAAGTTTTCCGGGCGGTGTCGGAAACTAATTAAAATAAATAAGCTTTTTTTGGGGGGAATAAATACTTCTTCCAAAAAAAACGGACAGAAGCAAAATTGCTTTGTTCATAGCAGTGCTAGCAGTGCTGATTCAGGTGTAAAAAATTTTTGATTTTTATTTTTTTTGGAAAGAGAAGTGTTAAATAAATTTATTTTGAATGATATTCAAGAAGATGAATCTTACCTGATTTTGAAACTTGTTCAGGTTATTTATCATCAGATTATTTAGATGGCATTTATCCAACTGAATTATTTTAAATCTACTGGTTTCTTTTTATTTAATCAATAAATATTATTTCTGTCTGCTTCTTAAGGAAATCATCATAATCATCCCAAAAGTGTCTATAAGACCATTGTGCATTAAAATGCGCAGGCTCTTAAGCTGGATGCTAAATCCATTCTAAATGTTTCCTGTTGATTTTTTCACCAAAGAGAGTTAAAATTATAATTTCTAGGATTTCTTTATTAGATATGTGCTGTAATATTATTGTGAGTATGTGAAGTGATAGATAAATGCTTAATTTGCCCTATTTATAATTTAGTAATATTACACTTTAATAAATATCAAATTCAAAAATTTCAACTTTGATTTTTAAAAAATATTCTTATCAAATTAAAATAGAAAAAGAAAAACTTATCAAAATTCAAATTAAAGTCTTAGAATTTCTACAAAAAATTTTTCCTATTTTTAAATCTAATCTCTTAAGAATGCGTTAGCCAGCATAAATTTATTTTCTAAGCTTTGAAATATCAAAATATAAATATTTACTTTCTTTGTGGAGATAAAACTATTAAAGATCGATGGAATTAGTGCATAGCTTATGAAAGAGTTAATGGATATCTAATGTTTATAAAATTGAATTAAAAAAAATCATTAGAAATTAATATAAATTAGAATATTTATTATTAAATTCAAATATCAACCTTTTTGGCCTATTCATTACAAGAGTGAATGAGATCCTCCCAAAATAAAATTTAATCGATTTAATCACTCATCAAATCACTTAGCTTTTGATAATTGCTGTAGTCTGCTTGGTGAATTTGATTATCAATTTATATCCATTAGCTTGCCATAAAGCAAGCATTGTTGACATAAAATGTAATAAAGGGGAAACCTTAGAGATATTTTTCTAACTGGTCTGCCTTAACTAGGGTGAATAATAAATTGTGTTAATTTCTCGTTTAAAACAACTAAAGACTTTACTCTTCATAACACCAAGCACAATATTTTAAACAGAGGTTCTAATCATAGTTTCTTTGTGGTTATAGAATCTAATTGTTTACCAAATTAATGGAAAGTTGCTGTATTTCTTTATTTAAAAATAAATTAGTAATATGTGTGACAACTTATCAATAAAGAAAGGTATTTAAAATATAATATTTTACACTATTGAAGAGAAGCTATAAAGGTATTTAGTCTAATCTTTAGCTTAAACTTTTCAAGAAATTTATATAGTAATCAACAAAATCATCATCATTAAAATCAAACTGAAAAGTGATTAAATCATTAATGATTTGATGAGAAAGTATATAGTTAAGTTGCATAGGCTTTTTCACATTTAAAATTAATAAGCAAATTTGCTAAATAATAATTGTTCTAATTTCACGGCAATTTTACAATTTTTGAGTTATTTGTAAAAGTTATTCTAAAAAGTTTGTTTCGCACATAAAACTATTTTTTAAAACCATAAATTTATATTAAATTTTATAGAATAAGCTCAAAGCTAAATTACTCGAAAAAGTTATCATCATTTTTATCTCCCCATATAAACATCGAGACTATCAATTCAATGTCCTCAATAAAAACATCCTTATATTTTTCATCATATTCATTGAAAATTTCCACAATTTCATTAAATATTGTGCTATTAAAAAATAATGTAAATAATTGAATTCATTAAATTAATTAGTAAGCTTATTACTTTAAAGTTTAATAGTTATAGTCCATATCTTCTTTATGCTTAAGTTAATATTTGGCTACATTTTTATCTTTAGTGTTCCCTGACTTTTTATTTGAGTTGCTTTTATTGTTAGACATTTGATACTACTAAAACTTTTACTTAATAATAACTCCTTATATATACTAATTAACTCACTAACTAATTTTTTGATTAAGATTTATATTATAAAAGACTAATTTTTGATTCTAATTAATGTGTAATTATAATAATAATATTTCCTTTTTGGCTAATCATTTATTTACTTAGCAATTATTAAGTCAAACTATGGTAAATTTTCTATTGATTTACCATTTAACAATTTTAGATTACTTACTTCAACATAAGTCAAGGTGTTGGTTTTATAAACACTAATAGTATTCTCAACTTTCGATATATTTAGCTTTTTCTTGTACTAAATGACATTAAAACATGTTTGAGTTTAAGTAAACTTATTTAAATAATATCAATTAATTTATATAAATATTACTTCTTTTTAAAAAAATAAAAAGTAACAAACACATTTTTAAATTATCCAACAAAATTTTAAGTGTTTATTTAAATCATTTAACTTTTACTTTTAATAAAAATCATTTAAATTTTATTTTTAATTAAAATCATTTAATTTTTATTTTTAATAAAATTTAATTAAAATATTTATTATTTTTAAATAAACATTTTTATCAATAAAAATTAAAATCACAATTTTTATTTTTAATTTTTTTATTGAGTAATCAATTATACTAAAAAATTATTTTGATGCTTCCAAAATTAAAAATAGATTTGAATAAATATATAAAAATTATATTTGAATTGTAAAAAGTAAAGAATTAAAATAAATTCAGATTTCAAAATATTGTAAAATTAATCTTCCTGAATTGTATTTAAAATGAAAAATAATGCAGAGTTATAAACAGATAAGATGATGATAATGGATATATGTATGTATTGATGTATTGGTGTATGGATAGAAAGATAAATAGATTGAAATATCTATGTTAAGTTTATAGAGATTAAAGTAAAATAATTTTTTGATAATTTCCCAATCATTTAATTAGTATTTTGTAATTAAATTACATGAGAGCCTTAGTTGCTTACTCAATCACTCTATCTAAATTGAATGGTTTCTTGATAAGTTAGTCTTTATATTTTACTTTATAAATCTTATTTTATCTTACTTAAACATAGAATAATCAAAGAAAGATAGATGATACATTACTAACGAGAATAAATAAAGAAAGATTCTTATTTTTAGTAAGATATCATATTATGGCTTTTTTAATCAAATCATTCTTCCATTTTCATTCAACTCCTTATTTTATTTAAAAATAAATCTTCAAATTCAATGATGATGATGTTGTTTTTAGTGAGCATCAACTGCAACGAGCAATCCGTTGGGTCTCTAAGTAACTCTAATGTTTCCAATTAAAAGGTCTTAACCTGGGTTGGTTTTAACAAATTCCTTGTATTTGAGGCTCAAACCACCTAAACCTTCATCTAATTCCATATTATAAAGGAAGGATACACCTGCAGTTAGGAGGAAAATATTTCTAAAGTATCTCCAAGCAGTTCTCCAATGATTAAACTTGAAGTATTCGTAATCAACTTATGCAATAAAATTACTCTTTCTTCTTTCATAAACCCATCTATCGTTATTTTGATGATTTGCGAAATTTTAAGCAACTTCATTTGTAATATTTTAATAATCCATAGTATCTTTACTTTATTTAATTTAATGAATCAAAGCATCATGGGCATGAGAAGGAGCTCCAAAACCTTCACCGTGGATACCCTTTCTGATGGAACCCTTGCCTTTAACTGGAAGACCACCTTTGTAACGACCCAAATGATCTACGTTGAATTTGGCACGTTCTTCAGCTAATAATCTTTACTTTTCAGCTGCATAAGTTCCAACTTTATGAGGTTATCTAATAGCATTACCATCAACAGATCTTCTGCGCAAAAGTTCATCTTCAAGAGCAGAATCTTCAGTATATCTGTCATAAGGAGAGGGTTAATTCAAAAAATCATAAGCTCTTCTTTATTCTTCTACTGATAAAACTGCATAAGCTTCAGCTATTTCTTAGAATTTTCTGGCTGAAGGTTCGTGGGCTTCAGTAACTGTTGTATTAACATCTGGATGATACTTCATAGCAAGCTTTCTGTAGGAATCCTTAATTTGTTCAGCAGTAGCCAAACGGTCTACTCCTAAAACTGCATAATAATCAAGCTTTTATGTAGCAAAGCCATAACTAATATTTCTGAATTACTATCTAAATAATCTATTGACAATCATCTTATCCCTTAAGATTTTTGATTGATTTTGCTTAATAATCTTATTGAATCAAAAATTTTATTTTATATTTAATATTGCTTTTGCCTTTTCTTATTTATTTGTGACTACAAAATGAATGAAATAAATAACTAAATAAACCCTTATTTTCTTCTTTCTCTCCTCTTTGAATTTGTATTAAACTCATTTAATACTTATCAAACAAACATAAACACACACTAATAAAGCTAACTAAAGAACTTTGTATGCATTTATTATGAAAAACTAATATGATTTGCCTTTATTATATTGTCTGAATCTATCTAAATATCTTCTTTCACTTATTTTATATTTTTTTCTTATTTCATACTAATTTTTCTGTATTTATCTTAATATTTTAATTAAAATTAAATTATTTATCAAATACAAATTATTTTTTAAAATTTCAACCAAATACTAAAAATTGCAATTTTTCAAAAATATTTTAGTTAATTAATTTTTTCAATTTACTAATTTCTCTATCTTGTATCTATAATTATTTAAAGCATTTCATATTTAAATATTAATTTAAAAAATATTTTAGATTTTCTGGTTTCTTTTATAATCATTAACTAATAATACTAAATCAATATTTTTATAAAATAATCAAAATTAATTTTTAAAATAATTAAACAAATTTAATTTTTCTTTTTCATTAAAAAATATATTATTCATTAATAAAATATTAATTATAATTCGCTTAAGAGAGAGAGATAAAAAGTTTTTAAATAAACCAGAATTTACTTTAAAAAATATTTTAATTTAATTTTGAATTATATTAGGATTTTGTTTAGACTGATTGAATGAATGATTTTACTTTAAAGGATAGAATAAATATAGACATAAATGAAGTCTCTATCTTTAAAAAAATTTTAAAAGAAGGAATTAAATAATTTAAAGAATATAAAATTGAAGATTTCCTCACCTTGAAATTGATCATTTTTATTTGGGCTTTTTATTAACTATTCATTTTTTTTATATTAAAATATATTATTAGAGAAACCAGGTATTTTAACTATCTTTTAAGTTTTAAACAGCATTTTATTAATTAATCATTTTGATTATTAACTTGAGGAGTGCTGAAAACTATCTACTAGTTAATTTATGTGCTTTTTAAAGTTTGGAAATATTTTCTACAATAAAATAATTATAATTTATATATTTAATCAATATTAAGTTTAGAATTAAAATCACCAAACATTATAATTAATATCAGTTAAGACAATTCCAAATACTAATTTTATTTTTAATTTAATTTTATATTTTTTACATCAAATGTTCTGTTTTTTTTCATAATTACTAATCTTTTTGTTACCTAATACTGACTTAAAAACATAAAATATTTTTGAATTTTTGTAAAATAAAAAAATCAATGATTTTAATATTTATAAATAATTTTCTTTCATAAAAATAAAATGTGTTTTAATTTACAAATTTATTTTTTAAAAATGTTAATATTAGATAGAAAATTATTTAGACTTACTCATCGATTAACTAAATTCTAAAATCTCAAGTATGTATGAAAAAAATATTTTATGTTAAATTATTATGTAATTTATTGATTTATTAAAAGGAAAAAAAATGAAGTGTTTTTAAATTTTAAGAAATTATTTTTTATTAACACTGTTTAAGATAATTTTGATAAAAAATTCTTTTGAACTTTGAATGATAATACCACAGCTTTTATATTTATTTTTACATAATAATTTTACAATTATTAATTTGATCATTCAATATATTTTATATTAAATACTATTAGTATTAAATTGAGAATTGTCTTATAAATCTTAATTTTAAATAAATTACATTATAAAAAAAGTATGTGTCTATTAATATAATTTAAGGTACAAATGATTTAAATAGTTAACATAGAAAAATTTATTAAATTAATAAAATCAGAATTTTTAATTATACGTATTATTTTAACTTAGTTATAATCCAAATTAGCTCATAATCTTAAAATGTAAAAAACAAATACTAAATAAAGCTTTGTACTATTTTAAGATATATTTTTAGATAATTTTATTTTGATTTGGTTCTGTTAGGTTATTCAAATTTTTTTTAAGAAAAACTAAATTCTCCAATTTAAAAATGAATTTAAACGAAATTCTCCATTTAAAATGTTAAATTAACTAACTTTTTACACACAAAACAAAAATAATTATTATTATTTTATAATTATTTCTACCATAAAATAAATTTGTTTATTAAATTATTTTTGGTTTTTTTTCTTATTGAAAAATAAAAAGTAATTAAAGACTATTTTTTATCTAGAAGATTGGATTATTTTTATTGTTATCTACGTTAAAATTTTGTAAAGATCAACTTTATTTTTAGTAATAAATAAATAATTTAGAAAATATCAATTTAAAAAATAATTAAAAAAGTTTATAGCAAAGTTTTAAATATAGATAGATGGTTAGCTTAGTCGCTGAAAGAAGACATCTGAGCATAGTAGATCTTCTTCTTTAAGCTTATGGATTATATGTCTTATACCACAGTTTATTGGATACTCACACAAGCAATTTCTATAAGTATAGTTGTGCAATCTTCTTTATAATAGACAAGGTCTTTGCACTGAAGAGAGTGTTTTCAAACCCTACTATACCGTATTTGTTAGATTAGGTATTTCATCTTGATACTCAGATATTCAAAAAGAAATATTACAAGAAATTATCTTTTAATAGTAATTTTATATTAGCTTCGTTCTTTTTAACACTTTTAGAGTACTTCTTCTTCGAAAATACTCAAAAAATTTACTAATTATACATCTGGGCATGTGTTTTTGGATTTTATCTTTTCTTCTACTAAGATTGGATTGGAGCTATTGATGCTATAGTTGTCTAGTACATGGTATTGAATATGTTCAGACTCTTTTATTTGCATTTTAGGATAAAAGAATCTTGCATTACTATAGCATGTGAGATAGGCTTTATGTACTTTTTCTATATGACAAGTTTTGATCAACCTGAAAGTAAATAAGGCATAAATTTTAAAGAAATAACAATCGGAATAATTTTAGCCATGTTCTTTGGAATAAGTCTTCCTTTTAACTTAAACAAAAGAGAGTACATCCTAAGGGACTAGATTTTCAAGGTTTTAGGATAAACTTAAGCTATGTTTTGCTTCAATATTCTTTTCACTTTTAAAATACTATTTTATGAATACTCCTATTATGATAGAGTTCTTATAATATTATACATGCCAATATTTGCATATAGGATTTATAATTAAATAGTATTCTTCGTTAGTGGTCCCTACATAACCACCTTAGAAATAGATTGTAATTCATACAAATAAATATATCGTTAGCTAAGCGGTTCAGTTTTATAGTGTAAAGTTAAATTTTTACACTTTAACTGCAATTGGGCATGTGACCAAGTTGATATTCTTTAAAAAATTAACAAAGACATTCTATTTACCTATGAATTGCATCATGGAGCTATGGTTTCTCTTGTGAATTATGAATAACATGCAAAAAATGATGTGATTTCTGTAGATACAAATAACTTGTCTGTGCTTATTTTTGGTTTATACATTTACTCAGTCAATAAGATATATAAAAATCTAAGATTCCATTTCGATCCCAAAAAGTTTAGAGAATATCCTGAGCACTAATTTTACTATTATTTAATAAGGTATCCATTTGTTAGCTTCTATAGCAAGTAAATAAACTACGATGGCGAAGAAGTTGAAATGCATTTACCTCCTTTCGTACGTTAATACTAAAGAGAAATACAATAACAAGTCAAAGCCATAGCATTATACGAAAAAACAATTAAAAGTGTCTTCTTAATTAACTAAAGAAGATTCTAAATTTTCACAGATTTACATGAATAATGAGCTTATTAAATAAACGTTAAAATAGTTTTTATTTTTCAATAAAGTATCTATCTGTTTATATATATTATACCAATTAAATATATTATTAAAATTCAAATCTTTATAAAATTAAAATAAATAATAAAAAAAAGAGTCTTTTAATTTCATACCAAAGTTATCAAAAATAGACAGACAGACACATTTTGTCAAATTTTATCAAAAGGAATTAATTTTAGGATTTACAGTCTGTCTTCAGATTTTTGATAGTAAAATAAATAATTATTAATTAATTAATTTATTAATAATAACTTTTTAATCAATATTCACTTAAATTGTTTGTTTATATTTTTAAATATTTAATTAAATCTAAGATGATTAATGATGAAGCATTAATTTAAAGAACTTTTCACAAATTTAGAATTGAGGAAATAGAATTCTATGTTAACATTTAACTAATGATTCAAAAGACCTAGGACTATGTAGCATATGTAGCTAGTCTAGTGAAGAATTCTCCAAAATATGAAAATATACTTCTTTATGTTTACAACCAGTCTTGGGGTTAAATGCCATTCATTATAAACAACTACTAAAAATTTTCTATTGTAAATAAATGTCCTTATATTTTAAAACATTACGCCATAGGAATAATCAACACAATAGTAGGACTTGCTACTTCGTTTCATTCTGGTATTTATTTATAAATTTTTTATATATCTAAATTGATCAATGTTAATTTATAACAGGTATCACAATCTAAAAAGCATTATAAAATGGTTAAATTACTTCAAAGTAACTTTTAGAAAGTTTATAAATATACATGAAAGGAATTGAGTATCTATACAACAACAAGATAAATCATGATAATGTAAATTTGTAAAATATGCTTTTAATTAATGGTGAAAGCGATTAACAAGAGTATACAGCTGTCTTAGGTAGTTTATATAATTTTAATATAGAAAGAAATAATCTTTATATTATAAATAGGCCCAATGAAAATAATAGTTTTAAAAGAAAATATTTTTGAGATAAAATATAATGATTTCCAGTAGCTGGGATGGGCACTCATATAACTCTTTTGCAAGTATTCTGATCAAGAAATTCATAGTTACAAAAAACAACACTCAAGAAAGAAATACAAAAATGATTCGATTCCTGATAATCTTTTGGAAATATTAAATAATTTGATAGAAAAGCAATTTACATCAGAAGAAGATTATTACAAAAATCATTATGAGTAAACATGCGCCTAATTCTATAAAATTTGTAATTTAAATCATATAAAATTTTAAATTAACTAATTTAAATCACATAATAAAGGTAATACTGAATCTATGCTTATATTTACACAGTAAGTAATAAACAGTTACAAATAAGAATAATAAAACGAAAATAATATACAAAATACTATCTAAAACTAAATATAATCTGTTACAATGCACTCAAATGTAAATATTAGTTTGCCTTATATTTTATTTATTTATTTACTTATTTTATAGATAGAGAGGAAGAAATAAATATTCTAAAATCAAAAATCATATTTATTGAGTAGCTGCTATTATAAATAGGAGGAATTACTTAGGGCTGAAGTATTTGGAGAGGAATAAAACTTTGAAGAAGCAAATAAAATTTATAGAAATTTAATAAATCTTAGTCATCAATAAGACTCTACTCCTCTCTACTATTTAAGTTACAATTTAATTGAACAAAATTAATAGTCTAATGAAATCATAGAAAACTTACTAAAAGCTATAGAAATTAATCCTCAACATAGCTAAATGTTCCACTGCTTAGGTTTATAGTATTTTAATAGAAAAGAATTATCCTTGAGTATGATCTACATAGAAAAAAGTCTAAAACTAAATAATTTTAATGCAGATTGTTATCATACTTATGGGAAAATATTAGCATAAAATAAGGATTTTAAAGCTTCAAAATAAGCTCTTTTGAAAAGCACTTAAATAAACCCTGCATACGGAGGCTATTTCGATATTGCATGTAATTACTTTCTTCAAAAAAAGTATTATAAAAGCATAAAATATTTCAAAAAAGAAATATTTGCTAACTAGACGCCAATATCCTATTAAAATTTAGGCAACCTTTATGAAATAGTCAAAGATTATGAAAATTCTATATATTATTATTAAAAATACAACTAAATTTCAAAACAAAAAAAACGCTAGTGTGCTCATTTAGAAGATTTTGCAACTAAATAATTGCAACAATTAAAGGAAGAGCTTCTTTGCTAACTTATTTTT